CTTTCAGAATGGAGGAATAAGAAGACAGAGACGTGAAGAAAGCTGTCATTAGGCCCCTCAACATTTTGACCACCAGCGACTCCCGAGGGGAAAACAGCTGGTGGAAACAACATGAGCTCATCTGACAACTGTTGTCTTACATGATAATTACTTGCTTTTTACTAATGGAGAACAAAAGGTGACGTCATCTAGGGGAACAGCCGTTCCCCCCCTCTGGAATACAGCCGCTGTGCTGTAACATAAACACACATTTAAAGAGTGTCCTCCATTTCTTCAGCTGCAAAGTGTCACTAAAGCCGTTTTAACAAATATCTGAATCATTTCAGGAGGATATTCTCCAGATTTGATGAGACAACTGCATTGAACTGGTTCCACAACTACTTGACTAACAGAACCCAAGCAATAGTTGTGGATAATGTAAAGTCCCCCTTCATGGAGGTCAACAAAGGAGTACCTCAGGGATCTATCCTTGGACAAATTCTATTTACAATGTATATAAATAGCATCGCAGAAAATATTGAAAACTGTAAAATTCACCTGTATGCTGACGATGCAATATTATATGCCATTGTGCCCTCCAATACTCAAGCCCTTTCATTGCTACAGACCGATTTTAACTATTTCCAGCAAACTCTTGTTCATCTTAAATTGAAACTGAACCCCGAAAAAACTAAATATATGATCTTCTCAAGACAGAATGTTGAACCCATTAATGCCACATTGTCAACAGTAGACAATGTAAACATTGAGTGTGTTCAACAGTTTAAATATTTAGGTATCTGGTTAAATCATGATTTGTTGTATAGGTCTCACATTTCTTGTTTTTCTGGAAAAATAAGACCGCAACTTGGTTTTCTGTATCGGAACAAATCCTGCCTAACCGTGCATAATAGAAAAAAGATTGTCCAGGCTACAATACTGCCCGTTTTGGAATATGGAGACACACTCTACATACACGCATCTGCTTCTGTCTTGAAGCCTTTAGATGCCTTATACCACAGTGCTCTTCGCTTTATCACAGGCAACAGATTTCGAACTCATCATTGTGACCTTTAGCGTTCTGTAGGCTGGTCCTCGTTGGGTCAACGAAGAAAGCAGCACAGTATTTTGTTTATTTACAAGGCACTCATAGGTAAACTGCCTTCTTACCTTACCACTCTCCTGTCCATAAACATTTCGAGCTATTCAACAAGGTCTCAAAACTGGATAACTTTGAAAACACAGAGGTTTAGAACTGAATGGGGAAAGACTGCCTTTAGTGTTGCTGCACCCATTATATAGAATGACCTTAGAGAGGATAGCTCAGTTGCCCTCTCTTGTTTCATACAGCGTGTTTAAAGATCTTGTGTCCAAACTACCTCAAGAAGGAAATTGCAACTGTTTCACAATGTAAATTCATTTAAATGGACATGGTTTACATGTGTGAATATGTGTTTCAGTGTCTAGATGCTATTATTGTTAACTGTTGATATGTTTATATTTGTGCTGTTTCTATTTTTGTATTGCTGCAGGGCACCCCTGGAAAAGAAACCTCTTTGTCAGTGGGTCCTCCCTGCTAAAATAAAGGATTAAAAAAAAAATGATTATGATGACAATGGTTTGGATATTATTGATGATGATGATGACGGTTTGTTTGATAGCAATGGTTTCAAAGATGGCTTCTATACTGATTAGAGCTCTCAAGAACTGCCCTCGATGTTGTGTTTTGCCTCCGGTCACTTCCTGTCAGCACCCGTGTGTCCAATCCGACTCAAAGCTGATCGTTTGCACTTACTGACATTGTTTCCTCTTTTCTAGATCCTTGCTTGTATTGTACTTACTCTCTGATGTACGTCACTTTGGATAAAAGAATGCTAAGCGAATTGTAGAATTGTACAGTAGTAGCTCCGCCTGGAAATATCCTGAGATTTTCAGGAGATTTCTGCAAGTGTGAAAGCCCTTTAAATTGAGTTTATTTCAGTATGTTGTGTGTTTTAAAGCTTACCGTGAAGGACTTGAGAGTGTGACCTTCAGACTGTAATGACAGTGAAGGGGACACGGCGTCCTCGGCTGAAGGTAAGATTGAACAAAGAGAGATTAGGCCCCCTGGGTGTTGAAATGCTAAACAGGCAAAAACGACCCTCTGTGCTTTCTCCTCTTTTGATCTTGCACCTTTTTAAATGGAAAACAGCTCCAATTCATTCATCCAAATAATAAATATTATACCCTCAAAACACCAGCCCAGGTTTCACACAGAAGGAGAAGTGATATGAAAGACAGACTGGCTCTTAAAAATGTGTTTTTAGTACTTTATTTATTCATTTACTATTTAATCTTAATTTAAAGATACAAAGGCCAAACAGAAAGGAGTCCTCTTAGAAACACAATACTGGAGTAAAAAATAAAAAGGAAACAAATCCAGTCAAAAGTCTGAGGTCGACAGTTTAGTAAGAAATTAACTCTTAATACCATAAAAAAAACACTTTTAATAGAAAACCTGAACATTGGGGAAACAACGTTTCTACATCACTCTGAATGTCGATGAACATCTAGAAGAAAATGAAACTACGTCACCAATAAATGATAACTAAAGCTGAGCAACACTTTTCCTTAAAAAGCATGCAGACATGGAAAAACAAAGGGCGACAGCTCACAGGATCGTCTGCACATAACACATAGTGTACAGTGCTTGACACGAGCATCCACCCTCGACCTCTCAGCCGCGCCGCTATCCCCCTCATGCATTTTTTAAAGGGTCTTGAATTAATATTCATTGTTATCAAAACTAACACGGTATCATATTGCACAAGCCCATAATACATAATTCATGGAGGGGTGGAGAGAGGTTTAGAGCACTGTGACGGGGGAGGCAGAGGCGGAGATGATATGGCGGTTTGTGTCACGTTTTTTTTTTTTTTTTTTTTTTTTTAATTTATTTTAAACTGGAACCGTAAAATTCAGATTTAATTTTGTTTCTCTCGTTCGATCTTATCAGGACGGCCTCAGCTTTGAACTGGAGGCGTCATGTTGCACTCCACGTAGATGATCTGCAGGAGACATTAACATCCACCAAGACAGATGAGTTCAGTCCAGAAGAACTGAATGCGTGTGTGTGTGTGTGTGTGTGTGTGTGTGTGTGTGTGTGTGTGTGTGTGTGTGTGTGTGTGTGTGTGTGTGTGTGTGTGTGTGATTTATTTACACTAAACATCGACTACATCTGAACCCAGACTGTGAAAGCTCGACTGAATCCAACAAAGAAATTGAGCGGGTGTTTTCTTCTTTTTTCACATGTGGTAATCAACATGTTTACAGTTTTTTTTTTTCCTTCTTTTTTTTTTTTTGGACATTTCAAATATCAAAACACAAACATCAAAGTGCCGTAAAAAACAATGAAACTGTGAACACAACTAGAAGCGCAGCAGAGCGAGTCAGTAGCTTTTTCTGAGAGCAGATCTGCTTCCACCTGAAACGAAAACAGCCAAAATATTTACCTTAAAGTCTATACACTTCTGTTCATCTCTCAGATTATGATGCTGATAAAAAAGCAAAGACGATTCCTTCTGATATTAGAACTGTTTGGTTCATTTTAGAGTGAGCTCTGACATGTTTCTAACAGCTCGTTAAAGACGATGCTAGTTAAATTCAACTTTCAAAAACATGACTTCTGTAATTAAACCATGCTTAAACACTCCTGTTGTAGCAGCCAGTAACATAAGAATACTGAACAACTGTCCCATGCCGAGAATTAGTTTTTTAATCAAGCTAGGAATAACTCAAAAGGTGAAATCTTTTTTGGGCTGGTCGTGTCCCACCAGCTCATTACAGCAGCATGTGTAAACCTCATTTAAAGGCGTTAATGCTTTTTCAACAGCAGTAAAGCGTCTCTTGTCTCTCAACAATGATCTCACACACTCGTTTATAACTTCCTGTCTGTGTGAGGGTGTCTCTCTCTCCTCCTCCTTGGAGATCACATTTCTCCGGCTGCTAAACGGAATGACTGTGACGATTTGTCGAATGATTGTGTCTCATAATGAAACATGTTCAATGTGTCTGATAGATCTTTAGTTCTGGGAGTGAGTGTCGGTGTACTAATACTTACAGAAACCCACAGACAGAAACATGTGAGTGGGCGTTGGCCCAAGATGAGCTGATGACTCGATGGAGTCTGAAGCATCAACACGAGGTAACACAGAAGAACAAAAAGCTTTAAAGAGACTCTTCTGTTACTGGCTGCTACAAGAGTATGTTTTAATAACAGTTTGGATGTTAACCCTCTAAAGCGGGTCAAACAAACGACCTGTAGGAGACGTTTTCACTGCTCAAAAGCACACACAGCGGGACACCTTGAGATTTTGAGTCCCTCATTTCTTATTTGCTTTTTTCCCCTCTAACGAGCAAGGAGCACTTCTTATCATATCTAAAGATTATTCACCAAAACAGACTTCGTTTTACACCGATTCATTTTTTGGATATGGAAAATAATCAACCATAAGTTATCGATGTATCACCTGAAGTCGTATTGTGTGTGTCTCTACAGGAGGTGAAGTGTTCACTTATAGGATGTGTGAAAGCGTTTAAGTGGAGCGTATATACATCACCAGCCGTGGGTCTTGAAGCTTAAATGTTCCAGGTAGAACTGATCTAGGATCGGAGTCCAGGCAGCACCAGCAATGAACAGCAGCAGTCCTGCTACCCCTGACCTCTGACACAGGGAGGGAGGAGTCACCACCCACCTCAGTGGGTGGGATACAAATCGGACCCCAGCCGAACTCGATTTACAAAAAATTAAAGAGTTGTTTTTAGACTAGTGATCGCCTCAGGAAACAAACAAAGAGGAGACACTGATCTGAATTTTATCAGGGTCCTGGTAACAGTGGTTAAGGGTAACATCCCCCACCTCCAAGCAGCCTGGAGGTGTGCTACTCTGGTGTTTGCTGCCCCCTAGGGCTGAGAGCAAGGCAGTGCAGGTGTGGCTCACGAGGGGAGAAGGGAGAGAGGGAAGGTGGGACGAGGGGGGGGGGGGAGTAGAGAAAAGGGGGAGGTGGGGGAAGGGGATTTGGGTTCAGGGTGGTGCTACTCGTCGCAGCCCAGAAGCTCCATCCGCAGGGTGATGCGCTCGTGCCATTCCCAGGGCAGGATGCGGACGTATCGGCCGTAGAACGACGGCTCGAAGATGTTCTTTTTGTGCACGTTGTTGTCGCTGTTTCCCGGGAAAATCTGATTGGAGGACAGATGACGATCATTAAAACACTGATAACATCTGCTGAGACACTATGGAAGGAATTGATGTTAAAACCATGATGAAATAAAAGTCGGTTTAGTCATGTGGCTGAATTTAACCCTGTGGCTTCCCTCCTTTTTTATCCTTAAGATCACCAAGCATTTACCTGGACTTCACCACCAAGAACACCTGGTCGTTTTTTTCATTAACGTTTTGTGAGCTTTCCAAGTGAAAAATTTTACTTTGGAGGACTGCTTTTTTAACTTCCCCCCATACTTCTGTTAGACTTCAATTATTTAATTTGATAATTTAAACATTTTGCTTTAAAATTAAATAATCTCAAAAGAACTGCTGTCCCTGCCATACAAACAAACTTGTACAGCAACAAACTGCTTCCTTTCTATTAGTTATTAGCTGAATATGAACACACTGACACTGTGAGGCATTGAGGATAAACCAGGAACAAAACATTCATGAATAAGTTCAGCCTGAAAACAAGTCAAGAAAGACAAATTCTGATCCGTCATGTTTAATCGATTAAGTCGGAGAGAACTGTCAACCGCCCACATCCTTGATTGATGATTTTATTTGGCTGTTCTAGATGTGCACATCTGGCAGGTGAGTGTCTGTTTGGATTTATCATGAAAGAGTAAACCCTGAACGCAAATCAAACCGGGTTGTCATGTTAATCTGATCCAGGTGTGTAGATGAGTATGCAACTTATTTTTACAGTTTCCTTTAAGAGCACTCTGAAAACTCCTTAATGTTGAAGTTTGTAAATGAGCGAAGCCTTCAGGAGTTTATATTCATAACGTTTAATATATTTTCCTGCGGATGTTTTTATGTTTATTGTCTCATTTGTATTTTACACCCCCTCGTAATATTCTCATATTAGTATGAACTGAAGCTCCCTCCACTCTCTTGTGCAATCAGCAATATAACTCCCCACTCTGCAATATGCATGTATAACATAACAGATTGATAATGAAGACAAGATGGTCACTCAAATGGAAAGTAACTGAGCATTTACGTGCATCACAGCTTGACTCTGGAAAGTGATGATGTTTGTTGTAATCCATATAGCGCCCTCTGCTGGTGAAAGAGAACTGCTAGTGTAATACAATACAAGTCAAACTAAATTCTATCTGACTGGTGAATAAATCGAGTAATATCGGCCCATATCTGCGATAAAATTAGCCGATACTGATAGTCACTGGATAAGCTAACATGGGCCGAAATGTTCGGCCATCCAATTAATCAGTCAGGCTCTACAATATACATTATCTGCAGTAAAACACTGCAGCTCTTACTTGAATGCAGGTTGTTGGTTGTTTTACGCTGTGGTTGCCTGTATGTTTGTGCATATCAAGGTAAAGCATTTCTAACTTTGTACAATTGTATAATGACAATAAAGTTTTTCTTGTATTTTTTCTGTTCATTCCCTTCTTCTGTTAATTTGCTTTTAATTCAGTTTGATCTCACTCAGATTTGTGCTCATGTTTTCAACACACTTTGACTGACCCTGTCTGTCTTTGTGGTCTCATCCTTCACCATGGTCCAGGACTTTCCGTCATCACTGTAAGCCACTTTGAAGGCTGTGACGAACTGGATGGAGCCAAAGTCTTTGGCCCCCTGTGTGATGATTCCTGTAATCTTCTTGGGAGACTCCAGGTCCACCTAAGGACACAAAAAAAAAACGTGTTAACAAAGATCAGCAAATTGAAGGTCAAAAATCTGCTTCTCTGTCGTATTCACCTGCAGCCACTCAGATCGGTTGTTGGAGGCGGCGGTCCAGGCGTTGGTCTTGCCCTGTTTGTCCAGGCGGGCGTAGTGAGGGTGCCATGTGAAGGACTCTATGCCCCAGGTGCGGAAGGTGCTGGAGGCCGTGATCTGGCGATTAGTCACCAGCCGGGATTTCATGCCCATTGGCTCTGAACAACCTGCAGTGTTTGAATACACTGTAGAGGTGAGATCAGGCAGGGAGAAAAGAAAAAAGTATGATAGACAGGGGGACAGACGGGAAGCAGCCAAGGTCAGCCGGTGATGTGAAGCAGCAAACAAAGACAATGAGGAGGACGAGAGCGGCAGGTGACGAGGAAACGGATCTGGCATTCAAGTGAAACGATGAATGAGGCGCTTTAGGCTCTTTAAGCCCTTCTTACTGTGCTTTGAAATGTTACTTTTTACCAAGTTGATCAGAGCAACAACATGAAGTCATACAGCGCTCCTCCGCAGAGTTTCAGTATTCTCTCACTTTGTCTTATATCTCATGTTTATGTCAACGGGCAGAAAGTAAACACTGAAGTAGAGACAAACTTGCCCATTGAGTCTGTAATAAACTTTTTTCAATGTGTGTGGTTTAGTGAAGCAGCTGGCCATGCAGGGAAGAAGAACAAAGGCGGAGAGATGCAGGAAATACTGTCATGGCTTTATCTTCAAAAGATGCCGTCCAGCATCATGTGGCTCCTTATGCAACATCCTGTCTCATTCTTACAACATCATTTTACACTTCAGTTCATTTGCTTGATGAAGTGGAATCAATTAAAACACGGGCCAATGAGCATCAGGAAACAAACTGTGTTCACAGTCACTGTAATGAGTATCCTGCATCAAAGCAAACATTGAAAATGTGAATATGTGTTAAAAAAAAAAAGGGCCAGGACTTGTTCATTCTGCGTGTGATCTAGAAGAGGCCCAAAAAAAAAAAACATGCAACAAATGAAGCAAACATGCAGAAACTGAGAGGCACAGCCGATGGGAGAAGAACAGAGCAGCGATCTGATAGACGAGAGAAATCGAGAACTGAACATTCAACAGTGAAATGAGGCAACTGATACCAAATCACCACGCTGGCTTTACATCAAAGGGACAATATAAACAGAAACTGACTGCAATACAAAATAATGATGTCTAACTTCTGCCAGCTAGGGGCGGCAGCTTTGAGATGATGACTTTGAGTTAATTGTTTTAAGCTGTTTAAAAAGCGCTGAATCGTTATCATTAATCTGCGATACGCCTGCCAATATTACACAAGTGTTTGAACATCATTTGGTTTTGATAAATGTGCATCTGTGTTCATAGTTTCAAAGAGCAGCAATGATCTGAGTAACGTCTTTTGAAACATGATCGGTCACTGAGCGACACCGTACAAAAAAAACGTACAACTTCAACACTGCTGGAAAAAACAGACTTTTGGATAGGAATGACATGCTGGAGTTCAGAAACATTGGTGTACTGAACGCGCAGTGGATGCATGTTTGATGTGTTTGTGTTTTGAGTTTACCGTTGAGCTCGCAGCCCACCAGCTCCATGCGCATTGTGCAGGCTTTACGACACACCACAGGGATGATGCGGATGTACTGAGCGATGATGGGAGGATCGAACAGGTTTGTCTTGGTGCTGTCGTTGTCCACGTTTCCAACAAAAACCTGTTAAAGAAAGGAGTAGTCAGGAAACTTTGAAAAAGTAACTTCTTTCTCTGTTTCACTGTGTATAAGTAAAATGATGGTAAGATGGTGTCAGACCTCTCCTGTATGTCCTGTACAAGTTTTATATTTGTCATTGCTCCCTCTAGTGGTTCATTACTATCTTGTCATGTGTTGAGTGTATTGACTTTGACACATTTGAATCAGTTTAAAACAGACATGAGGAATATGCTGTAGTTGATTGGTTAGTGTTGTGTCTCCTTACACGGTCCTTCTTCTCTCCCTCTGTCCTGTACACCGTGTAAGTCTTTCCGTCCAGGCTGGAGGCCACCTTGAAGGCCTTGATGAACTCTGCTGTTCCAATGCGACTGGCCCCCTGCGTCACCATGCCTGTAAATCGCATCTTTCTTTGCATGTTGATCTACAAGCATGAAAAGCGGATGAGATCAATGTAGATAGGTAATCAGAGAATACAAATAGTGTACTGATTAAATTAACATAATCTTTTTATTTTTTCATTTGTGTCACTTGTTGACCTCACCTGTATCCATGGGTTCTTGTCATGTGCAGCAGGGCTCCAGGCGTTAACCAGTCCCTTGTTGTTAAGGCGGGAGAGCTCAGGTCCCCATCGCTGTATGCCCAACATGGTGTAACGAACCGATGAGGCTGAGATCTGAGACTCAGCGATGCCCCCTCCCTCCATGCCGAGCAAAGAAATACAGCCTGTAGAGAAGAGGTGAGAGGTCTGACGTCAGTGTAAGATATCCCACTTGGGCTCTAATGAAATGTGTGCACACAAGAACCCCTCAAAACCCTGCTTGGGTCAAAGAATCTACACACTCATATTGTTAGGTTGTAAAAGGAGAATGGAGAGTGCACAATAAGAGGACTGATGCCACAAGAAACAGAACGAGAAGTTTTGAAGTCTGATACAAATAACTCTTTTACTTGATGCTTTAACTGAGCTGTGTGACGCAGGAAGAAAAAGACATTAAGGCCCCGTGTCCACCTAGCGTTTTCCCCCCAATAGTTTTCCATGAGTAGAGACTGTTCTCAGCAGCAGGCGGCCACCTGGAGAAAAAGCGCAGCGCCCAGGGTCTTCTTCCCCCGGCCACTCTGAGCACTTGAGTTGAAAATCTTTCAACTTTTATTTTTTTAGAGGCGCTGTTGACTTCACCTGCGCTCTTTTCCAAATGTATAATATTCCCTGTAGTTTAACCGCCTACGGATCGTGTCTTACACCCACATCGTCTTTGCTCTGTGTGTGATCGGGAAATAAACAATCTCAAACATGGAGTAAAAAGAAATGGAGCAGTGTCGGTCATACAGCGGTCGTTGTCAACAGACTGTATAGTCTTCACTGCTTGCCTCAGTTGTCTGTATTATGTTTTCAAATATTGTGTTTGTATTGGGGAAACATTCTGATCCATGTTGCAGAGATATAAACCCAGGAACAATCACCATTACTGAGGAGTCCTCCCCTTCCACATACAAGCTCTCCACAGACCAAAGCACAAGGCAAGTCTGGAAACATCAGGACCTGAATGACCGTAAACAATCCAGAGTGAACGTGTGAAATGAGTTGAGAGTGAGCTGGTCACACTTACGCAGTTGGCAGTTTTTTCCCACATAAGGGGATGGGCAGTGGCATTTAAAATCTCCCTCCAGGTCCCTGCAGGTACCACCGTTCTGGCATGGCTGGACGGCACAGTCATTCACATCTATGTAAAGAAAAATAATGACGTCACATCAGTATAGTCCAACATCATGCAGCAGCAGATTGGTCAACTGTCATGAGCCGGGCACACAGGAGAACATTATAAATCAGAAAGAGTCAGAAGTTAGGAGATCACATGTCATGCTTAAGAGACGAGGTTGGACATTTCTTCAGCTGCTTCATACTGAGGTTAGTTGAAGCCATGCCAGAGAGGGCTGGAGCTGCAGCAGAGAGGAGCTTTAATCAGAATATCTGTGACTGAAGGAGCCGCTGCACCCGGAGCTCATGCAGTCAGGATGTGGGGAACATAATGTGTTGAACTAAGTAACTTTGATTCATGCAGTAACTCAGTAACTTTTGATGACAAGCATCATCAAATGACATTCCAGGGCATAGTGAGTTTGATTGTATTTTTTTGTACAGCCTCTTGATGGCGCTATCTGTGTATCAAAGTCTGTGTTCGATGACTCAGACAGGAAAATGAATCAACAGCATGAAGTGGAAAAAAAATAAAACTCAAACTCCTTTGGATCTCTCGCCCACAAGAACTGTCGGTGTGACTAAACAGGCTTCATACACGCTTCATGTTGACCACACACACAAGGAAGAACGTCTGTCTGGTTGCACAGATGACTGCACACCAGAAGGAGTATTTCAGTGAGTCTCTGAAGCTTGAACCCTCTGTGGTTGTTATTATGGAAAAAAACGCACGCTAACAACCCAGGCGCACTGATGTTATGTTTTAATCCGACAGGCGCACACATGGCAGCATCTCCCTTCCCACATGCGCGTTCCATAAATAGCTCTGTGTCCAAATATTCATTCTCACACAGCCACGAGAGGAATACAGCCGCTTTGAAATGTGCATCCTCAAACTCTGGATAATGAGGTCTACAGTCATGAGACTTCTGGCTCTGCTAGTTTACACTAAATAATACACATCAGATTACATACAGCAGGACCAGAGATGAATATTTGAAACATTAATACTCTTTGCAAATAATCTATTTCATCATTTTACTGTTAATTAATTCAAACAGAAGCAGCTTCCTGGGTGTACCTGATTCCTGAAATATTTATAAATGTAGGGTACATTCGGGTTAAAAACACAAGTGTTTATTTACTTATGATAAATGACATCTTGCAGTCTGCGTGCAGTACCTTCTCTACTCACTAGGAGGCAACAGCCCACACTTAAGAATGAGTGATGTGTAACAAATGCTCAAGGTGTTGTAACCATTAAGTTTTGGTTGGTTTTGAAACATGATAAAGTGACCTTCCTATAAGATCACACATTAAGGAAACATGCTGTGTTGAAGTGCTTCTCTGACAACAATTCAGCAGCCAGTATATCCTCCTTCTAACTTTAGATTCTGGTCCTGAATGCTCTGGATTTGTTTGGACCAGACAAGGTAGGTGGTTTTAAGGCACCCCCACACGGCCGTTTTGGACGCCCCTCGTATTGCCAGATATGAGACAGTTATCAGGTCAACAGGTGTTGCAGTGATGGAAGCGGGCAAGAGAACTGGTTCAGATAGAAGTGATTGTCCCCGACCTAAAAAGCCTCTGCATGTTTCTAATAAGCTCCACGAGCAGAAACGTGCTCAAACTAGGATCAATATTGGAGATGCTTTTGAAAAATGGAGAGAGGTTAGAACACAGAAAGGTTTACAGACCGATGCAGAGCTGGATAAACACTGAAGCTTCAGTGTCCACCACATGGCAACCTGAGTGAGCATCGACTCTAGAGAGGAGGGGGTGGGGGGAGTATTTTGACTGCAGTACCTATTTTTAAACTCTACGTGTCAGAGTTACAGATTGCTCCTTTAAATTCAGACAGCTTTGAAGACAAAGGAAAAGATTCATCATTAATTTCACTTCATTGATACCGATACATGGAGTCCTAAACGTGTTTTTCAGAGTGTTTCTTAAACATTTGTAACTTCAGACTTGAACTGGACAGATTGTTGACATGCTCCATGATGTCAGAGTACAAACAACCAAACATGAGAGGTTAATCACCTGGTGGCATACTAAGCCAAAGACCTATACGAGTAGCTGAGGGAAACCCTGGTCCTGACGTGCGTCAGCTGGTGGCTGTCTAAGAGGATTGGGCACCAGGAGAACCACGCAGGCTGGTCAGCATCAGGATCTAATCCATTTATCTCACATTCAGATGGGGGTCAGTAGAGGGAGGTGCCTGAGGAGCACTCCTGATACAGGTAGAGGAACAGGTGGACTTTCACAACTGTAAAGGCTTGTGGGTTTGTTTATTACCAGGTCTATGCATGCTTGAAGTGTATACAGTCTTTGGTGCTTTGATTAGCTTTAACGATAATATGTTAAATGCTGCAACTCTGAAGTTAACAACCAATAAAAACAACACTGTCATCTGATCAGCTGGTACATATTCAGCGGTATATATTGTCAGCACACAGTTGGCACATAAAAATAGATTGTCAGGGGCAGAGGATGTGCTCGACAGAACATCTCCACGGCTCGTATCCAACAAACCCTATAGCTCCTAACAGAAACAGCACACTGCCACAATATTTAGTTTGTCAATATCCGTCCCAGCATAGAAGCAAAAACCAATAAAAAAAATCTCATGCGGCTTGTTTAAAACCTGACCCCGATCGATGCAAAGCCAAGGTCAGCTGGCAGTGCATGTGTTGATCAGCAAAGCTACCTACTGAACACCCAGGATCTGCGCTGCAGCCAGAGGGATTTGGGCCTTAACAAAGGCTATGAGTCGGTATCTAAAGCCAAAATCTGTGTTTCATTGCAGTGTGAGAGGAGTGGATGGGGCTGTACAACAAGTTAAGTTCTCCATAGCTCACAGTGTGAGGCCTCAGCCCACAAGCTACTCAAACTGAGTTTTAAATTAAAGCATCTGCAATATTCATGGTTGGACAACAACACTCCTCGACAAAGTCAAAGAGAAGACAGTGTGAGGAGAAACACAAAGAAAGTGTAAGAATCTTCCATCCCAGGCATGCATCATACAAGAAGATAATTAAATCCTCAACAAGTCATCAACGTTATGCACAACTTTTGGAATCTGACCGTTTCAGAGAATTACATTTGGTCCTTTCTTCCAACCAACATGACACACGATAATGACATATTTCTAATCTCCACCCTAACTGTTGCCATGGTAAAGCAGTTAAGGGGGTTGCTCTACTGGCATTATGGTCACCATATAAAACCACAACGGCAATACTGAATCAAAGTGCCTAAAGTTTTCCAGATGTGTAATTTGCTGTGTACTCTTTCGACTGGCAGAAGGACACCAGGGAGCACCAGTAGCACCAGGAATAGCTTCAAACCGGATCTCTGCCAGGATGCAGAGCTCTGAGATGGAACTTTATGGACAGAGTATTTTTATTTAAAGCGCTTTTTTGTCGAGGCTCCCTCTGAATAGATCAAGGCATGATGACATCAGATCTTACACACAGTTAAATAAAAGCTGTGCTTCTCAGATCTGCCACTACTTCCGCTGTTTTTTAAAATATTATGGCTTTCATTATCAAAGTCTGAACTGACATTCAGTCTTACCGACCCCTCAGCTCAGATGTAGCTTTGCTACATGATGATTCTCTACATGTTTACTAGATTTTCTCTTTAGAGAGAACTTCTTCTGACCAACCTCTTAGTCAGAGAAATAAAGTGTCATCACTCTGACAGAGTCATGACTTTTTGTTTGTGTGGCTTACATATAAAAAAAACTGCGTCTTTAAAGTGTGAGAGATGGGTTTCCCTCGGTTTAATCTGTCGAGTTATCCAACACCACATTATGGTTTTTACAGAAACACAAATGTGGTTGTCAGTGTTTCTGAAGGTTTTTAAGAAAGGCATTAACCCTTTAACTGCTTCTTACAGGAGTTACAGATGCAGATACGCTCAAAGAAAAAAAAAAAAAGAGTTTACGGTCTCTGTAACTTAATTTATTTATAAAATGTTCATGATTTGCTCATTAAGCAGATCCTGAAATACAGCGGTCGGTCTGTGTTATGAGTTTACTGTTAATCGTTACTTTCTCAAAAGAACATTCTTTATCGAAACCAACTAGAAGATAGGTACCGACAATTAACTGGACTTTTGGCATGACATAATAACAGTTTGATTATTTATCAAACACTGAGCAGGATTAAATTAAAAAGTGTTTCACTATTACACAACCTCTTTGAAAGAGTGCATCATTTGCTGTTTGGCCCACTCTTTCAGACTGTGTGGGTGTGGCCGATCTCCACTGATTGACACCCGTGAGGGTCATCTGCACAGTAGTGACACATGTGATGATGAGCGTGGTGTAGCATTACAGTATATCCTCTGAGAAGGAAGGACTGCCAATATCGAAAATGGTTCCTTTTAATTGGTTAATGAATGGTGAGTTACAAAATGCAGTCAGCATTCTCCAGCAGCATTAGAGGAGATGCTCTCAGTTATCAAAGCTATGAACCCGTCCATCCATCCATCCATTTTCTTCCACTTATCCGAGGTCGGGTCGTGGTGGCACCAAGTGCAGTATGTCAACCCAGCTATGAATGCTATGCTAAATGATGGCTGACACATTAGCCCTTGCTAATAACTGGTGGATATCAGAACATGAAAGAGGTTAACATTGTGTTTGAACAGCCAGATAACTGTATGAATGGTGGCTGTATAGCTTCACATCCATACATAGCCCATACCTACTCAAGCTTAACCATGCAAAATACAAGAATTCAAGAAAAATTGAAACCTAAATTACAAATTTGGAGGAAACTTATTTCAAGAAAGTTTAGGATGATAACAATTGCGTCCATAACACATTACGTCACTTTTCTTCTCAGAATTCATTTCAGCTGTGTTTCTTTTTGTCTAATGAGCCCTTCCTGTGAGTTATGACTGATTTTACAGCCCTTAAAAAGTAAGTCTGTCGTTGTTGTTTACCTGTGAGTGTTTGACATCACCAGTCTAAACACCAAACAGATTATTGTGTACCTCACATGGACTGTAAATATTACTGGACAAACCCTGACCCGTCTGTTACGTAGGCAGCAAATGAGTCCAATCGACGGCCACATCCATATTGGATTTGCAGTCTCAACCTAACTTCGGCTCAACCTAGATACAGCAGTAAGGCGGGACTTAACTCCGCCCATTCAGTTCGACGTTAGCAGTCCACTTGACAGCATAGCTAAACGGCTACAGCTGCTATCATCCTATTCCTGCTCATCCTGAGAAAACTCTATAAACAGCAAGTTAACATTTAACTTTTCTACAACACATTTAAAACAAATTATATTCAACCCAAATATTTAATTAAAGTCTTAAAACTACACTTTTTTAAATATACAATTATGGTTATTAGTTATTTGTCAGCGCAGTTAGTAGACTTTGTCAGGGTTAGCAAAGTTTTATCATAAAATGTAAGAATCATTTTGAGGCAAATCTTTACATTTAAATTCTAACATTGTGTTACAAATCATTACTTGGGTGTAATTATATGTTTAAGGATAAGAAGTCTGTTTTAAAACGATAACAGACAGAGCTTTGGCATCTTTTTTCATTTCGTTGTTGTTGATAAAACTACTGTTAGACCATAGACTGTAAATAAATATGAGAGACATCCAGAAGAAATAAATATCAAAATGCATACAGTTCGTGGTTGTTACTGTTCTGACAAAAAGAGGAATGTTTGTGCTTATATTTACTGATGTCAACAGCGATGTGGGTGAACATGACAATTGAAAATAATGATTTAGTGTAAGATATTTGTTTTCTATTGAACCCCGTGAAGTCATGGAGTCTGTGGACAGTGTCAGCTTCACACCAAAAACTGTAAGTATTAGAAAAAAAATAGTATTTAAGACTGGCATCTATTATTACGAGTTGCAGCTACCTTGTTCAATATTATTCCTGCAGATGTGGCTAATAACAAAAAAACACCCTGAGCTGTCACATGTAGTTAACTGTACATTTTGTCTTGTCTGAGGCATTAATTGAACACCTTTGTATTTCTCCTATAGACACAGTGTGGATTATTGGGACTGTCCGTCGAGGTGCCCAGAGAGCTGCAGAGACAGAGGAAGAAACCTGAGCCTCAACAACATCTGCATTGGTTGGTTCTTCTGGGGTGGACTTCGGTTGCTTCTATTCTTCAAAAACTCGCTGTGAGGGAGGTCTCCCCCGGATGGCCTGAGTGATGTCACCCACAGGCTGAGAGCTGAGGCGGGTTTTAAGCATCCTGACAAACTGTTACATCGAGCCCGCCGCCAAGCTGGTCAGTTACAGGCCTTATTGTGAATAACTCTCATCCTTCATCAAATCAAAACAGATGAGTCATCAAGACATTCACCCCCCCGTACAGTGTGTGTCGCTCGAGACATGAGCTAATCACACCTACAGTATTTGTTTTTTTGTACCAAGCTGTAAACATGTTAATCTCTGCTGTAAAAACAGGCTTTTTGAAGTTGGGTTTTCAGATTAAATAAATATTTCTATATAAATGCACTCCTTTGTCTCTACTTATGTGTATACATTTCAGATTTGAAATGACAAGACTAAAATGTGCATTAATGCTCAACTCAATAGCTTAGGGAAGGAAGTCTACTTTTACACAACTTTTTATTTTTTCCTGACCTGCTCCTGAACTGACAGACAGATGCAGCGCGCAGAGCTGTCAATCAAATCTGCCACAACCCTTATATGGGCATAACCGTTTTCCTTCCGATGCGTTGGCTGGGGGCTTATGGCACTTCCGGCGCTTCTGCAGCCAGCCTCAAGCGGAACCTCGAGGAACTGCAGTTTTTTGTACTTCCGAATTGGCTTCATTTTTCGAGACCGGTTGAGTTGAGAAGATGTGACACATCCAATTCAAACAGAAGTGAACCAGGAATTATACGACCGGCTAGATAACAAACACGTGCATCTACAGTATCTATATATTATATGTACTCCGACCCCCGTACTCCACAGGGGGCATGGTGCCCAGTCTGCCCACAAGACCACATCCCGGGAGGAGCTGAAAACTCTCCTAAAACAACTGAAAAGCAGCACAGGTATACACATCCATTTCAGCTCCCTCTAAGAAGCAAAGTCTGCCTTAATCTGTTATGAAAGCTCAGATTCAGAACATGTGGGCTAGAAAAAATACTCCTCCTTCCTTCCCATCCATCTGCTGTCCATCTGATATCTCTTTCTCTGCAACCCATAAAAGCTTTCAGGACAATTTGACAGGACAGTCAGAGGTGCTGCAGTCAGACCTGAGTAGTGAGTGTGACATTGTCTGGAGGTACAGACTTAATTCACCGTTCCGCCTCCACGTTCACTTTTTTTCGCCTGGCAACAGTAGCAGAGCTGACGCTGCGAGCGCTCAGCGTGGACAGCCAACGAGGGGATGAACATTGTGGTTATGTGTATGCTAAACAGTGTGAATATGAGATCATGAGCTGTGTGTGGTTGTTATGGTGGGCACTGTATATAGTGTCATGCTGCCTTGATCTGTTATTGGACTTTTAGAAATACATTTATTCAGACAGAAAGGCATCTCAGGTACAAACTGATACAAAATAAATCATTTATATGGCCTTCGTTCCTTTAATTGTCTTAAGGAGTGGGTGTTGCTATTTTCCCTTTTTCTGTCTTTACTGTTTTTCTATTTGTAGTTTTTTAGATGCAGTTTAGCATGAGAACAGAAACTTTATGTCTGACTCAAGTTTCTCCAAAACGAAAACGGTCACATTTGAGTCCACTCCCAAACAGCAGGCTTCCATGCGCTCTCACAGTCGACCAACAACAGGACTGTGGTGTCGTTTAACTTTTTTTAAACTCCTAAAACGTCTGAGATGATATGTATTTTAACATGTTAAGTGAGTGTGAGGATGCTAGTTAAATCTTTAACTGCCTCTCTGGGGTTCACCACAGTCACAGGTTTTCTGCAGCCTCCTGTCTCCCTCTGTTTCGTACAAACCGTAGAAGCTGACTGCTGTGACCCTCACTCAGTGCCCACACACACACACAAATTAGAGAGCACTTAAACTGTCACAACACACTCATCAGGAGTTGGGAATGGAGGGGGGCCTCCCCGACAAGGCAGCACTCAGGGGGGTTCTTATAAAACCAACAAGGTCAAATAAATTCCCCTCATCATTATCCCTGAAGCATTATCTAATTAGTGTAAAAGCCTGCTCTGCAGAGGGCTCTTATTCTGGCAGCGCGGCTCAAAGTGTCTGCCAAGAGAAATTGGGAATATATGGATTCTGGTGAGCTGTGATTTGTGGTTCACATGGGTAAATGAAAACACAAACAAACTTGTTTGCTGTATTTTCTCCGCAGTCTAATGAACGACTAGAATAAGTGCCGGTTAGTTTGAGATTTAAATCGATGGTAACTTAGAAACAGCAATAGAGAATCTGAAGAGATTCTCTGAAGGTGCTTTCACACAGGTGAGCTGTATGTGTCAACGCAAACAGACACATTTTACACTCCGATGTTTACTCTGAATTTTTATCCAGCCAGCCCTCTAGTCAATTTTCTGTGTGAGGTTGAGGTGAGCTGATGACCTTTATATCCTGCAGCCAGCGCATGACCATAGACTGTATAGCGCATCGTCAGCACTATCTTCATGCGCATAATGAAACTGCTTCATTATATAGTCTGTCCACAAGCACGTTCTTCTCTGCTCTTTAGTTGAGATTATGAATATGTAGTCATGGTATATATATATATATATATATATATATAGAGTCATCATAGCACTGACTCTGCTGCGTCGTCCTTCACTACCGTGTCGTTCTTTTTAAGGCATGTCTTGTCTCCTGAGCGCCCCCTTCCTGTCAGACAGGAATAGTCTCCCGCTTTGATGTGCAACTGTGAACAACCAACTGAGGAAGATTTCAGGGGGAGCCTGCCTGTTATTTTTTACCAATTTTCAGTCATGCATGTTTAAAAAAATGGCCTGAGGTTTGACGCATGATAACAAATCTTTTAGTGTCAAAGGACATCTTCCTCTTCCTGTTTGGAAAGGTGAACTGATAAGACAATAAGAATACATAAGTAGAGTTTAACTGAGGGTTTGAGGCATGAGAGGGTTAAACTGATAAAAGGAGGAGTATGTAACAATGTGAGATCCTTCTACCTATAATCAGAAACAAGGAGAGATAGTGCTGAACTCAGCAGTTTGCTGTATGTGTGCGTATGCGAGTGTGTGTTGTTGTACTCTACAGCCTCGAGAACAGAGAGCACCTGGATTCAAGAAGGAAAAGCGACCACAGCTCATATAACAAACACACAGACATCTTTCTCTCTTTGACACTCCACTGTTACCTTTGCTTGAACTGAAATCTGCACCTTGGACACCTAGGATAAAAAGGCAAACATGATCAAGCACAAATTAAAAATAGGCTTCTCCTCAGAGTCCCACTTGATTCCTCTTAAGCTGCTTCTTTGTGCACACTTGGCCACTGTTTCTCTGCCGCCTTCACACACAAACAGTAGCCATCTGTCTCGCAGTAGAGCATGGCTGCAGGCAGTTGGAGGAGCGCAGCACATGTTCCCGGCATTCAGTCCCTGTCTTAGGCTGACCCTGACTGAACTAACCTGGTTTGAGTGACGACTGAATAAAACTCTCATGAGGGCGACAGCTGTCTGTCTGGTGGCCGGCGCTCGCAGCAGCTGTCTCCATGTAAGTGTGTCAGTTGAGACGGATAAACAGGGACCTCATTAAAGTTGCTAATACAGTGTAAAGAACTGTGCTTCTGTGATAGCTGAAAGAAGTCAGGATTTTGATTTATGATTAAACAAAATAATGGTGGATGTTTCCTGTAGTTAAAAAGATAAATGAGTGGGAACACAGATTGTGTTTTAAATTCCCATGAAGCAGAGTTATTAAATGTTTCAGGGGAAAATAAAATAAAAGGCATTTTGTTGGTTTAAGATGACACTGAAAGGTTTCCTATTTGATGAATACTCAGTCATAGTCATCCTTTCTATTTGATTGCTCACTCTAAAAGTGGATTCTTCCAAGCTGGCAATAACTCTATAAAACTATGAATACACTGAATATCTCACAAAGATAAACATTTATAACCCAATTCACAAAAAAACTACAAGTTATTAAATAGCAAGAAATTTAAAAAACAACAACTATGAAACAGGGCACGAAGACTTACTGTTCTGGCAGTGGACTCCATCAAAGCCTGGCTGGCACTTGCAGACGTACTCGATGAAGACGTCACCTCGACGAGAGTGACCCCTCTCGTCACAAGTGGCATCGTTCTTGCACGGGTTGGGGTTGCAGGGCCCTTTTGGTCAGGAAGAAAACCAAAGAGGGTGGAGGAGAAGGCAGTCAAGTTAAACAGAGGTAGAGGGGTGCAGGGGTTGAGACATTTTAGTAATCGTTTTTTCTGTTTCAGGAATTGGGGAAGGGTTAAGATTGAGTTATACAAGTTTTTTGGACACCATTGGTATAAGCTTTTCTGATCTACAGTACTCTTTTGGCAAAATTATATATTCAGCCTCAGAGCTGCAACAAATAACAGGTTGTCTCCCAGTCAAGACTATATGTGGCACCCAATCAGTAAAGTATTTATCTCATGGTCCTCATCTTAACAGTAAATTACACTCATAAAACACCTTCTACCTCAGATGCAATGCTTACCAGTCTCAGTCTCGGAGCAAGTTTCTCCAGTGAAGCCGTCAGGGCAGATACAGATGAATGGAGCTCCTGCTCCGGAAACACAGGTTCCACCATTACTGCACACGTTCACCTTACAGTAATCACCTGGAGAAAGAAGGAAGACGATACACTCACTTCTACTGGACTCAAAACACTACAAATGAACAAAAACCTATTCAGAAAGTATTTATTCATAAATAGCAGTTTTGTGTCCCAGACCCATGTTTGTACTTAAAGTACGGCTAAATACCACAAAAGAGAAATATTTTAAAAAGAAGAGCAGACTATAGAGATGGTTGTGAACTCTTCATCTCACTCTCATAAATGCCTGAAGAAGCTCGGCATTTCCTGTCAAACATCTGGTATTTCCAGCTCATATTTCAGGGCAGGAAGAGAATCATCACAAACTGTAGCTGTGGTCTAATGCATGTGTTTTTTTTTTGTTTTTTTTTACTGAATGTGGTTAATTGTAACGATCCAAACCCGTTTATATACCAGCGATTACAGAAAAGCGTAGGATAGAGGGAATTCAATATTGTTTTCTCCTCTTATAGAGTCGGCCACTTCTCCCCCTTGTTGTGCAGCTGAATGAAAAGTAAACAGCCTGCTGCAGGTTGGATGTGACGGTGCGAACAGCTGAGTAAGCCATCACTACAGTGTAAACACAACACAAACACTGGATGCTTCCAGCAGCATCATTGCTGCCCAGCCTGAACCTGACAGTCTGGCAGCTCGCTGAGCACGAGGGAAATCATGTCAGATAGCGGTTTGTGTGGGGAAACAAGGATTCAAGAGGCGTTCAGTGGTTTCTCAGAATCATGAAGACAGCTACAGACAAATAGTTACATTTCTTATGTCTGTCCTGAAACTATTCTTACTAAACAATAAAGGCAGAAATTGTATTACAAGCATGGCACATGCGAGGACGCCTTGTCAGGATTGTAGCAACTAGTAAATCAGGCATAACAATGAACCAGTAATTTTTTCTTAATATAGATACACAGCACATAGAATTTTGGAGGGGAACTTTTGAATTACACCCTGTTTTGACATTTATGTATGAAGGAAGTAAATAATTGGGAGCCTGTTTACACCCCTGTAGACAGGGAGGATTTTACCAAGTTGACACTTATCATTTGGATAATTGTTAGGGAACCTGAGGTTGAACCCCAAGTGTGAAATTGGTGGTTTAAGTCCCACAGTGTCTGACTTGCAAGCAAAAAAAAAAAAGGCGCTCTGACCCCATTTTTAAAGTGTTTCAGCGGGGTACCTCTTCCCACCTCAAACAAAGCCGACTCGTGGGAGTGGATAAATATATTTTTGTAGTTTTCTCAGGGAGAAGAGTGGCCTTTTCAGTCCTGCTGAGGGTATAATTCAGAGGCCCCAAGGCCAAGGCTGAAAATGGGATTTTAAAAAACGTCTTACTTCCTGTGCATTGCTGTGTCCTTTCCATCGTTCTAACCCCACAATGCACACACATCCTCTCTTGAAAACACTTAAGGCAGGGAGTACCCTAAGGAAGTTTTTCAGTGCATACTGTAAATATACAGAATGTGGATGATGTAGTAGGTTACATTTGTGTCATCGTCACAGAGAGAAAAGGACGATGAGAGATTCACTTTGCCAACATCCTGTTTTTCATCTGAACTGCTCTTCCTGCATGGATGTCATATCTTATCAGGGCTGTATCCAGTGTCATGGCCTTCATGTGCGCTCACATCTCATGAGACGGTTGGGCAACAGGCTTTGCTGGCACCGCCAACAAAATCCTCCCTCCAAAAGTTAGTGTCTGTTTATCTCTGGGAAAGAAACACATCCTCCCTTCCTCTACTGGAAGACCTCCCCCCCTCAGGAAGCCCTGTATAACTGTCCCACTGATGAACCTGAAATAAAAACACAACCTTCTTTGGGATAAGAACAGTGATAAGAGAGTCACACTTCTTCATTAAACTCTCACTGTAAGAGGTTTCATGCTCTGACTGAGGGAAACTTTAAAACACGCCTGTAAGCTATTTTCAGAAGGAAATGAAATTTGTCATGTATTAGTCAAAGTGGTCGGCCAAGAGACGGTGGTCAAACCACCAGAGTCTCCATGAAAATCCCCTGAAGTGATGCCACCATCTGTAAACACCACGTTTGTATCACATTTCACATGCATGGAGAAAATGGAGGCATGACATTTTTCTTCTTTTCATGAAGTTTATTTGAAATATTATAAGATTAGTTTAGCTTTGCACAAGGATCTGTCACACGCTTAAAAATAAGAGTTAGTTTCAGTTACAGAATATATGCAGTTCCATGTTATGTGGTTGTCAACCCAATTTAACTGTAAGCTGCTCGCTTTTTCAGAAGAAACCAAAACATGTTCTCTATTATCAGTATGCATTGTTACTTTGAGGGAAATCTGCGGCTGTAATTTCAGTTCCATTTATTGTGAAATTCATTTCAACAATCTAAACCGAGAGTTCGAAAGGTTGGATTGCTCCTACCCCCCCGCCCCCCACCCCACAAAAAAAGGAGATGTTTCCTCACTACGCTCTTGTGATATCTATTGCAGAGAATCTTTGGGGTGACATGTTTTTCTGTTTTATAGTCCTCATGAAAACTGTTGTTGTGCAAGTTTTCAGATGCAACTTTTAAATGCTGCAGGTAACAAAAGTAGAACACTAGTTTGATGGTGGACACAGACTATCTGCATAGCTAGACATGACTATCTGGGTGTAAAACGTTTTTTCTCTATATACTACACCAGACACTTTGTGTACTGCACCCCTGCAGCTGACTATAAAAGGAAAATGTCCTAAACTAATCAGTTATCCAAAAATAAACCCAACATTGGCACAAAACGTTCACTGCTATTCATCCACAGGTCACTGACCTCTGCAGTAACTCTCCTCAGGCTGCATGTGATTAAAGAAGGTTGTTGCTTAAGAAATGAAACCTAAGTCTCTTTAACAAGTTAAAACAAGACGAAGTATGTAAATGTTTTCTTGATATTCCAGTTAATGTTGGCACAGCCCTCTAAAAGGCTGGATTCCAAAAAATATACAGCAGTTGTTTCATTATCCCACACTTCCCCAGTTTGGGATCTATCTAATCTCATTATGTGAACACACATACATTCTAATAAGTAAAAAAAAAAAATCTAAACGACAGCTATGATTCATGAGGGTGGGCCCACAAACACATCTTACGCAGCATTTAAAAAATGCAGTGAAAACAATTATATCTCATTTATATTTAAAAAAAAAAAAAAAAAACAGTGAAAAGTTGCAAACTCAATGGCCCACTTTGTGCCAGCCCCACAGCGACAGATTAGGGAAGTATGTGGAGTTTACATTTGGCAGGACGGAGTATTTCCACAGGGCATTGTGTTTATTCTCCCTCCTTATGAGTCACGGTCTGTGCCTTTCCCATCATGCCTCAGCCTGAGAATACGATTCAAATAACCAGACCAAAAACACAGAACAGTGAGAGCTAGAGACACAGAATAATCCAGTCCCCACCAACAATAGGAATGTGTATGAAATCATGAAAAAAGTATGAAATCAGGATATAATGACTCAGCTGGGGATGGGCATCAAAACTCTGAGCATGTTGCAATATTTGTAATGGAAACTTTTTTAATGCCTTTGCTTAAAAGTTGTACTATTTTGCAAGAAGGAAATATTTGGAAAAGCAGCCTCATGTCTTAAATGAACGAGTGACTATTTTTTTTTTTACTGCAGGGCTGGCTTTGGCCCGACTGACCATGACCAATCTTGTGTTTACTTAATGGAGACAAATGAGCAGCAGTGAAACACGTGGCACATGTTTCCTACAGGAGCTCCACAGAAAAAAGGAGAGTCTATAAGACTTCTGCTGAGTGGATCAACTATCATCCTGAGGAGACATACTCACTCTTCTCCTGCTGGAGCCCATGACTTCCTCCGTATAATATCGGTTGTCAGTGGAGGAGCAGAGGGTTTTAAACGTCTGTTTGTGTCTCCTGATGGAGGCCACAAGCCGAAAAGCGTCGGCCTAATTTGTTAATAAATAAAGTGTTGCTGGAGCTTTTTGACCTCTTCAAGCTTTTCACTCTTCATGCACCTTGATAGTCGGGGAAGTTGTGCCAGAAAATACTCTGCCATAGATAACATCTTAAAATTATACAATGACTTTGTTTTGTGCTTTTCAGACAGAACAGCCCACAGGTGAATGCACCAATCATAACCCTTTACACGTTAACAGACAACACAACGAGAGCACTGTATGGTAAAATCTGTCGTCCTTTAGGGCTATGCAGCAGGGTAAAGATGACCGCAGGGGGCATTTCAGGACATAAAAGGATGGAGTGGATTCTTAAGGGACACTAACAGCGACTAGAATCAGCTTGACGTAAGTGAGCGGGCGAGCCTTAATCAGTTTGATGTGAAACAATCATTTCTGGAGGCTGCAGCTTCGCAGAGAGGTTCACATGCCAAATTAAGAAGATACATCCACTGCACCGCCGGGGCAAAAATCTCTTTCATCTGAACCATTCTTGAGTTATCAAAGATGACGTGGAAGAAATCAGTAGAATACAAAAAGTGATACACTTAAACAGTTTAAGAAGGCTTTGCAGGAAGTGGCTTCTTAAAGGGAAAAGAGGCGTGTGTGTTTGAAATGAGCTCCCATGTTTAGGTTTGTAAGGGGTTCATAAATCCAATAGAACCTGAGGATGTATAAGGGCTGATACATGCATGCTTGTGAGTGAACGTGTGAGTTTAAAGTGTATATACTGTATATGAGAGAGTGTGGTTACATCAGTGCTCTTTTCTGCTTTGTCCTGAGGCCTGAAAACAGTAAGCCCTCTGCTCTGTCACGCTCACACAGGCATGCTGGAGTGTATAGGCTGTGCAGGAACTCTGTGTTCCAGAAAACCAAGGAGAGACGCCTGCATTGTGCACACATAAACACACAAATGTCCAGGCCTTGTTTAAACCGTTTAAGGATGTGCTGAGGCGTAATAAGATGTCTTTAGACCTGTAGAGTGCTCATCTAGAATAAATATCTGCTGCTGCCAACATTCACTGCTGCACTGAAAGAGAAATCAGGAGAAAGTGCAAGAGTACGCGTATGACAGGAAATGGATTTGTCAAGGCCAGGTTTACCTGAGAGAGAGAGTCCTTAAATGACCTCAGTCCTGTTAAGATTGCGCTCAGCAGGGCTCCATCTGCAGGTGAGCTTTCTGTTATGTTGGCCGCTCCAGAGCACTACAGACATCTGCTGCTGCTGATCCCCCCCCCCCCCCTCCCAAAAAAATAAAAAGGGCCAGCGTCTAAAAATACACACGTGTCATCAATGTAACAACAAGCTTTTCTGAGGTAGGGTAACTGAAACAGAGCCTGGAATAGAAACACAACAACACTCTGAACTGAACGGAGTTGTCATCACTGCTGATCACATAAGTCACAACTTTTACTCGGACTTGGATTGGATTCATGCACTGCTGTCTCGGTCCCTGGCTCAATATTTAAGATGACATGATGACAGTGTGTAAAATATTCAACATGGCAGATTGGAAAGTGGGCCGGCACACGCTAATAAAGTGTCCCAAATTAGAAAGAGACTCCATATTGTAATGAAACATTGATTAAGGAGGGTATTCAAAATTCAAATGGAAGAACAAGACGCCAAGTCGTTTCCTGTCCTGAGGGATTTGGAGAGAGAAGTAAAAATAAAGTCATCATTGAGAAGAAGACAGCAGCCTGAAGGGAACGGGCCGGCACAGGCAGATGGTAAAAGAGAGAGTTCACCATCGACCACACACACACATATTCCATTTACAAAATTAAGTGACAAGACTTCAGGTTATCAGAACAAATCATCAAAAAACGTTTACTCTCGGACTGCAACTAAACACAAGTTCCGTTACCAAATAATCTGATCATTATTTTCCTAAATTATCGATGACTTATTATGTCTATTAAATCTCTGAAAATAGTAAAAACCAAATATGAGCTGCACATTTTAGATCTAGAATAGATCAGTTGACTACTGATATTTCAATTCAGGATAATCAAGCTAATTAAATTTGACATGTGTGACTATTTTTCAACTCCAAAGAATTTTGACCTTAATCTGCGAAGGAAGCAAATGTTGATTTAAGATTTTCCAGGCATTTTTGAATGATAAGCCTCAAAACGTTGGATTTATTTTCTAATTTTTGACTTGATAATTGTGATAGGATTTTTGTGTATTGGGCCATGCATTAGACAGATATGATAAATCTGGAAACATAACCTCAAAAACCTGACAAAAAGCCTGTTTTTTTTTTAATTAGAAGATTATCAATAAAAATAACAATTTATTAGAAAAATCATTGATATTCAATTTTCTGTTGACAGATTTATCAACCAATCATTGAAAGTCTGTTCTGTTCTGGTGTCATGAGATCAGATACTGATGATGATATTAAATGTACACAAATAGCATCCAGCTCCAGATTAAGTTACGTCTGTTTTGAATATCTTATTTAAATCACCTGTTTTACGACCTGTTCAGTACTAAGATAAATCTCTTAAGAAAAATAAATACTGCAGAGCTGAAATCCTTCATCACATGACCCTAAATAAATCCAGACAAAAGTAACTCATGATGTGTACATCTGCAGGAAATGACCATCCCTCACAATAGCAGGAAATTACATTTCAGATTAAGTCCAATGAGTGCCTGATGTATTGGCAATTAAACCCTCTCTTGCACCAACATGCAAATCTGCACCAATTTGAACTGAAAAGAATTAATAGGCACCTGCCCACATCCACACACTGCTGCCACGCCATTGGCCCAGCGTTTGGCTATATTTAGCGCTGGTTCACTCAGTTGCCCTAAGTGGTGTTGTTGTGAGAAAAGACTGCCTCAGCCCTGACACAGAACACCATTTTCCACTTTTCTCCCTTCAGCAGCAAACAGATACGACAAGTGAGCTACAACCTGCTGAATTGAGCCTAATCAGGAAAAACCAAGGGGCAAAAAACATCTCCCCCTTCAGCTCTTATTCTGCCCTGTAAACACTCCGTATGACACAGCAGGAACAAGTCCAGTCCCCTCCGACCCCCGAGGTTTTAGTGGGCAATGTTGTGGGTGGAAGTTCACTGGCAGCGTGTCATCTGTGTTGGCGAGCGGCATCCGGAAATGTGACTCAACCTTGGGGCCAGTGCAACCACACCTATTCTCCGAGGCTGCCCCGTCCCGTAGCAGGGATATGTGCTTCTCTTCTGGCTGCGCTCTTTTCTCCAGTTTAATTTCCAAAGAAAGTGTTTCAAACATTTATGCAAGCGATGCAGCAGGGAGAATCCAGCAGTGTCATTCCATCACGCAAGTGAGTTATTTTAAGCCAATGCCAGGCTACTTAACATGTCACATGTTCTACATGGTCTTCTGCTAACTTTTTTTTTTAAATCTTCTCTGCAACTTTCATCAAATCTCAAGTGTCCCAGGATGGAAATACACTAGACCTGGTTGCTAGCATTGATAACAGCAGGAGAAAATGTCAAAGGTTGGATTGTGTGTGAACTCAAAAGTTTAATCTGATAAGAGACATACAGTCTCAGGCTTTCTCAGAGGTTCAACACAGAAGTCATACGTTCTGCCCTTTTTTTTTTTTTTTTAAATGTGCAGGAGAGCTCAGTGGAACATCAGGATTTTTACATTTGGAAAATACATCACCACATCAAAGAAAACATGTGTGACATGTGATGCTGTCCGTCTGTCTGTCTGTCTGTCTGTGCAGAGGAGAAAGAAGGGAGGCGAAATAGCCTATTTCTCTCTTTGTCCACTGGCCTAAATGTGTTTGATCCATGGAAATGCAAACAAAGACAGCTGCCAATGGCGTGATACGGACATGAACGAGTATAATAGCCAACCAGTTTGTGTCACGCTCCTTAAAAGGGGCACTCTGCACAAAAATTCCCCTAAGGCATTGTTTCTTCAGCCAGCAGTCTGACATGAGCGGCTGGCCTACAAAACATCAAGAGATCCACATTTTCATTCCTTACATTTTGTGACATCACCTCATGTAAACATTTCTCGTTTTACAGCATCAGATCCAGATAACAGATGCTGTACAGTAAGTCGACCGTGCATTTTGAGCCGAACTCTCAGGACAATATTGATCATTGAGCCCTATACAGACATTTGATTCTCTATTCCTCGCAGTAAAAAGCCTGAGCAGGCTATATGAGATGTTCATTTTGAATCCCAACACAAAGGAAAAGCAGATCATGTCAGACCCTCACTTATAAAGAAAACAATCCTTTATGATTTTTTTTTTTTTTTGTTACTGCTCCGAAGTGGCTAACCAATCGAACATTTGCACTTTTTCTATCGACTGCAATAGTTGAAATGAGCAATTTATTCAAAATTTAGCCAAAAAAGGTACATTTTACAATTGAATTTCTTTAAAACACTTCAGACCCTACATCTTACATGACCCACAGTTGTTGTTTGTTACTTGGATTGAGTTTTAAGTAGCTGGTAACAGTAAACAGTAAACAAAAAAACAACAATATAGTGTGGACTCTCAACCCCCAGAATTTACGGTTTAAAAAACAGTGAGATTGATTCATAATTTCTGTTTGCTGCTTATTTCTGCACAATTGGTCACGCATGTTGCAGTCAAATGTGTATAGTTTGGTTTGAGCCCATGCATTTTAAAGAAGAAGAAGAAGACGAGATTGGCCAGAGGCAGCTGAACAATGTCTGACTTCTCACATTCCCACACGTCCTGTCCGCTTATTCAAGGACTGCTTGAACTTGTGCTGCTACAAATGTCCACAGCTCGGTTTCTCTGGTGATGAAGTGACGGTGCCACTTGTGCCAAGGCTCACATTGAAGTCATCACAGAGCCTACCAAACACGCTTCAGCAGGCGTGTGTGAAAACGAAAAACACTACACTACTACTACTGGATAAATGTTTAAACAGAGGGAGAACAAGGAAGCTCAGACGAAGCAGCTTGTTAAGACTTCTCCACTAAAACCAACTAATACAAGCACACACACGAAAAAGCAACTTACCCTTCACCCCAAACACGAGACAAGCAGCGAAAAGTTGCATCCAAAGGGGGAAAATTGTCTTCTCCTTCATGGCTGCGGGTTTTGTCAGTCAGTGGTACGCTGTAGAGTTAAAGGGACGACACGGCGGATCTCCGTACGTCGGTGCTTTCTGCCTCTCGAGCTTGTTGTGCGGCTCCAAACTCGCGAGCAGCAAACATAGAGCAGAAGCACGTGCGTCGAACTCTCAGCCAATCGCAGCCATGGCTTCTTAATTGTAGCTCCGCCCCCTCTTTCCCGCTGTGGATGAAGGGGGGGAAAAAAACACACTGAGGGCATTCGGCCTAAATTACCTTGGAAACTAAAGTGAACCGATGATGTGCTGCATTTTAATAAAATGTCTTGATAAATATCTTTAATTTACTAAGCTGCAGTTACAAACAGCCTCTGACATAGTTTTATTTGTAGGCTTTTTTTCTTAATTATGCTTATAGCTACCAAGCTTCTCACTTTATTTAATATATTTAAAACTTTTTACATTTAGTCAACTATTCCAGAGAAAAATACTTTGACTTTGTACCGCTTTGTACCAATGTATTTATATGGCTGGAATTAATTAGGTCAAGCGCTTTCATGACCTTTAAAGCTTTCTCACATGTCAGCGTATATGTCCAAAGGCTACAAGATATATTGAGATAATGTGTGTGTGTATCAGCCGATATTGGCCCTGTTGACACATGCACATCGGTAAGTAATATGGCATGAACCAATGTCAGTAGCCAATGTTTCTTTGTTGTGCCAAATCAATTTACTGCTGACAACTAGTATACCTACTGCTACTGATTTGGAGAGGAGCTGTTTTATTGGGCAGATGAAGTCATCTGTTGAACAAACTCTGACTTGTTTTCACTGTCAAACATGAGAGAAAATATTGGCATTGTGGGAGTCTTACACCAAAAGAAGCCATGACACAAACATCAGTATCGGAATCAGCAATCGGCTATTGTTATTTCTAACACTGGTATGGTATCGGCATCAGACATGATCCCAATGGTTGGGCACACCTCTACAAAATACATCTTGTGGTGATAGGTCTTGAAATCTGGTTTTGACAAACTCTGGTGCTTTTGTCAGGTATCTTATCTAACAGACGAGGTTTAACATTTCAAGATAAACAGAAAAACTCAAAACAATATTAATGATCATATTCAGAAGCCCCTTTTTCATTAAAAAAACACCACAATTATTTTGTATTCAATGTCTTACAGATTTAAAATATATTTATGAAGTGTGCATAGTACTGTGCAAAAGTCAAAGGCCACCATTTTTTTATCAATGTTATTGTATATTATCACTTTATTTCCTCTGGAAAGCACCTGGTTGAAACGTTTTACAGCATGACAACAAACACAAGCACACTGCCAAATCAGTGAAATCATATTTGGAGAAAAAAACATTTTTAAACCGTCATGGACTGACCTCCAAAGAGTGCAGACATGAATATTATAGAGGCAGTATGGGATCACCTGCACAAAGAAAGACATAAATTACATCCTAAACCAAAAGAAGAACTTGGGGAAGTGCTGAAGGAAGTCTGGTATATTAAACCAGAAGATGACTTAAGAACCAAATCAAGACAGTCTGCCAAAAAGAGTTCAGTGCAGGTGCAAAGAGCAAATGGGGGTAAATGGAAAAATGGACTAGTCTTCTGACTACTCAAAACACTTTTACACCTCAGGTTACACCTACACATTCACACACTGATGGCAGAGGTTGCTATGTAAAGTGTCCATCAGGAGTAACTAATCCCATTCATACACATTCATACACCGCTAACGAAGCAGCAGGAGCAACTCGGGGTTAAATGTCTTGCCCAAGGACACATCGGACATGTGGCTGGGATCCCACAGTAAATACTGAATTTAGCCTACAAGCCATTTTGGTCTGAAAATTGTGTATTGTTTTATATTTTCTGGTTGTGTCTTAACAAATACATCATTAAAACTGTCTTAAAACAACAAACGTAGTGCACTTTTGAAATACTTTCATTGCTATACTTCTTCTTAAGCACTCTCTCCATGTCTCCATTCCCTTTTCTTAAACAGCTCTGGGAAAATTCCCATGATGGCCCCATGCATGAAATCCTCCTCTGAAATGCAGATTAAGGCCGATGTTTTTATTGTCAAAAGCCGAAAGGTTCATCTGTGGGCGTTTCTTCATCCGAGATCCTGCAGTGGGTCAGAGTTGATTTCTCTGCTCCAAAAGGGAGTGGGTGTGAGGCAAAGGATTGTTGTTAATGGGTGTGAAATCCAGTCCTCTTGTAAAGATGAAAATACTTCAGCACTGCTCCAATTTGAGGAAACAAAAGTGGACTAAAAATAACAACAAAATCACTATATGATACCTCGCCTTGGGGGTATCATTGTAGCCAGTATCCCTACCTTTTCCTTTAATTTAACAATACTTTCGGTTGAGCTCTACACACTTTGATTGGCAGGGTAAAATGTGCCCTTGTGTAGCCTAGTAACAAGCCAGAGTGATTAAAAAACAGCTTTAAGTGGTCTCACGCTTGGCGGCCATAGCTCAAAAAGAAAAGTGAAAGGCTCGTATGCTTTGATGATCTGTTCTCCGTCTTGCTTGCTTGTTTCTCTCTTCTCCTGCACCTTCAGATCAAACACAGTTGAACATGATGGGTCAGTCTTGAAGCTGTGCTGTGTGAAACATATAGGCCTTTTTCTCATATGCTGCACAGAACCAAAAAATAAAATAAAATCCCTCCCCAGATGACCTTCTCAGATCAAAGCTCACTCTCAAGCTATATGAAGCGGTACCAAGCTCCTCTTATACTCCCACTCATTAGTCTGATGGGCTGTAAGTCAAACAGAGCACGGATACACTGTAACATGGGAATTGAAGGACATGACTTTAACTCCTACTTGAACTAAAAATGAAAACGTAATCAAAGTGTAAGTTTCTCTTTATAAGGTCAAATATCTCTCTCTCTCTCTCTCTCTCTCTCTCTCTCTCGCTCTCTCTTTCCGTTTAAGTTATGTGTTGATGTTACTGCAGAAGGTTATTTAAGGCTGTTTACAACAACACAAACCCAGAACATGCAAAGAAACTTAAAGCAGCAGTATTTATGACAGTACAAGCTGCTCCTGCTAAATGAATCACACTGCATTGTACTGTGTACGAATTGCAGCACATGTTTTAATCCTGAAGGATATTTGAAGCAGGAAATCTTAACAAAGAAAAATGGGTTTATGAGACTGACAAAGAACTGAAGCATCACTTTATTGCATGTTGTTTTCTATCTCCCTCTTTGAGTCTGGATTACCAAAAAGGCAAACCAGGAGACGGCCCCCAGGCCCCAGACTCTTTGTGCGGCCATCAAACATGATTTTTGACAATACTGTGTTCAACGTCATGAACTAAATAGTGAAGGCTCTTAAATGACCCCGATCTGAGGCTCACATTGTGTGGGAGAGACCAGACTTTAAAATCTACTTCTAAGACTTTAAATTCTCTAAAGATAATGTGATTTAAAAAAAACATTTAAATCCATCAATGTTACATCTACACATAACATTATGCACAATGCAATCATCCTTTCAGCTTTATTACTGACACTGTGAACCTGCTCATTATACGAGGTGTACGCTTTTACATTTCCACACAAACTGTACTGAGGTTAACAGTTACAAGAGTTATAATGTACACATTTTCAGTTGTATTTATTGTATTTTATTGTTGATTTTAGTCGATTCTTAACTGGCTGCATACTTTTTAAAATATCTTTTAAATCTTCTCTGTATTCTTATTGTTACGCCCCACCATAAGGCGTCCCTGTGGGGCTGACAAGAAACAACAATTTGAATCAATGAAGCACATTAAAGACCGCAACAAGGTCATATAGAGCAGGTTAGACACATTAATCCATCATGAGCACAGCACTGAGCAACATTTAGCATTGATTGATTGATTGATCATATCGCATCGTTTTGGATCTTATATCGTAATATATCGCAACATATCGCTTTGCATGGTTTTGGATCATGTCCTATTGTAACGTGTCGTATTGCATAGCATAGCATAGCATCGGATCATGTTGCATCTCAACGTACTGATCGCATGGCTTCACATCGTATTGGATCATATAATACTGCATCATATTGTGGCTTTTGTTCGAATTGCAAAACATCTTTTGATCCTGAACTCTATGAGGGTATAATGAGCATTAATGCAAAAAAAACAGTTGGTCATACAGTCAATCAGTCAACCTCTATTTCTATAGTGCCATTTATAACAAAAGTTATCTTGAGATACTGTAACACAACATCAGGTAAAAGACTGTACTTTCTCATATAATATACAAAGACCCAACATGAATCCATCATGAGCACTAAGCAACATTAAGCAAAGTGACAAAAACTTCTATAAGAGGCAGAAACCTCGAGCAGAACCATAGTCATGATGAACAGCCTTCTGCCTAAACTGTGCTGGGCTGGTAGAGTCGGAGAGAGGGAGATGCAGGAAGAAGGAGAAGGATAGAGACAGTAGCTCTAGAAGTATGATAACTTACGTTTAAAGAGGACATATTATCCCCCTTTTCAAACAGTCCCCTGTGGTCTAAATGAAACATCTGTGCTGTGCTTTGGTCAAAATACAACATGAGTCAAGCACCAGAGGAGGTTTGTGACCCTGTATAAACCAGCTCTCTCAGGGGAGGGGACGGTATTTTTTTTTTTTACCAGAATCCCACAGTGACATCACAAACTGAGAAAATTTGAAACAGAGCATTTTTCTCTGTGTTGTAAGACTTATGCAGACCACAAACAAAGGACTTGATGGGTTTATTTCACATTTTGTGGGTCAGAAGACACTCAGGTTACCCAAATATATGTTCCAAAACACTGTGAAAATGGATATTTCATAATATGCCCCGTTTAAAAAAAAGTAAGCTAAGTAGTTAAGTTGTAAAGGCAAACACAAAACTCACCGTGCATCATAAAAAAGTTGGTAGCAGACACCATAAGCCCCATGAATACATGATTAAGGTTTAAAAATATATTCAAAGTTGATGTTGACAGCGAAATGCAGGGATAAAAGATCTCCTGCAGCTTTGCTTCCTGGTCCTTTCATCATGCTGAAGTCTGCTTAAACACCTTTTCCTTTTTTTGCCTCATACAGAGTGTCAGTTAAACCCCTGAACATCCAAATTCAACAGGCAGAGCGTCTTAGACTGTTTCATCCGCACAGTCATGAAGCCATAAGAACAGATGAACCAGTCATGTGCTCTATGGTTGACATAAAGCAGCCGTCAAGTGTAGTGAGACTCTGCGGTGGATACAGCCTCTGATGTTCCTCTCTTATCACACAAAGCTTCTTCTCATGACTGACCCTCGCCCAATCTGAGCCAGACGCAGAGGTTAATGATGGTTAGATGGAATTTAAATGTGACAGAAGCCTTTTTGATCATAATCCTCAATGTGGAGTGAAGCATAATCCCGTAAATTTGCACTCTGTGAAAATGTGGTTTAGAGCAGTGGTTCTCAACTGGTGGGTCGTGGAGCTGTTTTCAGTGCCTGGGGAAAAATGTTTTGTCAAAAAGTCAATGAAGTGCATTTTAAACATGTTTTTTTTCTTCAGTTTCTTAGTTTTGTAACGTTTGGTGTATACCTTCTGAGGGCAAAACCGCATCATATTTATTAAACAAATCTGATTGGTCAAAAAGTATCATAAATTTGGGTCACAATTTCTGAAGAGGGAGTTGATGGTGGGTCCTGAGGTCAGAGCAGTTGGGAATCTCCTAAAGAGATGCGTCAGAGCAGTCAAAAGGAGTGTCAGCTAATTCTCACTTCTGTTTTCCATTTCGCAACCTGAGTTATTAGTCTCACTTACCGTAATAACAGATAAGGATGTGAGCATGATTGAGAAGGGAAGTAATTAAACTCTCCTTTGACCACAGAGCAACTGAAACTTTGGATGCTCACGGGCCATGCAGCTGTTTTTTTTTTTTTTCTCATAAAGCTAACAACAGAGTGTGGGCATCGACAGAATCTCGCGCTGTAGTTTATTTAGGACTAAAGAGTGTTTGTTCAAGAGCAAGACAAGACTGATTGATCCTAAAAAGTAACACATCAACAGACAAACGTTAATGTTTCTCTCTGCATTTACACCTTTGTCTTCTGTCTTTTAACCTGATGATGAGCAATCAATCAATCAATTCAGCTATATTTAACACCTTTCATACAATTTGAACGCAATTCAAACCCTTACAGTGATTGAAAAACAAAAAACAAAAGATAAAATAATGACAAAACGTGATACAAACACAAATGGATAAAGCCTAGAAGTTAGACAAATGCACAGCACAGTAAAGCTAAAAAATAAGTTAGTCCTAATGACGATCGTGATCGAAATGATGATGAAAACACAACATCCATTTTAAATGAGGGGATGTTTCTTCACGAAAAACTGTGTAAAAGTACTTAAATAGCATGTGAGGTTTCTATAAATTTATCAAAGGCAGTACATTGTATTTCCCATGAGTGGATGGCGCCCTCCAGTGGTTAAAATACACAATGTGAAAGAGTTTGGCAGATCACCTGAAACTGTGAAGTGACACAATGTCACCTGTGTATATTCTGCTACTATAGAAAGAAAAATTGCTTGCTGTTAGTGTTGTTGTCATTTCCCTTAAAAAGGGCATCTTTCCTGTAGGCCTACTTAAATTACCCCTGTATAATTCTACCAATAAACTGATATTTATATAGACAATGAGATCTTTTGTAAGTTAATATGAGCTTAATCAGAAAAAAACATTTTATTGGCTATTACTGATTGAGGTAATGTATTTAAAATTATATTCAAAAGGCTTCTGTGCGACAATGCGCATTGTAAGTGTGCAATAGACGGACTAATGAAGCCTCCGCGTGGTCTTATTACTGTAAATTACGCCTCTCTAAAGTAGGAAGTAAGCGACACCGCTGTTTGTTATGCTGCATTTCCGACGTGTCGGAGATGTTGGCATTACAAGCTCGACGAAAACAGAACAATACTCAGGAGGCGTAAGTTGACATTATCTTTACGTAAAAATAACGTGTATGTGCTTATATAGAGAGACAATAGCGATTAAAGCACTAAAGCGTGTAAAGAAATAGTTGAACGTGGTTTTGTTTTAATCGCTTGTGATGAACGTGAGTTGAAGAGGCTGAAAATCGGAGCTTTATAAGAGTACCTGAATGCACCGCGAGCTCGCTGCTGGTCAGTTAGCTCCGCCGCTGTAAACAGACGGTTTCGGGAGACTGAGCTGAAAAACTCCGGATGAATGCGACCAGAACTCTAGCGGACTCCTGAAAACCGCACAATGGTAAGACCGTAAACATTGTCCGTCTACTTTTAAAGTTGTTTTTCACTTCGTGTAGTGTTTTTGAGGGGTTAAAGTTAGTGTGAAGTCCCTCCAGCCTCACCTCGCCCACTTTAGGAACAGCTTCACCTGAGTGTCAAACAAAAGGGTGTAAGAAACTCAGACCACTTGTGACTCGTATTTAAAGCTAACAGGGACACAGCTGCCTATGTTTGTTCTGGTCTGCTCGATTCTATTTAAGTTTGTTTTTGTATGTTCTGCTTTTGTTCCCCACAGTTCATACAGACTTGGGAGACTTGGAAAGTTTTGGCATTTCTCTAAATTACTCAGACTATTTGAGCGACTTCCAAGATTATATCGCCTTTGATTTTAACTCACACCTGTCTGCGTGTTATGTCATTTAAAGGTTAGTATGTACGTCATATCGTATGTATATATATATAATATGTAATTGAATGAAATAAGTTGTTGATTGCAACTGGAGAAATCCCCCAGGGCAGTTTCAACACTATTGAGAGAGGGTTGCAACATATTAAAATACATTAAATGCCATTTATAACATTAACTGTTTGCATAGCTCACTATAAATAGGTATTTTCCACAGTGATATAGGCTATTGTAAGAAACATTTTAACATCACTGAATGATGTATTCGAATGATGTATTAGTTTATTTGGTCATTTAAAGCTCCTGTGAGAGTTTTTACCCGGGTAGGAAACAGACTCTGTTGACCTGTATGATCTAGAAGAGCAAAAAAAAGATCATCAGGGAAATAATTGATCGTTTTATAGTATGAGTGTCAGGTGAGGCAAAACACTTTCGACTGAGGCAGGGTTCACTAGACTATTTTAGAATTGCCCCCAAAAAATAATAGCTCGATTCCAGGCTTGTGCATCCGATAACTGGGCTTTAAACTGGGATGGGATTGGAAGTTTTACAGTATTGACACAAAGGTTTTGGACAATTGCGCCACTCTTAAAAAACCTACAATTTTTTTTTTCCTGTAAAAGAACAGCCCTTGTTTCAGCGTGTTTACAACTTCCTGGTGATTGTTAGACTGAGTGTGTGCAGCATGAGTGCCAACTCTCCAGCACGCTACTGACGGTGATATAAGACCTGCTGCACCCATGCTCAGATTCCTCTACATTTGAACTAAGTCCTTTTCTGTCACTTTCTGCAGGGAGACAAACAGCTGGGTTCCTGTTTAACCGCTATGCCTTTTTCTTTGTTTGTCTTAACCCGAGGCTCTGAAACCAAGAAGTTTGAACAAATATCCTTAACTGTGTGTTTGTTTCCAGCACTGAGTGAACCTTATCAGAATTCAGGTTCGCAAAAGAGGAACCACAACAACCACTGTTTTTTTTTTTCTTCAAAGTTGGACAACAAGGTGGGTAAAAAACGTTTCTATTCCATAGAGTGCATCTGTGATTGTTTGGTTTATGATGCAGAAGTCCTTTTGGTTGTTTTGGAGAATCCTATTAGTCAGAATTTGAGCCGGTACTGGAAGCCAATATTTGTATTGTTTCCCCCTGAAGGACTGAAAGAAGGCAAATACATATAGCATGTTTATTCCTTTACTTTGTCTATTTTTTTCGCCTACTTTTGAATTTTTATAGACTTTTAGGAGCAGATTTAGTTAGTGAGGATTCTTCAAAATATCAACAGTCTGTTATCACTGGTCTGAATAAGTCATAGTAAGTAAAGTGCTGTCCTGCCCATGCTTCTCACAGGTCCTCTCCGGTGTCCAAAATGACCACCCTGGAGGACACTGACATGCACACCTTCGGCACTGAACTGCCTGCTATGTTCGACGGTGTGAAGTTAGCGGCAGTGGCGACTGTCCTCTACATCATCGTCCGCTGTCTGAACCTGAAGAGTCCCACAGCGCCGCCGGAGATCACCTGTCAGGACACGCCGCTCAGCCGCTACCTGCTCAAGTCCTGCCCGATGTTGACCAAAGAGTACGTGTTTGTCGAGATTTAGAGCTGGAGCCATTCAGCAGCTTCTGCAATGATCATTATGGTCTTGATCACCAGAGATTAACCGCAGTAATTTCGTAAATTATGATATAGACCTTTATCTAACGACCTCTGATAGATGCCAAGGAGAGATTAAATCAAACTACATGTTGAGAGGTTAATTGCCAGGGTTTTTTTTTTTTTTTCAAGATTGCTGTTAAAAAACCGAGAAGATTTAGAGAATAATTATGAAAAATATAGATTTGAAGACTCCTCTAGGTTCGACTCGCGTGATTTCACCTTAAAAGCATAAAACAGCGTCCAGAGTTATTGTTGTTTTTTAGCCACATCATTGACCTTTTTAACAACGCAGCTTTTTTTTCCTCCGACCTTAGACTCAAGGTGGAAATCTTGTCTGTTGGTCTAATATTAAAAGAATATCCATCTGATGTTTGTCATTTAAACACTTTTCCATTTATCAGCAATTGGGAAAATTCATGTCAGCCCTGTGATTGGCTGGTGAACAGTCCAGGGTGTAACCACGCCTCTCAGCGAATGACAACTGGGGTCAGCTAATGTTAGCATCGATCAATACCCTAGCTACCATCACTGTTTTCTTTGAAAGGGAAAGGTGTAACCTCGTAGTTAACAACATGTTTGTGAGGAGTGGTTGAATGCTTTCTGTGTGTAAGCTGCTTTTGATTTAAAGATAATGAGTTATAAAATCAGGTGCTTCACTTTGATAGATGGCCTAATGTTACTCAAGAATTTACAGCATGAAGGAAAACTTCTGGAGTTTTCCCCGATGTTAAAATGATGCAAACACACTGACGTTTGGACACAGCAGGTGTCTTCCTCAGAGTCGCTCTTTCTGGTTGTTAGCCCCATGTTTAGTCCTTTTTAGAACAAGTGTGACGGCCCAATGAGTCAAGAAAAATCTCAACATTATAGAGACGTGAAATGCAACCATTTCCGACAATCTACTTGAGGCAATTAATCAGATTTGCGTAGCTAATTCTGGAGGTACAGAGTTCTCATTTAACTGTATGTAGTCTCCAATGACTTTAATGTGGAAAACCCCCCTCTCCTTTAAAGTTCCTGTTAAAGTCTCTAAATCACTCTGTTTTTGGAGTGGGAGAGCAGAGGCATTTCAGTTTCTTTTTAGCGTTATGTAAATGATTTTGTTCAAGGTAATGCTCTGTGTTTCTGTTTCTTTGCTGTTCGTATTTCAACATCCATTAATTGCTCATGCAGTTAATCCTATGGACTAAGGACTCGGTTGCTTAAGATAGTGAAGCTTTTAAAGTTCTTCCTCCCTCACAACCCACTCTTTCTTTTCCTCTAAAACATTTAGTCATCAGTGGGGAAAGTTATCTAGAGTTACATGCCTTGGTGATATAAATATTTGAACCACAGCTCAGGATTTAAACTCAGTGATGGTCAGCCTGCAGATTGCTCTCCCTGCCCGTGGACCCCCCCCCCCCCCCCCCTCTGGGTTTCTTGGTATGTGAGTCCGTCTGTAGGGAGGAGAATCTCTGCTGAGGCTGAGTCCAGACATCTAAGAGAGGTAGAGGTTTCAGCTGTAAGGTAATATGAAGCTCTTCTCCTTCTCTTCAGATACATTCCTCCCTTGCTGTGGGGTAAGAGCGGTCACCTCCAGACGGCTCTGTACTGCAAAATGGGACGCGTCAACACCCCGACGCCCTGCGGGGTCCGCAAGTTCCTCCCAATGCACGACGGGGCCACAGCTAGCTTTGACATCTTTGAGGCACGCGGAGAACACAGCACAGGAGGTCAGAAGCTAAAACTGAACACATGTTTGGGATCACACAACTACTGATCTTCTGTCATGACTTCAATGATTATTCTTTTGATGCACACATCAACTGCCAGTCCCTCCTGTTTTTGTCACTTATCTTTTTCTGTTTTCACTACTGCTTCCTCTTCTTCTTCTTCTTGCTGGGTCTTCTTGACTTGACTTTACACATACATAGGTTCAGTCCTTTGCCAAAATGCCTGAGCTGGCTTACAGTATTTTCACACATGCTCAAAACTTGAGAAAACTTCCTGCAGGTGTGAAGGCAAACAGCCGACGTCTTCACTCTAAATCTTTACTGTAAGGCGCTTTTGTTCACTCGTTGCATGAAGTGGCCATGAGCCGACGTGTGAACGCAGCAGGAAATATTCAGATTATATCAATCAATGAATCAATCAAACTTGATTTGTATCACAAAGTGCTTTATATAAAAATAAATGAAACAACAACAACATGACCCCCAGCCCCACAATCCATAAACAAGGTAAGAAGAAACTAAATAAAAACAGGTACTGACGGATGAGGAAGCGCTATCATAAATTCTGACCACATGAATGCTAACTAAACCAAAATGTTGTAGTGTGTGTATAAGTTTAGAAGAAATAACCTGATACTTTGAGCTGAAATCTATCACCGTTTTCATCATAAATCAAATCCTAATCGTCTGTGCTCAAATAATTTCTACAGTTTTTTTTATTCATCGAAAACTTGAGCTCAGTGTGTAAATAATCCTGTTATTTAAACCTCCAATCATCATGAGGTACGGTAAATTCAATTATGTAGGGAGTTAAATTAGCAGGATTTATTCTTTTCTCCTTGTACAAAGGACAGGTTTATACATTTTCCTTCTTCTCACCTTTTCATTCTTTGTGTAGGCCAAAGTGAAAAGAAAGTATTCCTCTGCATTGTACTGCTTAAGCCGAACGAAATAAAACAAATGAAAACAAATAAGTTGTTGACAGAAATGAGAGTTTCATGCTCCTGTAAACTTTCTCAGTCAGTGGAAAAGAGAGCAACTTAAACCTGGCTCACACTGCAGGAGTTTTAAAATCCTTTCCATTATTGAATTCGGGCAGCATCACACACATCAGATATTCTTCTTCATAATCTTAAACATGCTCACACTATAAAATATGAACATCATGGCACATCACTGACTACAGGATTTCATTAAGATTATCGTACCCGGTGGAGGAACACACCACCTCAAGTAAAAAAGCGAGCTGGCACTTAAATTTGTGAGTTAATATTTTGTGCAGAGAGAAAACAAAAAACACAAGTTTTGGGTGAAAACATTTCTGGGACATGGACAACATGGATTGTATGTTTTTCAGTGAGAGCTGAGGTAAGATTGCACAGTTGTCCGGCGTCCTGCTGCAGGTCACTACTACTACACTTTACTGTCCTCCCTCCTCTCTCACGGTTATTGTAGTCACACTCGACTTCAGACAGACTCTTTCATGATGTAATTTTCAAGATTTTTAATTCTTGATATCAAACTTTTTGAAATAAATGGCCAGCACGGACGTGGGGACGTTAAAATCGGATCTTTGTAAGAGTGGCATTACGAGATAATCAGTTCCGAGCAGCCGTGAATCGGGAACAACCCTTTGATTGTTGGAAAGGAGGAATCGGACCTAAAATCAGCCCGACTATCCTGCAGTCTGAGCGAGGCTTTAGAAAACTAGTTTGTCCCTTTTTGAACAGCCAATCTTTATTTAAAAAACAATAGATATCTCACAATCTCTCTATTAGGAGTAAACATATTTTACTGTTTTTCCATTTTGTGCTAAATGAATCCTTGAATCTAGTTTGAATTCTGTCTTTCTGCCTTTCCTTTGCATTGACAAACTACTTATAGTGTAAAATCATTTTAAGTGACTCACATTTCTCTTTCAAGATCCTCCTGTGGGGTCTTTTATGAGAGCGTTCAAGATGATAACAGGATGTTATTAATGGTCAAACCTTAGTTTAAGACCTGGGTGAAGCAAATCTAAAATCTAAGAGCTCCTCAGGAATAGTGCTGCGTTAACTTGGCTGACATTATATCACTTAAATGTCTGATAATAAACTTCTAAATGCTGGCGCACATTCTACACCTGTGTAGCAGCTGTAAATTCTTTCTAGACGTTTTTATTTTGGGCCTTTTCTGAGCTTCATGTGTGTTCAGATTAGACTCAAACTAAATACAGTATGCACGAGGAGGACTAATGAACTCCCCGGAGTGAGATGCTATGCAACCAATTTAATCAACACACACACACACTCACACTCATGAGATCCCTTTTTGTGCCAACGCATGACTCCTCTTTGTTTGTTTCAGCATGTGTTTCCTCTTTGTTTGTGTGTATTCAGATGACATCACCATGGTGATCTGCCCTGGGATCGGTAACCACAGCGAGAAGAACTACATCCGGACCTTTGTGGATTACTCCCAGCGGCAGGGTTACCGCTGTGCCGTCCTCAACCACCTGGGAGCCCTGCCCGACGTGGAGCTCACCTCGCCTCGCATGTTCACCTACGGTAAAAACTGAAATATCACGCATTCATGAGCAGTCATCGACGTAGTCTAAACCTTAACCTGGAAGTTCACTTCATCTCTGTTTTCAGGCTTAATCAAAAATTCAATTCAATTCAATTCAATTTATTTGTATAGTGTCAACTCATAACAAGTGTTATCTCAAGACACTTTACAAAAAGCAGGTAAAATACCTTACTCTTTGTCTGTTAAAAACCCTTTTCATGCATACGTAAATCTCCTGAAAAACTCCGGAGATTTGGCGACCTGGAGGGACTTAAGGCTATGTGTGAACGGAAACAGCCGCGTTTTTCGCGTGGACTTTACCCGGAGTTTCTCCGACCAGACCCCTAGTATTTTATCCGCAGAAAATCCGAGTGAGCTGATGTCTGAACGCGGCAGCATATACTCCGGAGATTTCAATTCGAGCCAATGGAAAGAGAATGATGTTTATATACAGTGACTGCCTAAAGTGTCTGCACGCGATGACTACGATCTCCGTGCACGTAATTAAACAGCTGCGGCAGAATCTCCGGAGCGGTCCTCCTGCAATTATCTAGATATTATCTGGAGTCCATATGTGAAAACGGCTAAAGAGAGCTAAGATAAGGGAAAGCTAAACTTAACAGCTTTCAGTTCTGTTAAATTTCAGATAGAAATACCGGGGAAAAACTACTTTTCGAGACAGGACTAGGAGACCTGTGGTATGAGTCAGGACATTTCCATGCACAGTTAGTAAAATGGGTACTGCAAGCCAAGAGAGCTGTCTCCCCCGCCCCCTCCTCTCTAGAGTCGATGCTCACACAGGTTGTCATGTGGTGGAAACTGAAGCTTCAGTGTTTAGCCAGCTCTGATCGGTCTGTAAACCTTCCTGCGTTCTAACCTCTCTCCATTTTTCAAAAGCATCTCCAATATTGATCCTAGTTTGAGCACGTTTCTTCTCGTGGAGCTTATTAGAAACATGCAGAGGCTTTTTAGGTCGGGGACAATCACTTCTATCTGAACCAGTTCTTCCATCACTGCAACACCTGTTGGTTTGACCTGATAACTGCTCTCATATCTGGCAAACCGAGGGGCGTCTAAAATGGCCGTGTCGGAGTGGCCTTAAAGCCTTCTACCTTCTCTGGTCCAAACAAATCCAGATCATTCAGGACCAGAATCTAAAGTTAGAAGGAGGACATACTGGCTGTGCATTGTTGTCAGAGAAGCCAGCACTTCAACATAGCATGTTTCCTTAATGTCTGATCATACAGGAAGGTCATTTTATCATTTCAGTTTGTGTCAGGTTGAAGCGTAATGCTGGAGTTACTCACCACATTATCTCGGGGTGTTGGTCGGACTTGGAGAAATTCCACTTAGTATTATTTCAGTCAGACTGTTTAGTCATACTTAAAAATAAAATGACTTTTTCTAAAAGCAGGAACACAAAACATAAAGTGAATTTTATGTCTAGTGCGCTAGAGGAGAAACATTGTACATTATCACGCTTATTTCACTGCAACCCACTGTAGGAGCCATCATGTGTATTTTTACCTCGGTTGATTTTTTGTTAGACTTGACAAAGAGGTGAGTGGGTTTGAAATATTTTCAGTTGATCGTCATCATTATCTTTTGGTCATCACCGTAATCATCATCATCTTTTGGACTGTTTAGAATTAGTTTTTCACTATTTTGACCTACAATCCAAACCTATAAACCTACAATTCCAATGGAATGACAACATCCACAAAAGAGTGGAGAACAACATACTGACGCGCAGAAAACATAATGCAGCCGTTTAATTACGTGCACGGAGATCGTAGAGGTCGCGTGCAGACACTTTAGCCGGTCACTGTATATAAACATCATTCTCTTTCTATTGGCTCGAATTGAAATCTCCGGAGTATATGTTGCCGTGTTCAGACATCAGCTGACTCGGATTTTCTGCGGAAAAAATACTAGGGGTCTGGCCGGAGAAACTCTGGGTAAAGACCGCCTGAAAAATGCAGCTGTTTGCATTCACACATAGCCTAGAGTCCCTCCGGGTAGCCAAATCTCTGGAGTTTTTCAGGAGATTTCTGTATGTGTGAAAAGGGTTTTAGTGGTAATAACTCAGAATAGACCAAATGTTTCCATTCATAGTGAAGTCAAACGAGGTGAGAGGGAGCTCACAAATCACCACAGAGTCCGATGGAAGTTTTCCACTCTGTATTACATTTATGTTTTACTCCTTTTACCCAAGGTTCATGGGAATGTTTAGACATATAACAGAGTGTTTCTGCAAATTGATACCATGAGAGTAAGTTCTCCAGAGTCTCTGATATGATTAATAAATACTTTTATCACACACCACCTATTACCCAGAAGCAGCTCTGATCCCAGACTCTGGAGGACTATAGCATCCTTTAGTGGACTCTGTTGCTCCGTCTGCTACTTGTGCGTCTTTTTTCACGTCTTACCTCAGAAGACCCCCCCCCCCCCACCCCTCCCGTCTGACAGGGGTAGTCTCGAGCTGTGAGATGCATGCTGTGTCAACAGCCAGGACAGGAGAATCTCCAGAGCAGTCCTCCTGAAATTATCTGGATATTTTCAGGAGTGCAGATGTGAAAACAGCTTTACACAGATTCACAAGCTGGTCTTGCCTGATCGAAATGGATTCTGTTTACCAGTCCACTCAGACTGTCTTCCTGAGGATTTAGGCTCACAGTTTGCTCCGTCTGTGTCAAGTCACAGCTCACAGGCTGGCTCAGACTTCCAGAAACTCCCTGTCAAGAGTCCTTTCCACGATAACAGCACCCTGTGTTTACATCATCCCTTACATAGATCCCTTTGATAAGCATGTTGTCATATGGTGAGCGGGATGTTTGAGGGAAAACAAACCCTTTGCTGCCAGGCTTTGTTTCCTCATAACATCCCGCTCACTGTTTATGATCCCTAACCCAGTCGCCTTACCTTTGTTCTCTACCATATGTTTATTCAAATGTCTTTCTTTCTGCAGGATGCACGTGGGAGTATGCGGCCATGGTGGGCTACATCAAACGAGCCTTTCCCCAGACCTCGCTGGTGGTTGTGGGCTTCAGTCTGGGGGGAAACATTGTCCTTAAGTTCCTCGGTGAGAACCGCTCCAATCAGGACCGAGTGCTCTGCTGTGTGAGCGTCTGTCAGGGATACAGCGCCCTCAGGTTGGTCAAACAGAAGATTAACGATTCATTACAGCAGAATAGGATTCCACTTAAAATGCTCCAGTTTTAAATGTTTGCATGTTTGTTGCTTAAATACAAGTGGTCTGGTGTTTTTTTGTTCCTCCTGTAGTTTGTGCATGAGTTGTGTGTTTGTGTGTCCGTAGGGCCCAGGAAACATTCCTTCAGTGGGATCAGTGCCGGAGATTATACAACTTTGTGTTGGCGGATAAAATGAGGAAGCTCATCCTGTCACACAGGTGGAGAAACACAACAGCGTATTACAAATGAACACATGAAGGGTCAAAGGTCAATCGTTGAGGTCGCTTTATTCTGGTAAAGTAAAAGCCAGTTCTGCTTACCAAAAGTGGCCCGCTAGGCTCGAAGCCAGTGAGCCGATCTTCTTACCAATTTAAATTTTGAGAATAGGTTGAGATCGTGTCGGCCCCAAGACCTCTAATAATTCAGACAAAACTGCGAGACTCTGAGCGCCAGGTATCCTGAGGGAAACTTCGGAGGGAACCAGCTATTTGATGGTTCGATCAGTCTTTCGCCCCTGTACCCAGGTTTGCGCATCAGGACCGCTATGCGCCTCCACCAGAGTATCCCTTTGGCTTCGTCCAGCCCCGGCATTGCTCACCATCTTTGAGGAATCTTACTTTATTTTTAATGTTGCCTGGCAACTCTTTAATCTATCATGGCAACTCTGTTTTCGACTTCAGAAAAAATAGTATAATTTACTTCTTTCAAAATGATCCTCAGTTTAGCTCGCTGGCTAACTATGATGAAGTGTAGTCATAAGTAGCTTAGTTAGCTTGGTAGCTGACTTTGTGTAAACTGTTTGTACAGGTATATACAGTACTTAAATTTATATGAACACATACTGAAATTCCTTACAATCTCTAGAATTATTATAACAAGATCTTTTTTGTGTCTTTCAAATTTGGGAAAAAGTCTCAAAAGTTGTGCACAAAAAAAGCCTCATTATGGATTTGCGTTAGTCATGGTTTGGAGGTGATGAATTATTATAAAGGGAGTCTGACACTGGCATACAGGAGCGAGAGCTTTACAGAGAGATAAAGACGTGTCCTTCCTGCCCCGGTTTGTTAACTATCATTATTCTGTTTATCAGGAACAATCTGCTGAGACTGAACTTCAGCAACATCGGAGACGCAGACCTGGGCCGGCTGTGTGCAGCCACGTCTCTGATGCAGATCGATGACTGCATAATGAGGTAAAGTTTTGGATACTGAAAGCGACTAGCCCATCTCCATGACCGTTAACCTTTTGTTTAAATGAATCCCATCACATGTTTTGTCACGGCAGGAAGTTTCACGGCTACAGCTCTGTGACGGAGTACTACGAGAACGAGAGCTGTGTGCGTCACATCCACAAAGTGAGTAACAGACATGTCTGTGTAACAGAGCAGAACTATTAGGATTACATTTTCTTTTCAGGAACACCCCCCCCCCCCCCTTCTGATATTAATCACATAATTATCTGGATAATTAAATTCATTCAAAGTATGTCTCCAAACAAGGCCCAGATGTCCTCTGATAACTAATCCTGGGAAATGTAAAGGATATGTGTGACATGAAAATCTCTCTTGTATGTTTGAGTTATATAAAAAGATTGAGTCCCTCCCGCAAAACAAGAACAAGAGCTGGAATTCTTTTATCTTGTCTCAGCAGAGTCTGGATCAAAAGCAAAGTCTGGCTCTGTCTTTAGCTCTAAATATGACGTACCAAACACCTCCATTGCTCGATAGTTTACACTTTTATTTGTTATTATTTATGGCAACTCTGTTTTCAGTGTGTATATATATATATATTTTTTTGTTTGTTTTTTTTGTTACACAGGCAGTTTGTGGTTTCAGAGGAAGTGTGACTGTTTATTTGAACAGTTTTGAGTGTGAGCTGTTTCTGTTGGTTGCCTGGCAACACCAATACCTCTAAAAGTCCCCGAGAAACCACAAACTGTCACCTTGAAGAACCGACACAGGAGTGCTGTCAACCCCCTCATGTAACTCTCGTATTATGAATGAGTCCAACATATAAAGATAAATTCTACTTTGACGCTGATTTTACTTGACCTCCTACTTCTAAAAAAGCTTTAAGAAAAACTTCCCCTTCCTGTCGTACTGTTCTTCCTACCGCTGCAGAACTTCACTACTTCAATATCAACACCTGAGACGATCACTTTCACACATCACTTTGAGTGTAGACATTAAAAAATGATCCATCTTCTCCAGGTCACTGTGCCTCTCCTCCTGGTTAACTCCTCAGACGACCCGCTGGTTCATCAGTCTCTTCTGGCTATTCCACGCACACTTGCAGGTATGTGTGTGTTTACAGGTAAAGGTCATTTTTCAGTGGTACGCCATTATGCATCGTCAGTGTGTCCATTGATGATTAAAAATAAAAATCGTAACTCAGTATTGTCAGAAGTTTATGAGCCGTTTAGCAGCGGAGAAACAATGTATGTTAAGCCCTTTGCACACATGCACTAGTATCTGACACAGACTTTTCTAAATCCCCTAATTCACACTTACCCTCCCAGCAGGAAGTTCTCTTTGTTGATCAAGTGGGTTAGAGTCTTCTGTCTTCCTTTTCTTGGTTAAACCCCAAGAGTTTGGATCAGTCACAAAATAGGTGACACACTTTAAAGGAGCAATATGTTTCTCTGCTATCTACAGTTTAAAATGGGTACTGCAGTCCAAATTCAAAACATTGTAGAGAGCTGTCTCCCCCCGCCCCTCCTCTCTAGAGTCGATTCTCACACAGGTTGCCATGTGGTGGATACTGAAGCTTCAGTGTTTAGCCAGCTCTGAGTCGGTCTGTAAACCTTTCTGCGTTCTAACCTCTCTCCATTTTTCAAAAGCATCTCCAATATTGATCCTAGTTTGAGCACGTTTCTGCTCGTGGAGCTTATTAGAAACATGCAGAGGCTTTTTAGTTCGGGTACAATCACTTCTATCTGAACCAGTTCTCTTGCCCGTTTCCATCGCTGCAACACCTGTTGGTTTGACCTGATAACTGGTCTCATATCTGGCAAAGCGAGGGGCGTCTAAAACGGCTGTGTGGGGGTGTCTTAAAACCGCCTACCTTCTCTGGTCCAAACAAATCCAGAGCATTCAGGACCAGAATCTAAAGTTAGAAGGAGAACATACTGGCTGCTACATTGTTGTCAGAGTAGCCAGAACTTCAACATAGCATGTTTCCTTAATGTCTGATCATACAGGAAGGTCACTTTATCATTTCACTCAGTAGATATCTAACAGGAACATTATTAAACATCATCATTCATATCATCAACACAATCATTCACACTTTGTTGAAACATTAACAAGGAAGTGGTCCAGTAAGATCCCCTCTACGAGTCTAGTCATGCAGGACAGTAATGACGCTCCACTAGACTGTTGCCATAATGGCTCGTGTGTTGTTTGTTATGAATATTTTGTGGGTTTCCTTGAAAACGATGACCTCAGCAGTAAAACATTGTTGTCCTCACAATGATACAAAGTCAGACTAGGAGGAGAAAATGAACCTGAGTCTAAGTGTTGAAAAAGTCTTGTCGGAGCTTTCTACTCAACACCGCCCGGCACAGAAAGTCTTGTTGAATTTTTCAGGGCCATGTGATACGGCCGTGAGAGAGAGAGAGAGAGAGAGAGAGAGAGAGAGAGAGAGAGAGAGAGAGAGAGAGAGAGAGAGAGAGAGAGAGAGAGAGAGAGAGAGAGAGAGAGAGAGAGAGAGAGAGAGAGAGAGAGAGAGAGAGAGAGAGAGAGAGAGAGAGAGAGAGAGAGAGAGAGAGAGAGAGAGAGAGAGACTGTGTAAATCAGTGTGTCAGACCATGTCAAGTGAATTCTAAACCTGTTTCCTACTTCAAGGAGACATAAACACACAACGTTTCTCTTTTCCTAAATGATCTTAGTGGATTCTTTTACGCTCTGTTACATTTGGCTTCTTCTGTGTTCTTTACCTGTCACTTTACCTGCTGCATATTGTTTCCATTCCTCTTTTTAATAACATGGTGAAGCCTCTTCACCATGCAGAAAATGTAAACAGACAAGAGGACAAAGTTGAACATACTGCAAACATGACACCCAGATATTTGTCTAGGGGTCTGAGGCGACCAAACCGCCCTAACAAGACAAGCACATTTTTAGACTCAATGTGACTTTAAGTTCAGCTCAAACTGGATTCATAACAAGGTAGATGTTTGCTAACGTGTTAGTCATCGGGGTTGAACACTCTCTAAGTCAATGAAGTGTATCAGGGTTGTGTTTGTCTGAGGTTACATGCATACTCATTTGTTTTACTATGTTCACACTTAGAGTCCACTCTATGGGTATTTGACACTGAAACACGGCTGACCCTGTTTTAGTTTGAATATGTTGAAGCAGTGGTTCCCAAAGTGGGGGTCGGGACCCCCTGGGGGGTCGTGAGACACTGAGAGGGGGGGACACGAGATTCCTTCCAAAACCATTAAAAATAGCATATCTTATCCATTAATGTGAAAAATAAAACGTAGTAAAATAATATTATGTGTTTTGGCAATAGCGTGTGCAACATTAAATGTTTCTACCACCTCCAGGGACAATGGGGGTCCCCAGTTGCTATTTGGCGGGTAATGGGCTGAAAAGTTGTGTTAAAGTATGTACTGGCAGAAATAGAGACATAGGAAACAAAGACACATAATCCTGAATGAGTCTTATCAATCAAGTCGTGTCCCTACATGATTCGTTGCACCTCCACCATCCGACTCTTTTCTAGAGAACAAACTTCTTTAGCATTTTCTACCAGTGGTGAATTGAACATGAGGAATGAATTACAGGCCGTGTTGACCTTGTATCCGACCTACACGAGGGCAGAGTAGATCTTTGTCTTCCTGCAGATTCCTGACCATCAGTGCATGTTAGCGCTAACTGTGCATAAATGGTCGGATAAGTAACATGTTTGTGTTTTTAACGAGGGCTGAGAAAGTTTTTGAAAGCTGCTGGAATCCTTGTCTCAATTTTGAAGTTTTTATTAATAAGTGTAGATGGCTGAAACATGATGACATGTAGTCTTTGCGGTGTGTTCAAGTGCAGTAGGCAACATGAGGCGAAGCCACAGTCGGCCTTCGACGCCACTAGTTCTTGGTGTGTCAGGGCCTTAAGTGACCAAAGACAACTTGTTAAAGATTTAAACAAACTCCTTCAGGATGCAAACCCTTTCATCTAAAGATTTTGAAGGTGAAGTCGAGGGCAATTGGACTTTTAACCTCCCACTTTTTTTGTTTTGGGAGGATGAATGTGCTGGCAGGAAAGAGGTTTGTAGCCGCACTCGAAGAGTTCATACTTCTCTCGTCTTTCTTCTTCTTCTCTCCATAGAAAAGATGCCCAACACAACATTCGCCCTGACCCAACACGGGGGCCACCTGGGCTTCTTTGAGGGAGCCGTGCTGTTCCCCGAGCCACTCACCTGGATAGACAAGGTCATCGTGGAGTACACGGACGCCATCTGCCACTGGGAGAAGAAGCGGCCGGCGTGCCAGAGGAGCAGCCACCCGGGCATCGACTCCCGCCTGCAGAGCACAGCGTTGACACCCAGTGGGTAGCGAACACACATGTCAGGAGAGAAAAAAACAAACGACCAAACACATTAACTCAGCCTTCTGTATTTTACTCCGCTTCAGTACTAATGGCCTTACAGTTTAGTGAGCGTTTCTGGTAAACGCAGGGACTCCTTCAACGAGCAGGCTGAGTGGAAACGGGTACACAGAGCTGTTACATGAAACTCATTTAATATAATAATACTGGAAAATGTAATATGACCACCCCCCCCCCCCCCCCCCCAATTGAGGCTGAATTGTTCCTTCCTCTTGTTGTCAGCTTAACTCCAACGTAACACGAGTTCACCCTCTGCTGGCTCTTGGCAGCTGTGCTTCTTGAGTCTGGATGGTGAGGTTATATAAGAAGCCAGCGAGGGTCACGCTCCAGGCATGTGTCCTTTGAACCTGCGTGCAGAAACAGAATACAAGTGCATGAACACTCCGATGTTACAAAATGTCCCCGTGGACAATCGGTCTTCAGCCTTCAAATCTAAACGGTCATAACTCGTGTTACCTCTCATTGCCAACATCGTACACAGTTTTATTTCCTCTATGATGACCTGCTCCTTATTATGACCACACATAAGGACCTTTTTCTAACAGTGCTGGATACAATGTACTTGATAACTCAACATGGACTGCTTAGCTTTCTAACAAGCTGATAAGAAAGTGCAAACTGGACAGCGACAGTAATCACATTAACTCAGAAATTTAGTCGCCGACTCTCAGAGTTTATGCAACTAACGGTTAAGAGGACCAAAGCACTCTATGTTTTTTTTTTTGTCTGAAGTTGCTCAACTTTGTACTTTTAATGACGCCGTTTCTGCTGCTGCTGCTAAAACAATCACATGGCTTTGGCTTACCTACAGTGGGGATCTCATATATATATATATATATATATATATATATATATATATATTTTACTTGGAACAAGGACTAATTGATTGGTTGCACAAGTGACCAAGATTTTTATTTTTAAGCTGCTTATGCCCACATACCGGTGGGTGGTGTTTGCTACATAAATCAAATGAGTTTAGAGGAAGTAAAGAGAGGGAAATGTTTGCTACACTCAAGGAGGGGGAAGACCAATGCATGCTGGGCGCCGGTAGCCTAGTGGTTAGTTAGGGCGCCCCATGTACGGAGGCTGGAGTCCTCAAAGCGGGTGGCCCGGGCTCCAATCTGACCTGTGGCTCCTGTTATTCCCCACTCTCTCTCTCTCCCTGATTTCTGACTGTCCCCTGCCCACTTTAAGTAAAAGTAAAAAATAACCTTAAAAGACAACAAAAGTCCTCCCTTTGTTGTGTCATCTCATTATATATCGTATATTTCCATGAGACATTTGCTGTAAAAGATCTCAACAATTGATGAAACAAGAGGTGAAGTTAATCTCATTTTCTTTTGTTTCTCCTTCCTAGCGTCTGTGCTCATGTTTCACATGAGTCACTGATTCATATGAGCAACATCCTATAAAAACAAAAACTCCACCCAGGGTTCATGCCTTGGAAATGAATCATCAGATTTGATTTAACTGTAACTCTATCTGCCCTATAAAAAAAGTACCTTTGATCTGGAACAACTTTTATGTTCATGCTCGTGCAATATGTCCCAACTTGAGACAACTTGGCCTGCACTTTACTGACCTTAGAGTTCCCTTTGTTTTGTATAGCACTGTAGCCTGTGTAACATTTAGAATCATACTGTGTTTTATTCTGATGTGATGACGAGCCATGTCTGATTGTCATCTGAATCGATTGTTAATAAAGGTTTTGTACATACTCTTTTTTTTCTGTCTTGTTTATCCTCGCCTAGCTGTAACCTCAGGTCCTGAAAAATGAATCCAATGTGGAAGTGCAAAATCCTGCAGTTCATCGAGTGTCCACTAGAGTCTGGCTCCAAGAACAACAGAAGTCATATACACACATGACTGGCAAAAAAGCTGTTTTTACAACATTAATTAACATGCTTACAGCCTGGTACAAAAACAAAATGGGTCTGATAAGTTTTTGTCCTCATGGGCACACACTGTACGGGCATGAACTCACTTGTGAAATGTACTTAAGTGCGTTTTTGTGAGTACTAAACTTCAGTATTACTTCTGGGGAAACATTACTTTTGACTCCACTACATTTCTATGAATGTTCTCGTTACTTTTTGCTCTGAAGTCAGCTGATGACCTTTTAGTTTCTAAATATATCCCGAATCAGATCCAAAAGACATTAAGCTGTGTTCGTTTAGTTCTGTGTGTGGCCAAGTGGTGTTGCCGTACCTGTATGACGGAGGTCTCCATGGTTGAACTCCACTTAGACTTTGATATACTTTAGTAATCCCACCGGGGGAAATTAGTTGCTACACACACAGGCTGAAATACACAAACAGGATCCTGTGGACATGCACTAATGAGAGATGTCAGAGTGAGGGGCTGCCCCTGAGAAAGCGGCTCAGGACTTGAACCGGTGACCCGCCAACTCGAGGCCCTACAAACTGAGGTGCTGCTTCCCAATTTAGTGGAATAGAGAAGTTGTCTCAGAGGCCCCTTTGTTTTGATACGTTTCAGTGTATGTTTGCTGCTAGCACGGCTGCAGGGAAGATAATGCTGCACACTTTCAGAGTTCAAGAGGCCGTGCACCCACTGACAAGCCTGGCTGACATTTCCCCTGCTCATCACGTCGTTCTGGTTGTTCCTGTTATTGCTCTGTTATTTTTGAGCTTTAATCTGTAGCATGTGAGTTTTAAAAAATGTCAAAAATGTTTTCTAAACAAACATAACGTGGCAGAATGAACACCCATGTACTCCTGACTGCACTCATGCATTGTAAAAAATACAACGATGTTTTTAGAGAAGTTAGTAACTTGAGCAACTTTCTCTTGTATTGGAGTCATATCTGACCAGAACTGTCTATACTAAGGTCTCATTCACAAAGCATGCTGGCATTGATATTCCAGTTCAAACCCACCCATAAAGCTGTTTGGCTCCGTGGAGTTTGATCTTGAAATGAGACTGAAGAGAAGCTCTCTGCACCTCCACTCGCTGTGCAGAGCTGCTCTCTCACACTGACGGAGCTCTATTCAGTCCACATTTAGAAGCCGGTCGGGGAGGAGACCCTGCCAGTCACAGACTGATTTAACTCCTGATTATATTTTATTATTATTTTATTTATTTTATTTACAGATGAGATGGAACTGGAAAGTTTGCGACACCAACTCTCAGCAGATGGTCATATTTCTCTCTGCACTGTTAGTGAATTACATGTTTGTTGCAATCCGGCTGAACTGCAATGAAAATAAATGCATCCTGGCACATATATTGCAGACAGCACTGGAGCACACATACTGTACATGGTTTGCTCTGCAGTGCAGTTAGGGGAGAATTTAACCCTTTGTGCTTACTTTGTGAATTAAATTATGTCTTTTTGACTCATTTTACAGGTTTAGCAGGTTCAAAACATGCAGATCCTTTTGTAAACTAAAAAGGATTGGGACTTGCAGGGCTTAACATTTATGATCTGTGGAGTACTGGCAGTTTTTCAAAAGACATGTCAGCAGTCTAATCTGCCCAATTTTTAAGATTCCTTAAACCTAGGTGGAAACAAAGACAATAGTTGGTGACAGGAACTCAAAGTCCTGGGTACTTCTGGTGGAAAAGCAACTTTTAACATCCAGCTCGAGGCACTGCTGTCATACCTGCAGCCTCACAGAAAAGCACAGCTGATGAGTCCTGGATTATTTTAGTGTTATTGGGAAGTGATGCAAAGGACTACAACTCTTATTTATATACAGTTTATTGTACATTTATTGACATTCTTATTGGTGCACCAGGTAGCACAATGGGTAAAACTTCACAATATTCATATAGAAGAACGATCTAAAAAACCATTGAGAGACAGGCACTTGATGGAGTAGAAGCCTTGTACATGAAGGGAGTGGAGTGTTGGGGGGGGGGCAGAGAGCGGGAACTTTAAAAGCTGGAGCCTGCCAGTGTTACAACAAGCTGTGTGGATGAACGCTGGTCAAGATGAAGCACAAACACACAGAGAGGAGACAGACATAACCGTAACCTGGTATTCACATTCCAACAACGTTGATCACTTATTTGTCTTCCTGTGAGTCGGCCTGTCTGAATGAGTTATGTCATTATGTTCCTGAAAATGTCCAATGTGTCTGAGTGGTCATGGTGGTTAATCATTTATAACTCCACAGGAAGGCTGAATATTTTCCAAACCATTCCACTTTTAGTTAAACCCCCGCCTCCAGGACAGCTTCTGGCTTCAATTCAACTGAGTTTGGCCGATCTCAGAGCCTTTAAATATGCTTTAGAAATGCTTCATAGGGATTATTGAAGAGTGGAATAATGACATGAAGTTAGTCTGTCTCCGTCTGTGTGACTGTTGCTTCGTCAGGACCTCTGGAAAACTACACAACCTGTACTTTTAATACACTCACGACCTTCATTCATAACTTTGTTTTCCTACAACCACACAGCTCGATTGGGCTTCGAGTCTCCACAGTCTGCGGGTTCTTTTGTCAAACATATATATAACAGCTCTCTGCCTTGTTGGTGTGAACAGGAGGAGGTTTAGTCGAACAGCTTGGCTGATGTGGCCTTGCCATCGTAGTTGGAAGACTTTCCGTCAAACTCAGAGGGAAGGATGTCGGCGTCAAACTCCTTGTAGTAGTTCTCCAGCTCGTCTCCGTGGACAAACACCTAAAGGGAGGACAGACGCTGTTAAAGGCGTTTGATACACGTTGATTTACCCAACATGGGAATAAGTGAGCTTAAGTCGAGTGGATATCTATAATACCCTGAGGTAAGAAGTCTTTATAAACTTGGTGCAAAGGATAGTTAGATATCAGGAAGCCAGATAAAACAGAAACCACTGCATTAACTTTATAATGGTTTTGTTATTATCAAGTAGTGTTTGCGCATGCAGGAGAAGTCAGATCTGCTACTTATTGAAGAAACCTGTTGGAGCCATTATTGGTATGTTGTTTGTTGGGCCGACCACTAGGTGGCATTGTGAGCCCAGGGAGCTAAACTGGAGTTAAAGGAGGCTGACTAGCAGCAGGTGTTGCGCACAATTGGAAGTCCCATGGTTTTTAACTGTGGCACATCATGGCAACATAATATGAGAAAACGACTGGCATATCTAACCTGAGCTTTACGGCCTCATGGAAGTTTTTGTTTTGATTGAATGCATGCATACAGGCCCAGAAGCAAGTTTGCATACCGGCTAACAAAGAACAAAACGATTGATTTATTTAAGTTGTTTATTGATATCCTGAAGTGAAATTTTCTTGCTGGTATAAATGCACAATTTAGAGTCTTTTCCATTTTTTCTGTGCACAAGTTTTATTTGAAAATGATTAAAAGCCCCACAAATAGATCATATCATAGACTGAAGTTCATAAAATAGGGGCGCTTAGTAGAAGTTTTACGGTATATGTACTTATTTTGGTTTTCATTCTGACACACACATTTAACCTTAGCTTTAATAATGCATATAAGTGGAATCATTCCTGAGCCATCTTTATTATTATTGTTATTATTATTATTATTATTATTATTATTATTATTATTATTATTAATAATAATAAGAAGAATAATAAGAATAAGAATAAAAAATCGTATTTCTCTGTTGAACTCACTCTCTCTAGCAGCTTGCTCTTCATGAGGGGTTTGACCACGTTGTAAGTGGTGGTGAAGTACCAAGGCTGGTGGATGAAGTGCACAGCTTTGAAACGGGCTGGGAAAGAATCCTGGAGGAGAACAAAAGACAACAGATCATATGGGCAGTCCATCGTTCACTGAGGGGAAGTCCTGCAGAAAAAGTACTGATCACGACTGTACTGAACATTTTTGACACCAAGGATCAGTGAAACTAGTGAGCACTGCATCGCTCGAATGAACGTCTTGCTCGATTCTCAACATGTAATATGCCTGTTTTAACAAATAATGTCCACGGTATGAGTTTAGATTTCCCTACCTGCAACATGTCCACCATCTTCTTGAGCTCGGTGGGTTTGATTCCAGACGCCTGCTGCATGGTGAAGCCCTTGAAGTTCTCAATGATACAGAACCCGTTGATCTGAGTCTCCTCATTCTCCAGAAGTTTCTCCAGGATCACACAGTAGGCGCGCAGGATCTGAACACACACACACACACACACACACATATTTGTTGGTTTGCTGATACGGATTGCTAATGTTTGAGATCACTATTTCCTCCTGCTGTTTATTTTTGAACAAAAAGTAGCCAGGAGCCGTGCACCCACCTCATCGAAGGTGATCTCCTCGTAGTCCCAGTTCTCGATGTTGAAGAGCAGAACGACGCGGCCGTACTTGTCTCTGCTGGGCAGGATGCCGGGGTAGCCGGCCTCGATGGTGCTGCGTACGGCCTCTGGGGTCAGATTCTCAAACAGCTCGGGGTAATCCTTCCTGAATCGCACGTAGCCTGCAGAGGAAAAACAAAGGAACAGGCTCTAGGGTCACACCCTGGCTGAATATTTGACCCTGACAACATGAGAAGTCCCTCCGGCAACGCTGGGAAAAAAAATCTTATTTAAAATGTTAATTAAACTTCAATTGAATTAAAGGAACCAAAGCAGTGGCCCAAAATCTTTTGCAATGACAGCAGGAAACCTCCCTAAGGGGGCCCCATCTGACAGCACTCACTGTCGTTGCCCTGCTAAACGTCCCATGCATTACTGCTGTGAAAACCAAATTTTGTCAATGAAAGTCTACAAAGAAAAATAAAGAGGAATTATCCGTCTATAGGAGAGGAAAAAGAAACAGGAAAAAAAGAGGAAGTCTGTCGGGACACTGGCAGACATAACGCTGATGAACACTTCATCGCGCCCCAATTGACTTTTGACAGATAGAACAATTTCTATACTAAATATATACTGAGACTGAGAGAATAACACTTCAAACCTGTCTCCTCTCCAGACTCACCCTTCATGAGGTCGTAGGCTCTAGGCACGTCATACTTCCTGGCACGGATGAAGCGGACTAGCATGCCGTCTGGTTTCTCCCCGAATGTGTCCTGAACCCCCTTGGCCAGGTCGTCACCTCCATCTGCTCTCTCCTTAATAATTCCCCTCAGCTCCTTCACTGCGGCCACTTTGTTCTCATCTGTCTCGTTGAGCTCGTCCTTGGCCTGTAGGGGGAGCCAGATAAAACTGTTAGCCTACAGTTAGGCTAGCTTTAGCTTTTAATCGCACTTTCCTCTAAAGGGATGATTTTCACTTGAATGAATTGAAACTTCATGCAGCTAGCAAATAACTTAAATTTTGTTCTTCCTTGTTATGCTTACTCAACTTACTACTATGACTTTTTTGCAACTTTAGCATAATACAGAATCTGGTCTGCTAGCTAACTAGGCTAGCTAGCATGCAAAGCTAGCAAACAGCGGAAGCAGCCTGCTTTATTTTGCTTGAATTGTTGTTTAGAGACTATTTTTTCGAGTAAATATAATTTGGGTAAATTATGAAAGGAACATATATTTCTTACTCAAAGAATAATTCAATAGCTGTAGCAGTGAAATGCAAGTTTTAGCTTTCTCAGTGTCTTTTAAGACGGCTAATAACTTGTTTTTTTCTAACAAAAATGCAATCATGAGCTTGGATTGATTTCTGTACTTAGTCTATTATTACAAAGTTAATTTTTATAACTTTATTCTCACGGAAAAGAGTACAGTACTGACACATGAAACTAACAGGAAGTGTATAAAGCAGTGGTGAAGGAGTAGTAAGATAGATTGCTAGTAGTGCAGACAAATGTGCATTGACTGGCTATATCTTGAATAAACAGTGAGGGTTAGATATTAATGCGGTAAGAGTGAAAACACTGGCTTACCTTCTGCTTGGTGTGGTCCGGCAGGCTGGCACAGGGTCCAAACACTGGCCCGTGGTCCTTGACGGTGAGACGTTCCAGTTTGGCCCTTAGAGCCTGCTCCTCCTCCGAAACCATGCGGTATGTTCCACTCTGAAAAAGGAGAAACATGTCTTAATAGAGGATATACTACTCTTTATTTACAGGTGCATCATTATGTATGCCAATATGGGCAGATGTGTACATGTGAACATTTCAGCTTTTCAGCAGAAACCTAAATGATTGTTGTGACTCTCATCATGTAAGATAATTTCTTTTTTTTAAACAATGAACAGATCATCTCATGCTCTTAATCATGATTTAGTTGTTGCTAAATCAGCCTTTGCAAACTTCTACAATTTTTCAGGTTCACGACCGCAACAAGATTAAAGAGAGACAGAAAAGTCAGCACGCTAAATGTCCTTCATAGTCTGTTTTATCTGGGTAGAGCAACAACGGACGTATTTCAGCACAAGGCCTTCATCAGCTTTCATAAATTAGCCTTTTACATGACTGCTATAAGCCTTGATTATTATATTATGTCATTATATAAAGCTGTCGGTTAAAATAAAGTGGCTGGAAAAAAAAACATGTAGCAGGTAGACGAAAGAGTTGATTTCCAACCCTGGCGTACATTTACTTCCATTGTTTAGATTATTTTTAATCCCCCCCCCCATGACGAGAAAAGTCCATCCTCTCCGTCTTTTGCCTGCTCCACTTTTCAGAAAATGTGTGCTCAAACAGGCTGTTTGGAGATTTTTCCTTCATGACATCACAAAGGGCAGTAAACTCCTCCCCCAGGTGGGTGACACTCCCACAGCTAGGTGTTTGTTCTGCCCTCTGAGTCTGCCTTCTCACCGTAAACAATAGGACATGGAGCGAGAAAGCCCCTCTTACTGCTTGTAAATCTGATTCAAAGTTATTTTTTTCCCTTTCTTGCTTTGAATAAAAAACTAAAAGCTTCTCTGTGTCCGTTTAATTCCCTCACAAGACCCGGCTGTGATGTGTGGGTGAGGTTTAAAACATCTGTCTTATCCGCGTGAGTGTTTGCAAGTGTTGCAGGAGGCGTCATCAATAGGCCTCAGTGTTGGATTAATCCGCCTCACATGAGTCCAGTAAAGCCTGTAAACACACGTTAAGGGCTCGCTAGTCAACCTGAAGCAGGGATCAGAGATTAGGCTAAAGCTAATGCTACTGTAGCTGTTGACGCCATGAATCACAAAGGGCTTTTGGTTGTTGAGAAATGTTGAGCTGCCTTTGAGTTCATGGAACAGCAAGGTGAATGTGCTTTTGTCCTAAGTATTACAAACACTTACAGCTCATAAATCCTTGTTAAATATCAACATCAGTTCATTTTCATTTGGACTAAATCAAATAAATGCAAAAGTGAGTAAAAGTGAGTGTACTTACAACCACAGCCATCTCTTCTGCTCTTTAGTTCAGCTTCAAACTGTACGATGGAAGAGGAAAACAAGAGTCTGTGATTCACATGAAATGCAGTTAACAAAAAAACAATTGACACACTGTACTCCACATTAATCCCTCTTCATCCCACCCTCCATGCAATCACAGGGTTCCTCCATCCAGCTATTTTTAGCACCTGCCCATTCCTGCATGATTTATCAGGAGATTTAAGGTCCACAGTCTCTTTGTTTCGTAAACCAACAGGTCAGGTTTGAACTCTCCATCGACATGTTGATACATTTTTATAATATATACTCCTCAAAAGTTACCATAAATTAGATTTCATGCAGAGACTCTTCTTCACTTTCCATTTGTGAATTAATCCACAACTGTATTGATAACTAATTGATGAATCAAAATCATTCATGAAAAGATAAATATAAGGAGCACATTTCTAGTTTCTGACAAGCGGTCCTGTTCAGTACGGTACCCACATTCAAAAGTTGGTAATGGTACCAACATAAGGGGATCTGTACCGTCCTACTTCTTTGGAACCCTTCTGTTGGGGTGCCAAGGGTACAGATCCAACCCTTTTGTTTATTGTGTAACATTTTCTTCTTCTTCGTTGAACTAAATTATAGCGGGCTACACTGTGTTGGGCTGCTATGATGTCACACAATTGCATAGCTGATGCAGCTATCTCCATCTGGCTTAAACTCCGCTTACCAAATAAGGGAACTGGAAACTCAAGCTCAAGTTCAGAGTTTACCGTACCGAACTGAATCAAACTGTACTGGACCAAACCGGATCGCTTTGTGGAAACGGGGCTAAAAAACAAAACAAGAAATTCGAAGGCGTCGCCTTGAGGGTCAAATTATTTGCTGCAACATTTTTTGATGGAAATTCTCAAACACCTTGTGTATTATTTTAACAGTTGCCTGGATAGATGTAAACTCACTCTCTAGAGTATTTTAAATAAATTGCTCATACCTAAAAAGTTTCATATAAAAGGTTTGCATGCAGTGGTTTAGAGATGTTCCTCCTGCTTCTCTGTGTCACATCTACATCTTTACATCTTTTTGTTATAACATAATAAAAACAACACAGCACACACTGAAACCCAGAGCTGCAGCATCAAGAGTTCTTACATTGCTGGGATTTTTTTGTTAACAGTGGAAATGTTGCTCAGGACCGTGCCAGTGTTGGTCTTGCGCTGGGCTTACACCCTGACTCAAATTGATTCAGATAGCACATCAGAAACCCCTCAATACCTCTAAACACAAGATTTAAACTAAAGGCTGCTATATATGAACAATTTCTGGATTTAAAGCCAGTTTAAAAAGAGAATTTCAGATCATTGCTCCATGAAATCACAGCAGAAGAAGAGCAGACGGAGTGTGAAGTAGCACATTGGTGCGGGAGCCTTACCTGAGGCGGGTGTGAAGTTTCTGGCAGGGAGTCCCAGGGGTCTGTGTGGAGCGAGGAGGACGGGACCTGTGATTTGTAGTGTTGGGATTAGTGGCGTCACACCAGATTACATCTGACAGATTTCTTTTTTTTTCTTCTTTTCAATCAGCATAAAAGTGGCAGAGGGTGGGAAGAAGGGGAGGGGGGGGGGTTGGCCAATGGTGGAGGTGCTTGCACGATGAGAGGCAGTGTGGGCCGGTGCACATTTAGGATGATGTAATGTTGATTAAACACTTTAGATAAGAGGGGGTTGGAGGTGTCGGAGGGATTTGATTGCATTCCAGGGAGACTTGGAGGGAGTGAAAAGTGACCATTGTGACGACTCCTTCTCGGTTTTGATTTCTGCAACGTGATCACACTTGGGTGAGAGGAGAGGGAGGGGAGAGAGTCCAAATGTGCTGCTTCACATGTCTAAAGGCACGATGATGTTAAACAGGAGTTTACTCTGGTTGTAAGGATCTAAACATTTAAACACGTAATCACAGAAACCTGTTAACCAACCCAATAATCACTTTATTTAGAAGTTGCAGGGGGTGAGGTGTCCAGGGCCGGGGGGGGGGGTGAGGTAGTGAGCTGGAGGGGGCTGGCAGGCTTTGATGGCATTGAGGTGGAATTTGGCAGAAGAAGGTCTTGAAGACAAAAACAGGCGTAAGAAGCAGAAACAGGCAGGCAACAAAACAAAGTCTTAAAGGTTAACAGGGCTGAACGGGAGCTAAATGGCACAACGATCCAGCAGAGACGTGGGCCCTTTCTGAAAAGCCACAGTTCAGTATGGAGTGCGACTATTCAGTGGGGGGTTTCAGTAGACTGGATCCACCTAGACTGAACGTTTCAGCATGGATACTAACTTCTGGGTTTTGTGCAGTATGGTTTAGACGCATCTTTTCAGGAAATGAATTGTATTTTAACACCCAGAATGCTGTGCAAAATTCAACTTTACGTGCTCCTCCAAATCAAAACAAACAAGGATAAAGAAAAAAAACAAAACAGGATGGATGCGGCCGGTTCGAGTAACATGCCTTTCAAATGTTAAGTTGTTAAATTGTTTCCATGCAATGTGAAGGTTTGTATTATTTACTGAGCCATCGTGCATCTCACATGATTGTGAGTGTCAATAACATGTGGGATAACAGTGTGGAAGTGGCTAATGATGTCCCTTCCACACTGAATGAATCAGACCAAGTAGGAACAAATATCGGCCTACTGAACAGCAGGTACTAACAGGATACAGCACGGATAGAAGGGAGGGTCTACTGACAGGGTTCTTGTAGGTGAAGTTAATTGTGGGCAGGTGTGTTGATTGTAGCTCCAACTGGCGACCCTCCAGCTACCAGACCAATTTACAGATTCGGTCAGCGGCGGGAGTTGAGCCGGCGACCCTCCTGTTCCAAACCGAGGTCCCTACTGAGCTGCTGCTGCTGCTGCAGTGGTAAGTGTGTATGGAGGCTGTAGTCCTCCAAGCGGGCGGCCCAGGTTCAAATCCAACATGTGGCTCCTTTCCCGCATGTCATTCCCCACTTTCTCTCTCTTCTTGATTTCTGACTCTATCCACTGTCCTATCTCTCCAATAAATCTTTACAAAGAAAATAATCGGTGGACTAATAGTTGCTCAAAAAAAATCATTAGTTACAACCTTACACTTTTAAAAAGTACAGGTATTAACAACATGTTTATAAAATATATGAAATAAAAGATAAAATCCCTCACTCTGACTGAGCTCCTTAAACGTAAATACCCCTTCTGTACGGTTTTCCGTAAACCATAAATATTCATACACGCACACACAGGATTTGGATTTAGACTTAAGAGCATTCATATCATTCACAGGTCCCTGAGATCAGATTAGCGCTCACGTTCACCTCACATCTCAACATAATGACACTGTGCACATGTTGCTCACCTTCATCATTCATGCTGAGTGTAAAGCTTTAAATAATGTGAGCACACCTCATCTAATCGGACACGCATGAATTTAGACTTCATGTGTAATCCCCCATCGAGAGAGATTGAGTAAAAAAACAACCTTCAGATTAATCTCCAGTTATTGACCAACAGAGAGGTGTGAAAACAAATTAACCAACAGGTCAGTGAATGCAACAAGACAGTGTCATAAAACAGTATAAACATTAGCCGGAGGAAAATGTACACAAATAGTGTTCAGGTGTCGCGAATAAAGTCAAGATATTCTGGTTAACAAAATTCCATATATTCTGCAGGGGATCATTTTGCCGCCTCCTCTCGAGAGTCGATGTGCACACAGGTTGTCATGTGGTGGATACTGAAGCTTCAGTGTTTATCCAGCTCTGCATCAGTCTGTAAACCTTTCTGCGTTCTAACCTCTCTCCATTTTTCAAAAGCATCTCCAATATTGATCCTAGTTTGAGCACGTTTCTGCTCGTGGAGCTTATTAGAAACATGCAGAGGCTTTTTAGGTCGAGTACAATCACTTTTATCTGAACCAGTTCTCTTGATCGCTTCCATCGCTGCAACACCTGTTGGTTTGACCTGATAACTGGTCTCATCTCTGACAAACCAAGGGGCGTCCAAAATGGCCATGTGGGGGTGTCTTAAAACTGCCTACCTTCTCTGGTCCAAACAAATCCAGACCATTCAGGACCAGAATCTAAAGTTAGGAGGACATACTGGCTGCTGAATTGTTGTCAGAGAAGCCAGCACTTCAACATAGCATTTTTCCTTAATGTCTGATCATATAGTAAGGTCACTTTATCATTTCACTCAGTAGATATCTTACATATTGGTCCTTTAAGGTCATAAAATGTCTAAAGAAGTTTAATTTGTTTATCTTATCTGAATCACAATCGACTTAGATCTGGGTGAGTGGATATATGGAGGAAGCAGCAGGAGCATTCAAAGCTTTATGAAGTGCCACTCTCCTAAAATACATGAACTTGCTCCTATACTACATAAGAGTTTTGAATTCTTGAGTAACTAGCTGTGTCTGCAGGCAGGTTGGCAAGCCATGGACGTACGACAGGTTGGTGACGACCACGTATCTACCACAGACTGTAATTAAACGTGAGCCAAAGCTTGAGCGACTTCACTCTTTTTTCATTTGGATTCTGATCACCAGTTGCTTCCATAAAGAACATTTTGGTGCTTTGAAACCATTTGGCCATGAAGATCTGAATTCTCAAGCCTTTAGAAACACAACAGGGGACACCATACCTCCATGGCTAGCATCCCAAACCTGTTCCCTGCTCATTGAATGAAGACGTCCCTGCTGCTGGTCGGTCAACATTAGGAAGTTTCCCTTTTCTCTGACCCTCGCAGCGTTAATGTCACCAACACACGTTTTCCTCCTGGCGCAACGATGCAGGAGCGAGCAGTCGACCAGTAATCTGCTAAATCAGGTCCTGGTCCTGATCTGCTCAATAAAGCGCTTTCAGGGAACCAAAATAGATGGATTGAGCTAACAATGCGACTCTGTTCTCTTCTCTCCCTATAGCCTGAGCTGAGGGGCCAAGTTCAGGCTTTAGACATGTGTGTGTGTGTGTGTTTGTGCGTGTGTGGAGGGGGAGAGGACAAAGCCATACATGCAGGATTTCAAAATGTGTAGCTCCCCCTGCAGCTCACCATGCTACATGTATGTGTAGTTGAACACTGGTAACATGCTCACATTTTTGGACTTTGCTGAATAAGAGGACGTGTTGTGAGATCATCATCAGTATTTCTAAAACTTCTCCTTTGGGTCAACTCACCTGTACATTCTGTGACCTCGTTCACCTCGTCCACGTCCTGATCCAGTGTTTGTGACAAGACCCTGTCACACCTGCCCGGGTGATCCCCAACGCGTTTCCCAACATGTCTAAAGAGTTTCATCCGTTTTCATCCGTTAATACTGCTGCTCACAATGCTGCTGTTAATGCTGACCTGGCTGCGGCTCAAGTAGGACAAACATGACGACATAGTTGGAGGTTTTCCTCTTCAACAGTGTGACCCAATGAGCCGAGCCAAAAAGAATCATTACATTACACACGCAACGCTCAATTCATGACGTAAATAGCTCCACAATGATATAAAAGAAAGCTTGTGTTACTGTTACCGAAAAATCTTTAAAGCCTTTTTTCCCAATACATATCTAGACAGAAATATTACTTTTTAATAATTTCTGATAAACACATGATCAAATAGTTACAAATCCTAAACTTTGCCAGATTTAATTCAGTGACGGTTCAGTTTGTCCAACACAAAGGACGCAACATTTACTCCTTTTTCTCTCTGGCTTTGGTCTCCATCAACTCCTTAGGCAAACATCTAAATGATTCATTAAGCTGCTCCTCGGATGGTCACAGTTTCGGGGTTGGGAAATCGTTCTTCAGACTTCAGTGTTTTTTCAGTTTGTTAAGTCTGAATGTCATAGCAACAATAAAACAAGACGAAGACGACATGTGTGACGTCTCTGTTATGAGTTACATTCGAGCAAAAAGTTGATGTGTAATACATGAATTAATAAAAAGTATGTTAACATTGACAGAACATATTTTGCACCCCATGTGATGACATGTCGGGACCCTTATTATTCCCTGGGTTTTCAGAGTTGTTGGTCCAACTTGAGCAGGCGTTCATGTGCATTTTACAACTCAGAATCTAATTTTTCCGATGCGTCTGACTCCACATGAATGCACAGATATACAGAGGGGGCGTGGTCAGACACAGCTCACTTACATTTAAAGAGCCCATATTATGCCCTTTTTGTTCGTATATTTAATCTATGTACCTACTTTTGTACGTTCACTATAGCTAAAGTTTGAAAAAAGTGTCTGTTTTCATGTACTGCTCCTCCTTGCTCCCTCTCCGCTCTGAGTCTGTGAGCTACGCTCTGTTGAGCCCACACTGTTAGACCCCACGTGGGCCAAGTCTGCCAATTCGCTCTGTCGTTATTGATCAGTTGCTCAGCACGCTTCTCGGAAATGTCCCGCCTCTTTTACCATATTGGGAATACAGCCACTGGCTCCGTCCGAGGGGAGCATAAACATTAGCACCTTAGCACTACTGTGTTACCGCAGGCTACGGCATATCGTGGGCGTGCTACAGAAGTTAATGGGCGTGCAACATGAGCTGCAGGGCTTGCCACAATGAGCCAATGGGCTTAGATCAGTGATCGCACATTGACAATGACGTCGGACTGACACATTTTTATAGAGGGGGGCTAGAACCGAGCGTTACATGCAGCTAATGCTACAGCTAACAGGAGGACGTAGGAGAAGCCGCGTTTCTGCGGACTTTGAATTTTTGCACATAGATGTGCCTAAACATGCACAGGACACTTGGAAAACACACTAAAGGGCAAATAAAACCAGAAAAAGCATAATATGAGACCTTCAAAAGGTACATACACAGAAACAGTGTGTTCTGAGCAGGGCTGAAATAGAGGGGTTTATAGGCATGATCAAATACAGGATCAGAGCGGATTTAGAACAAGAAACTTCACACACGTTTTGTGGGAGCTCTGAGACTTATTTAAAGTTGTTGAAAAGTAGGATAATATGTGACCTTTAAGTGACATTGAAGAGGAACAGCAGAATAGATAAATGTTGTTTACTTATTTTAATGTGGACACATTGAATCACTGAAAACAGGCCAAGTTTAAATATAACAGGCCATTTTATTAGGACATTTAAGAGCAGCTTACAATAAGAGGTAATGATATAAATGACCATTACAGTTAAACATACCGTGGTTGATTTATAAAAAACACTTAAGGCCACTTAAACATGGAGGTAACTTTTAGTTGACATGAAAATGCAGCAGTTTAAACTAAAGTTTACTTTCTTTTACAACCAGAAGTGAGTAAAACTGGAAATTGTTCCACTGAAGAGGTCTGAGGCACAGTCAAAAGCTTGTAAGTTGGATCCCCGCACTGAAGAGCACCAGAGGGATACTTTCTTTTCAACTATTAAAAAAAAAAAACACATTTCAACAACACCGCAGCACTCCATGCATCTCTTTTTGTTTGTGTAATTTGTTCCACATTTTTAGACGCTGCTCCAAGAATCTATCTTTTGGCAGTTTCATGTTAAATGGACAAACATAAAATATACAGTTCTTTTCTAAAAACAGCTGCATCTCTGTCCATTGATCAGTGTTTGTTTTCCTTTCAGGTAAGAGCAACAACCGTCCAAACTTTGCAGAGCATGAAGCCAACGCTTCACGCTTTAACATAAGTGCGCTGAAACCGAGAACTCTGCAGGACAAACTCTGTTCCACGGCAGTGAAAATGCTGATACTAGCTCCCACACTGTTTAGAAATAATAAGTTAACAAGTGTCTCCATCAGTACAGTCACTTCCCCAAAATTAAAGAAAACATATTTTCATGAGACGACAGTTTTATCACAACTCCCAGATTTGATTCTCTTAATATTAATTTTTTACATAACTGTAATTTAAGTCCAGCCTGGATGTGGATGTGTGTTTAACTCCAGCCTGTCTGTATGTTGTGCATTCACATTATTCATACTTTTCTGTACTTCCTTGTATTAAGGAATCTGTTGAGGTACCGCCATACTGTCCTTTCATTTGCTCTCAGCTACGACATCGTCTGGCCAGTACTCGTCCTGCATGTAGTGGTTTGAGCTCGACGCTTGTTGAGCATCGTCATCGTTGTGAAGTCTGTTCTGCAGCTCCTGCTCCCACTCTCCCTCCACCAGCTTGTAGAGATCTAGGGCGGCTTGAGCATCCTCCACCGAGCAGTGGCCCCACCTCCCCACCTGGACGTGGAGCGCATGGACATCAGGGTGCATCACGGTTAACAAACAAACTTCCCTTCAGCTACGTGTACATACTTTTAAAGGGTTAGGGGTATGTTCGGGAATAATTGTGATTTCTCTGCGACCACTTCACAAACATGTTTTGGGGAGCTCTGAGACTTATTTAAACTAGTTGAAGAGGAGGAGAATATGTGACCTTTAAAGTTCAAATATCAGACAGATAGTTATGAGTAAACTCATCATCAGATAGTATAAATCATTTGTATGCATTGATTATCAGTTAATATAATACAGTTCATATAATGTTATATAAATCACAACATCTTACCTGTATTTTCCTGCTCAGCAGCTTATTGGCCAAGATTTTCAGGGAGGCGCAGCGTTGCCGAGGGAAACCAGCCAACTTGCTGAGGAGCCTTGTGGTGATGGTGTCTCTGACCATGTGAGGAGGATGGATCATGTCCAACGCCTCAAAGTCGTTGTAAATAGAGTGGCCAACGACCACTTTGCCTTCAAGTATCCTGAGGATCTGCAGAAGGAAAGTGCAGAAGACGTATGAATGATTTACAGTGCGAGCTGAGGTCGAAGACACAGTTTAAGCAACTTTCACATGTTCACTCAAAGCTCAATATTGAGCAAAGTAAAAACTCCTGCATTTGATAGAAGATTCAGTTCAGCTACAAACGGTCACCTCGCTCTAGTGGTTCCTAAAATATGAGAAGCTACCCCCTGGTGGGCAAAGCAAGTACTGCAAGTGGGTCTCAGGAGGTTTCTTCTTGCACTTTTTAACAACTCGATTATTAAAAATGTTATAAGTGTACAGTCACTGGTGAGTCTTAGGACGCACTCACATTTGTCCAAGTTGCTCTGTATCGTGTTGAAACATGATTGTCCCCCCTCTCCATTCCCCCCAACGACCTGCACTCACACTAACCCAGCCTGAGCACAGTTACCTCCTGAATATAACATAATACAACACATGCATGGCAGAAAGAGGGGGGGAGGGGGGCATGAGGTCGAGTCAGCACATCACAAAAATGTGAAGTAGAATAGTGCAGGCCTCACCTCCTCCCTGGCCTGAGCGAAGGCTGTAGCATTGCACAAGTGATGCCTTCTGATGCCGCTCCAGCGAGTCCTGTAGTCTGTAACGGGCTGACTGGGTCGGACATATTTATCATATAATATGTTACCACGATAGTCCAGGATGCTGCAGCGGGCTAACTCACTGCAGCGTCCTCCAGGCCCCGTCCCCACCATCTCGCAGTCCAACGCCACCACTGTGGTGGAGCACGAGCTGAGGCACGGTGAACTCCGCCCGCTAGCCGGAGGACTCGCCTCCGAGGAGAAACCACTGTCCACCTCCCAGCGGTCTCTGAGGGCCGAGACTAAACTGTTCTGGTCCGAAGCTTTAGGCTCAGAAAGTCCAGGGTTAGAAACATCTCTCGTCCTGTTTTCAGAGGTCAGAGTGCTGTGAGCGTGTTCTTCTGTGGCGCTCGATTTTGTTTTTTTGACCAGTTTATTAACGTCCGGTGGTTCAGTGAGGTTGTTCGTCGTTTTCCTCTTCATGTTGCTGATGATTATCTTCTGCTGATGTTTCCTTGTAGCTCTTGCGCTCTCCAAGGAGCGAAGCATCGTGGATCTCTTACACAAACACCTGTAGTTGTTGAGAAGCCCCCGTGAGCTGCCTTTGGTTCTATTTGACCGCTCCGCCATCGCCAACTGAGGCAACTTGTCTTGAAGTCATTTCTGAGAAAATGAAATAAAAACAACTTGATAATAATAAAGTCAGCTTTACGAGAGATCAACTCAGTAAATGTGTACATCTATCTCAACAGACACCTTTTTGATTTTGAGGAATCATTCAAATAAATCTGAGCAAACTGCCAGCACTCATTCTCGTTGCCCTGCTGAATGTTGCTCGGAGGGCCCCCAATTGACTTAAGCGTCGGGCCGGACATGAGAAATAAATTATAAGAGGAAGATTTTTTCCCCCCATGATGCACTTTGAGACGAAGTCAAAAAAAAAAAAAGTTGAAATGGTGATAATAAGGTTAAAGTACAAATGTCGAGAAGTCTAAATGAAGAGAATGAAGCTGAAATTTAGATTTATTAAGAGAAATTTGGACTTTATTCACATAATTATATTTAAATTTTACTCTCAACATTTCAACTTTTTTTCTCCACATTTTTACCCTTTTCTCTATAATATTATATATTTCTATTTCTCATAATGACAATATTTCTTCCTCCTCTCATGATTTATTTCTCATTATTTATGGCCTTCATTCCTTTCCGTATAAGTGCATTATCCAGATACTTCACATTATCCAGATACTTCACATTATCCAGATACTTCACATTATCCAGATACTTCACATTATCCAGATACTTCACATTATCCAGAAACATGCCACTTCACATTTTCTTGCCTACCAAACACCATTCAAATTCTGAAACTTTGATACAAGATCCCTTTAACTCAAATTAGACTTCGATAGAAAACCTGAGATATATATATATATATAAATCCATCGCTAAGATTTAGTGGTTTATTCGGCATACAGTAAATATAGTATAGACTCATGTGTGACTATAAATAGAGCATGTCTGCCATCTGGAGCAGCCTCAGCGTCAACATATTATTATCGTTCAAAGCGCTGACAGGTGTTTTTCAAGCGTGTTTGGTCAGTTGTAATGATGACATGATTTAAACACTGTACCTACAGAGTTTACAAAAAGCATGAACTTGTGTTTAACTGTGTCATAAACCGATTATCTCTTTAATTGCCAGTTATTGAAACTGAGTTCGCCTGTCCGCTCGCTTAGCTAAACTTCACTAGCATTGTTTTGCTAGCTGAATCAAACTGCACAAACACGACACTAAACTTTACTCTCCGATTAAAGATACAAGATTAATCTGATATCAAGAGCGTTGACAGTAAAAAAAAAAAAAAAAGGAATACAAAGGAAATGTGACAGAAAAGTACATTACCTTCTAACATAGCAGCACGTGTACAGCCTGAACATGCCTCGACATAAGCCTCCGATGCTCTCATGTGATTGGCTCTCACTCTTCTTCGTTTATTGTTTAACAGGAAGTGTTTTTCTACCAATTAGTGTTGGATTCGCCGCCTACAGGTTAGTCGCGCTTTTACGCCAAAATATGATTCACAACTTTTATTTTGTCCCAGAAGGGCAAATCAGTTTCACAACCTACCGAGCCATTGAAAAACGCAAAGACAACATAAAGGAAAGAAACACATACACTGACAGGAATGTGTCTAATAGACACTAGATGAATGGACCTCACAGGTGATCTCACTGTACAGTAGCAGATCAGGGGCGTCGCCAGGAATTCCGGGCCCCATGAAAAGATCTCACATAGGGCCCCTACCAAGTCCCAAACTAAACCCAGAGAATTTCTACAATTTCTACACTTTAATCCTTCTTTCACTGCATTATCATTTGTCTCACCTGACGTTCAAAATGTTGTTTTTTGGGCAGAAGTCGCGGTCTCAGTTTTAATGCTTGCGCGACAACACTGATATCATATGAACTACACTGAATCTGTTGATATCAAATATGTTACTGTAGCTCGCTGGGAAAGACGCTAACTATAACTCCAAAGTTGACTCTTTTTGACCGCGATGTAATATTTTTATAAAATAAGGTCGTATGAAATTGTATCTATGAAGGGGATTAATAAGATATATTTATACATAAAACACAGATATGATCCACATGATATTCTTGGCTGAATTCCTCTAACGTTTAATCTGCAGCCTGCCACATCTCTCACGCTTGACTCGACTGACTGCTGAAAGATCAATCCAGGTGAGAGGTGGTGGGAGGACTAAACCATTCTGCGCATTCAGAATTGGAGGAGAGGGCCTTTTAGAGAGACTTCACATTTTTTCCAGAAAGGAATTCTGAATGTTTGTTTATTTATTCAGACAATTCTAATTATCTTATTGCATTTATAACTTACAGAAAAAATTGGTTCTCCTTGGAGGGGCAAGATAGCGCCGTCCAGAGGGCATTAAAGAAAACACGGATGAGAGAACATGTTTGGGTTGATCCCTTTGGCTTTCTGGACCTCACGCTCCTTCCACAGGGAGCTCAAGTCTTTCAGCTGGACTCCAATAATCTTAGAGCAGACTTTTACAATGTGGCTCAAACTGTTCTTGTCCTTCACAGACAACCCATTGAACCAACAGATAAAAGAAAATGTTAAAAGACTTTCGATAAAAGAATGATAAAAGCTACATAAAATGCTTTGTGAAACACTAAAAGAGTTCAGCCTCCGCATCAAATAAATTCTCTGTTGGCCTCTTTTCACGATTGACTCTGTTTTCAGAGAACTTAAATTCAGAGTTGAACACTGTCCCAAGTTAATTATATGAGTCCACTATTTCAACCTCTCCATTGTGGATAATGCTAGCTTCAGGGTGACAAAAAGTTATTCCTAAAATCTATGACCAATTCCTTGGTTTTCATCCAGGAAGTTGTCATCGCACTACTTAACAAAAGTTGGTAGAGCACCGCCATGGCCTGATTCTGAGCCCTGAAGGATGGACAGCAGAACAGTGTCATCTGAGAACTTTACCAGATAACTGCTCTCTTGTGATGTTCTGCAGCTATCTGTGTACATGATAAAAAAGCAGGGGGGAAAGGACACAGCCCTGAGGGGAACCAGTGTATGACATCATTATTTTCGACATTTGACCTTTCACGAAAACCTGCTGAACTCTGTCTGTTAAAAAGTTTAAAAGCAACATTAAAATCTGACCAGGAAGTTTAAAGTGAGAGGATAGTCTCTCAATTAAAATATGAGGCTGCATTTTATTAAAAGCTGAGGAAAAGTCGGCGATTAAAAGTCTGGCATGGGATTTAGGTTTTTCCAGGTGTTTGTACACAGTGTCTAAAATGAAAACCTTGGCGTCGTCCACACCTTTGCCAGCTTGATAAGCAAACTGAAGTGGATCAAGTTGACCATTTATTAATGAGACAACTTCTGCTTTTAGGATTTTCTCAAATGTTTTCATAACAAGTGAAGTAAGAGCGACTGGTCTTAAATCATTCAAACCCTTAGGTTTAGCTTCCTTAGGTACAGGGATAATTATTGTGGATGTTTTCCAGATGGGGGGTATCCGGCCACACTCCGGCACATCTGAAAAAGTTTTGTGAACACGTCACTGAGCAGCTTTTCTTGTATTAACTCCCTTCAATAGAGTTGTGACAGTTCCCTGAGAGATCACAAAGTCATTCTGAGGAACAAGAGATTCTCTTAGTATTGAAATATCATCCAAGAAATTAGACCTTTCCCAGCGAGAAAAAAATGAATTAAAAACAACAAGTCAGCATCATCCACACCATCTACACAGATAGGAGGCTTAGTCCCACAGGTGGATTGGTTAATTGATGCCATGGATTTTATTTTATTAATGTCATCACAAACATCATTAAAACATTGTCAGTCTGTACATTCAAAACAGGACTGGAGAGATGAGATGCTGGCCTCTGACCAGATTTTGACGGTCCTCTCCTCGCACTCCAGGTGCCTAAAACAAGGTTTGTAAGTGGGCATAAGGTAGACACTGTTATGATAGGAAGCACCCAAAGAAAGCAGAGGAAAAGATTTGTAAGCTCCACTTACACAACCATAACTGAGATCAAGTGAGGTTTTCTTTTGTGTTGTAGCGCAAGTCACATATTGTTTGTATGTCCTCAATGTTTTATTTAACTTGCAATGATTAAAATCCCCCAGAATAAACTTGGGTGCATCTGGGCAGATAGAGTCATATATCATAGCGTTATATTTTATACAGTTTTATTTCATTTATTATGGCTGACAAACATCAGAAAGACTTTATTTTGACGTGTTTTACCTTAAATTATTTAGATTATATCGTAATAAATGCATACTATTGGAAATCATACACGCATCTTCGTTCTACACAATCTTTATAAATAATTTACTTTTTTCATCTGAGATTACCAAAAACGAACCAAATAAATGTTAATCAAGCTTTAGCATCCACATGAATCAGCTTTATGTAGGCTAAACAAGTGCTTAAATTAACTTAGATCATTTGAATGTCTGGTTTAAAAAAAAAAGTTGATCGAAATAGTTTGGGGTGTTCTGTGTTCATGGAAAATAGATATAATCCATAGTGTATAATAAAGATGTGACGAGCAAAGGAATAAAAAATACATTGTTGTAGAGGTTTTATCATTTAAAAAGAAATCAAGGCAACATGACATGACGGTTTTTTTTTTGTTTTTTTAAAGATGAAGACATCAAGTGTAAGAAAAATGTTTTGATTTGGCCTCTACACTAAAGGGTTTTTAGTAGGGATGTAAGAATACCTCATAATCTAATGCAAAAAAACAACACACATGGACAATTTATATTGATTGGACAAACAAATATGCTGAAATATTTTTTTAAAGGATGTTGGGAGGAGAGAGTGGGCAGAAGGCTGTGGCTCAGTTGTTGAGTGAGTTGTCTCCCAACCAGAAGATCGAGGGTTCAATCCCCAGCTCTTGAAGCCACATGTCTGCTGTGTCCTTGAACAAGATACTTCACCGCAAGTTGCTCCCGCTGCTTCTTCGGCAATGTATGAATGTGTGTGAATGGGATTAGTTACTTCTGATGGTCACTTTACACAGCAGCCTCTACCATCAGTGTGTGACTGTGTAGGTGTGACCTGAGCTGTAAAAGTGCTTTGAGTAGTCAGAAGACTAGAAAAGCGCTGTACAAGCTCGAGTCCATTAACCATTTACATGCAGCAGTGGTCCGAGGTCGAACTCAAACCCACTACAGCCTCTGCACACAACCATCAGGCTAGAACAAAGCAAAACAAAGGTACATGAAGACCTTTGGATCTGGACACATGGACTCTTTCTGTAATAAGATGGACCAAGAGATCTGATACACTGCAGGAAGTTATAGTGACCGACCTGACAGACAAAAAGGGATCATTAGTTTAGAGCTAATTCGAGGCTGAACAGTCCAGACGCTGAGATTCATGAATGAGATCATACAGCCTGTTTTGGTTTTGTGGGCCTTTTTATTTCACAATCCTTCCAAATGTACAAAAACAAAGACGATTAACAAAACAAAAATGAAGAAAAAAAAAAAAAAAAAAATAGAAAGGAATTCACCGCTACCAATATCCCCCGTGACAACGACAACAAAAATCAGAGCGACAGATGACCGAAGACTGGAGTCTAACCAAAGTGCATCAGCCTGAGGTGTGGTAGACAGACCCGGGGAAATAAAAATCTCAATTTTTTTCAAAAGCTGTCCCCTCTTCCCTAAAAATTTGTTTTTGTTTTTAGACATTGGGCAGGCCCTGGCCACCACCTCTCCACAGTTTTCCCAGAGCAGCAGAGGACCTAGAGGGAGGAGCCGCGCCCCTTTGATTGGGCCTCAGAGCATTTGGTAGTTCACTAAGAGTGGAATATAATTTCAGTTCTTTCCATGATTTTCCAAATTTCTCCTCCTCCGGTTTGTGAGCGAGGGGGGGAGGGGGTGGGGATGTTGAAGTTCTTGTTGGGAGCTTTTATAGCTCTGACTTCTTCTTCTTCTTCTTCTTGGCCTCCTCCTCCTCCACCACCAGCGGGTTGGTTGCCTCCCTCTTCAGGTAGTTGATGAAGTCGCTCACCTCGCGACCTCCCTGAAACAAAAGAGACGGGAACGTTTAGCAAAAGGGAAAACAAAAACATGACTATAATCAAACGATCACTGAAGCTGATGCTCACCTCGTATTTCTTCGGGCTCGTCTTACTTCCGGCTGGTGCGAAGTACATGGTGGGGAAACTGGAGAAGCAAATAAAAAGTTGTTCAAGTGGCGTTCTGAAGCATGAGACCGTTCTGTTTTAAAGAACCGCCCCGCCCCCCTTAAAGAAAACTGAGAGAAAAATGAGGCCCCCTACACAAGAACCTTTTTCCATGTCTTCCTCGACCTCAAACCTAGTCTGACAGCTCTGTAAGCGTAATGTTCTAAAACACACGAGCATCCAAATGTTTCCAGGCGAGAACAAGCTCTGACCCTTCCAATAAATAAAACCGTAACTCACCCGCTGACTTCGTATGGAGATGGCACATCGTTGGCTGTGGCGTCCATCTTGGCGATAACGATGTTGGGATCATCGGCGAGCTGAAAGAGAAGAGGTCAGAAAGTGTGAACAGTCTGCAAGCTGGATCTAAACAAATTGACTCCTATAGTCCAGGTGTCAAACTCAGACGAGGCCCTCTGGTATAAAGCACACACCACGGAAACTACAAATCCCAGAATGCACCACCAGGGGTTGACATTAAGCAAATTTTGCCCTCTGGGCGACTGGTTTTCAAATATCACTGGCCCGACCATCGTAACCGCTGGCCCAGGAACATTACTTTTGATTCGAAGAAAAACAGTCACCAATTTACTCTTGAAACATTCTGATGAAATTAAATTAGAACTTTTATTTAATTAAGTGAGCTCTAATTATAAAAATATTTTGTATTTTTCTTACATTTATGTGCTCATGTTTATTCACCATGCTGGTAACTGTAAGAGTCTCCTTAATCTGATATTAATATGAGGCTGTGATAGAGCTGGAATCTCTCCTTCTTTCTTCTGTGAGAAACTCTTCATCCTTAGAAATTTACTTTCGGAGCTCTCTTAAGGGCTAAGATGCTTTGTGAATAACTTTTATCTTTACTAGGATCTAGTTTTTAACTTTAAGGGGAAATTCAGCTGCATTGTGTTCCAGCTCCTCCAGCTGTCTGTCACTGTGGCTGAAACTTTTCTCCCTTCTGTTTTCTTCATGTCCTGCTGTCACTCTCGACTCTTCCGGTGATTGTTTTTCTTTGAATGCTGATTTTAGCTCGGCTTTTGTCGGGATCTGACGGTTTTAAAACCGTTTAACCAAACGTGTTTTTTATTAGAGAAAACCTGCGCTAAAATCTGTGTGCGAGTGTACAATCCGAGAGGTGCGAGCGCGCTCGCGGGAGGGACAGCAGTGAAGCAGTCAGCTGCCTTTCAACTGTGACACACATGCGCGGAAACAAGCACATGAAACGTTGATGCTGTAGCAGTTATTAGGGTGACGTTTTTAAAATAATTACTAACAAAACACCAGTATGACAGTAAAGCGCAGTGAAGTTGAGAACGTGTTACTGTCTTTTTTTCTTTTGCCAGGCAATATTTTAACTCATTAGTTATAATGTCGAGCCCTGCACCACAATGGCCGGACATGCACGCTCCAGCTCTGTGCAGCGTACAGGAGCATCTCAGGGCCTGAAACCTGCAGCTTCAAAGACAGGCCGCGTGATCACGGACGTGTGGTGCCGCTTCTGAGGAAGCAAACTAAAAGATGACAAACCACACAGTGACAAACAGAGTCGTCTGCACCAATTATGATTTTGAATAAATACATTTTCACCCAGTTTGGGCCTTCAGTGAAACCCAGTTTTAAGTTTGTGCCCCCTCAGTCATTGAGTTTTACACCCCTGACTCAAATAATGAATCCACATCCAGCCTATTCAAATGTTCAATCTCTTGATTTTTGCAAAAACTAGTCCGGCCCCGATTAGATCTCATTTAACAAATCCGGTCCACTACCTGACATGAGTTTGATGCCCCTGTTCTAGAGAGTCAGCAGTGCAACTCGTCCAACTTTGGATTGAATGCTACGAAAGCAGCGCTCTCATAAAGTCTTAAAGAGATTAATATAGTTAAGCTGAGTATCTGATTATTCACATCAATAACAGCAGTTGGTAATAAACCCATTTCCCACCTTCTCTCCCAGCTCTTTGAATTTGGGCTCCAGGCTCTTGCAGTGTCCGCACCACGGAGCGTAAAACTCGATCAGCACGTCTTTGCTGTCGTCGTTCACGATGGAGTCAAAGTTCTCAGCCACGATGACCTGAAATCAAAAAATAACAACATAGTCAATCATCTTTGTTTTAGACGTCGAATAAAGCGGTGATGAAACGGTTTCTCAGAGGAGATTCCGTTTTAATAAAAAACAGAGAAGTCAAACTATTTATGAAGCTTTAAACGAGATCGAGAGAGGGGGGGGGGGGGGGGGGGGGAGACAGCTATCTACAATGTTTTGAATTTGTACTGCAGTACCCAGTTTAAACACTAGGTGTCAGAGTTACATATTGATCCTTTATAAATAGGGAGTGAAATTAAAAACATGCTGAATATGAGGACATTCAAGGCCACACATTGATCAAATACTAATAAAGAAAACAGGTTAGAAATATTGAGCAGAATTCCTCTCACCTTGACCGGTCCGTCGTTGTTCTCGGGGATGGGCTCGGATTTGAGGTACTTCTTCAGCTTGCCGTCAAAGTAATCGTCCAGGAAACGCTCCAGAGCGGCTCCGTCACGACTGTGAGGAGAACAAAAAGAGAAATGTTGTATTTACGGAACAATGAGCCACCGTTTGCTTTAAACGTAAGAGCGAGGGAGACAAGATGTTCAAAAGTAGCACAGACAGACTGGTCTGTGTCGCTGTGTTTCCCAGCACAGCCTCATTCATACACATGTTTAAACACGTCAGGTGGCGAGCAGCGTGTGATGGTTGCAGCTAGTTTACATCTTCGAGAACTTTTTTAGTAAACTCTCGTTTTCAAAACGAGCCAGCTGAAAGATTTCAGTTTATTATGTTAAATTAATTAATGTAGCAAACCGGCTAAATACGACTCGACTTACGTGAACTCCTCGCTCATGGCGTATTTGTCTCCCTTGGCGGTACGGAGGGCCACAACGGGTATTTCAGACGAGCCGCCGTCCAGGCCGAACTCGGACACTTCGTGGTTGAACGTGTTCCTGTTGGCCACGGCGAAGTTCAGCTTCTTGCCGTCGTCCAGGAATTTCTTGGCCACCTTCATCACCCTGAAGAAAAACAAAAAACAAACACAGTAACGTTTGGTGAGTTTTTCAGTCATGAAGATAAAACATTTAAATGGAGATGTTACTTTTATCTTCATGCTGCATTAGCCTGTGTCCTGCATAGTTGAGTTCGCATGCTAATGTTAGCGTTCTTTAGTTAGCTCGTAGCTTCATATTGCATGTAAATGGTCACAGAATGAACATGATCTAAAAACACTAAGGTGACATCTAAATAATTAGTGAGTATGTTCTTCTTTCTCTCTAGTTCTTGACTAAAACAGCTTTTATTACACAAGGGGAGGAGCCGGCCGTCCCGTCCATGTAAACATGGCTCTGACAACAACACAGCCAGCGGGACTCGAGCGTCTCACTCATTGTAGACAGTCATGACTCAGAGAGACATTTACACAGTATATACACATTCTTCCTTTAACCCCCAATTCACACATCCGTGCACGCTGCGGTCCGTCAGCGCCGCGCACAACGTTGTACTTAGCTTCCACTCTAGTCAATCATTGTGTTCACGGTCCGTCTCTGGCGCGTGCCACCAACGGCACTACGCTCTGTTCCGTTTCAAATACGCAGCAAGTCTATTTTCGCCGGAGTACGCTGCAGGCACGTGTCAAGCTGGACAGAATATGACAGCCCAGATAGGAAGTCAGACAAGGAAACGCACAGAGCATCCGGTCAATTTCAAAATAAAACACAATATACAGACTCACGATCGTATTTTTCATCACTTTATCAACATTACGTCAAAACAGGTACTGAATTAACAACAATGCATCCTCAGAAAGACAAAGCAACATGTTGTTTGCATGTTGTTTGCATGTTTTTCTCTTAATTCCCGCAGGGGAATTATGTGTCATGGGTGCGCTCCGCTGCGCTGATGTCCCAGAAACAGATCCAGTGTGAATGGGCGCGAGCCGTCCAATGGAGCAAAACCATGGTGCTGACGGACCGTGGCGTGCACGTAGTATGTGTGAATTGGAGGTAAGGATCCAAAACTTTGGCTTAATTTATCAGTGAGGGCAGACTGACACACCCGACTAGTTCAGTGAGGCATTTGCAACATTGACATCTGTTTTAAAAGATGTCAAGATGTGAAGATAAACACGTGCTTTCATTTGTTGCCTTTCAGAGGAAGCAGACTGTTGACGTGTTTAAAATAAAAAATAAAAACACCATCAAGCTGTGGTCGGAGCTCAAACTGAAGAACATCAAACTGCAGGACATTAAAAGGTCCGAGGTGGGTTCAGGGACACCTACCTGTTCCTCCAGTAGTTGGAGCCCTTTGGATTCTTCTCATAGTCGACATCATAATAAGCCACCAGCAGGTCCTTCCCCCTCAGCTGGTCTTTGTTGTCGTCTGTCATGTGGGGGCAGATTCCAAAACTGAGAGAGAAAGAAAGAGAGAGAGAGTTTAACATCTTCATGAACACATGTCATGAGTGTTAAAGGTTTTTATCTGATCCTCCTTAAACACGACGTACAAACTGGTTATTGCAGTAAGTTATGAGCAGAGGTGAAAGTGAAACTAAAAAAGGGGATTTCAACTACAGGGCCGCAAAATACTATCAAATGGAAAAGTGTTGATGATTTCTGAATAACTAAAGCTGCTTTTACTGGAGCCCTACAGAAGAGAAGAGCCGGCCTGAAAACAGTGTTTATGATGTTATGAGTCTTACACTCTGTAGAAATATAACCACCAGCTGTGACATCATGACCATCTGACCTTCGCAATCCAACAGTTCTTCCATAAATTCTACTTTGATTAAGTTTCTACATGTTCATTTCTCGCTGACGTGGTCAGCGGACGAGGGGATGAATCTAAATTATATTTATTATTTAAGTCGTAGTGTGTGGTGGTGTATTAGGCCCCGTGTACACTCTTATCTTACAATGAGGAGAGAGCGTTTACAGCAGCAGGCGACCGGCCCGACAAAAAAAGCGTCTTATTTTCAGAGCGCTCTGCCTTCTTTAAGCAGCCGCTCCCAGCGCTTAGACTTTTCAAAAAGGCGGTGATGACATCACAGGCGCTCTTTTCTAAAAGTTTAACGATATTCCCCGTTCTTTGCCGCCTAAAGATCTTGTCTTGTATCCACATCCTCCTCGTTCCGTGTCTGATCAGGAAAATAAACGATCAAAAAAAAAACATGCAGTAACAAGAAACAGAGCAGTGTCGGTCACACAGCGGATGTTGTCAACAGACTGTCGTCATGGAGACAGGACAGATGTGCAGCGCTTTTCTTCTCAGCGTGTCAATCAACCTTTTCTACTTCTCGTTCTGTGTACTAGTCTTTGGTGAGGAGTTGTTTTCCTCAACATTACCTTAAAATAAACTCTACATGTTGTGCATGTAGGAGGAACTGTGGGAGTGATGGAACGGATCAGCTCTCCACCATGTTTTTATATTCAGATCATCCCAAAGATACGACAGCTTTAGGAACATATTTGGAGAGTCATGCAGCGGACTCTTGAACATCTGTCTCCACTGACTTTAGGTCGCTTCATTTTCAGTAACCTTCCAGGAGGAATGACAAGAAATTACAGATACGTCCTGAAAATAATTCCATCAGCATAAAAAAAAAGAAAAGAAGAAAAAAGAAGCAAGATCATGTGGTCAGCGTCATGTCGTGCGCTGTGTGCGATGGTGGCGGCTGAACTCGCAGTGATGCAAACCCGGAGCGCACAGATGTTTGATGAGGAGGATGAGGTAACACTCACATGTTGTCCTGGATGAACTTCTTGATTTTGTTGCTGGTGAACTCATCGCCGCCGTATTTCACCGAGCTGTCCTCAAACTTGTTGCTGAGTCTCTTTGGACGGAACAGGACGACTCCCCTGGAAAAGCCAAAACAGGAAATGTCATTGCCTTCGTGCCGCAGCGATGGTGATGTCACACGTGTGACGTAAACAAATATCCGCTCCCCCTGCCTCGAGTGAGAGGAGAGGAACAGAGCTTCTTACTCGGCCTCCACGTCGTTGCTCTTCAGGAGCTCCTCGGAGTTTGTGTGGCCGAAGCGGTAGTTGTCCCTCAGGGCGTTGGCGGCCTTCTGGAACTCCGCATGTGCCGTGCTCTTGTCGTCAGCGAAGAAACCTGAGAAGGAAAGAATAACCGTGTTCAGCTCAGCATGAAATAAACGTGATGGCAGAATGATTCCTCATTTCTACCTCGGCTGGACGATGATGGATAACCTGTTCTATTTGAGAAAGTAGGTTTGTCTAACAGAGGGAGGGAAAATCTTTTCTTAATAAATATGATATAGAGTGACATGAACGAGAGTATTTATTCACTTGGAAGAAAATAAAACCAGGAAAGAAAAGGATCATTTGACCAGTGTATACACGGCTTTATGCTGAACGCTGCTTATCTAATGCTGTGTTCAGGTGCTCCTCTGCTTACGTAGAGCCACCAGTTCACCTCTGTAAGTTTATATTTACAGTGCGTCACTGATTATGTGCAGCCGACACATAATCAGACACATTTGGTGTTTGGCCCATGTGGATTTTTGCTAAATGTACGAGTTATAAGTTATATTTGAGCAAATACTTTATGTGTGATAAGTGAAAATATAGTAAAGTATCTCAAAACATCTTTTGCCTGACATGTTGATGACAAATATGACGTCAAGTTGGCAATCAGGTCACCTAATTCTTTCCTGACTTTTGCTCCGACTTGAGCAGGTGTTCACGCATTTTCCAACTCGGAAACTCGTTTGTCCGACACCACTTGAATGCACCATAATTCCTGCTTTTTGAGTCTTCTTTGTGCGAAAGCAATTCATGAAACTAAAAAAAATACTCACCGACAACACCAGCATCTGGGCTTTCGATGAACTTGAGCAGGTCAGCTTCAGCCTTGAGCTCGACAGAAGCCGGACCGGCCTGCTTCTTCAGTAAACTGACGATCCCATCTACAGAGAGAGAGAGAGAGAGAGAAAAACATGGAGGGAGGGAGAGAAACATGGAGAGAGAGAGAGAGAGAGAGAGACAGAGAGAGGAGGAGAGAGAGAAAACATTAGAATGACGGAGGTGGTTAAAAATGCTTAAAAAAGGTGAATGTTTAAATCAATCTCAGCAGACGGTTTTATACCTGCCGTTCTGGGACCATCATAGGGACCAGACTCCTCTCCATCCCTGAAGAGCTTCAGGGTGGGGTATCCACTGACACCATATTTGCTGCATATGTTGCTGTTGACTGTGCAGTCGACCTGCAGGAGAAGAAAATCATTGACTGTCTGAAGAGGTGCAGAGTGCAGCACACCATGTTACAGTTTAGTCAAGTGGATTATGTAATACCTTGGCCAGAGCTACCATGCCTTTCAGACGTGTGGCGGCTACCTCGTACTCGGGCGCTAGTCGTTTACAATGGCCACACCTAAAGGATAAAGGACATGGATCCGTCAGGGAGGAGAACAAGCAGCAGTATTCAGGTTTCATCCTGGCACTTATCCTGAGGGAGATCTACAGATCTCCCAGAGTGACATTTGAAACCACCAAATAGTTTAACTGTGAGGAAAAGAACGGGATCCACAAGTTTGAAAAGAATCAAGCTTCAGGAGTAAAATAACCAGGACTGGAGGTCAAACTAACAATGTGATGTTTTGTTGCTGAATTTATCTAAAGTCAAAACTAAATCTGGTGAAGGTGAATTTAGTCTCTATGGTGCCTGCTGACCTGAGGTCTGTGGAAACTTCAAATTCCTTTAAGAGCGGTCTTCAAACATTGCTTTTCTCCCGTGCCTTTGGCTGCTAGTTTCTCTTTGTGTGTGTATGTGTACATGTGTGTACGTTTGTGGTTGGTGTATGGTCCCTGTGTGCACTCTAGTAGGTACAGGTGTGTGTGTGTGTTGAACAGGACGGTGCAGGCTCCGTTTATAAATGTGTTTTGGATTTAAAGTTAGCTTTGAATCTTTATTATTTATCATAGAAAGAAAACATGAAATATTCTAATTTCACGTGAAATCATCTGGTGTTTGTTTGTTTGTCAGTTTTCAGTTTAAACTGAACTTCTTAGGAGCCAAAATGCAGAGTCTCTTAAAAGACGATTTAAAAGTATTTTTCATGGTACAGTCAGTGGGCGTTGCAGTTTGACTGCAGCTCAGTTATCAGCTCTCTGGAGTCACTGCGGGGTCAGGCGTGTGAAGGTTTCTGACCGCAGAGTGCGAGGTGTGTTGCACCGGGAGTCTGGAGTTTTATGTTTCATGTTTTATGTTTATGTTTAAAACAAATGTTTTAATGCAAATCAGTCTGGCTGCTTATCTAACGTTCTCTGGAGCGTGCAGCACGTCAGTCAGGTGACTCCAGGATCAGACTCCTCAGAGGCTCCGAGTTAGACTCATCTGCACTGCAGGTGTGTTTAACCAAGCAAACATTTAGACTGGATATAAAGACTAGAAAAGATTGGAATGGCTTGTGAAATTAATAAATGTATTTTTGTCCTCTATGTATGACACTTTGTAGACATTTGTGCTCGAGATCAGAAAAAGGAGAGAAGGGAGGGTAAATAAATGTCATAATAAACATCTTCCCACTCCTCTTCAAACATCTATTTTTAGCTTTTTCTTTAATTTGGAAATCAGTCGAGGTTGGGTTTTACTTTATTCTCACTTTGGTTGTTTATCTCAGTTCATTTTATTTAACTTGTTAGAACGAAAGATATCAACAAAGGTTTTTATCGAGAATGTAAAAGAAACAAAAAACTGAAAAGTAAAAAAAATGTGTTTCTTGAACTGAACTAAAATGGAAATGAGGCTTTACAAAAAAAACAATAACTAAATGAAACTGTATAATGCAAAAGATCAAACTTTTTCCTCTTACTATCCGTACTATATATGGGAGGGGGGGGGGGGGGGCTGATGTGGCCTGCGGGCCCCAAAGCGTCCCATCCAGCCCCAAGAACATCATCAAATTCAGAATAAATTAGGAGGGAAAAACATGTTGTGGTATTTAGGTTATCATTTTTAAATCCACATTGCTATTAAAGCAACAACCAACCAACAAAAATTGAGTATTAAATATGATTTATCTTGAATGACTTAACGTTTGATGTTGTTGACAGAAACCCAGCTGCTTCCCCTCAAAGGGATCTGTGCTTGTTTGTAGCTTCACCGCCTCATGCTGAAGCTATAAAACAAATCCCCCTCTTTTAGGACTGAAATGTTGCTCATGTCTGAGACTGTAAACACCAGTTTGTCAACAACATTTTGTTGTCTAACGTGCTGTTCTTGTATAACTTTTTGCACGCCATTGTTTAACATTTATGTTTTTTTTATTACAATACATTACAAACATATCAGTTTAAAAAAACAGGATGGCAAATGCTCGTCTCTACTTTCATCAGAAATTGAATACAATTGATTTTGTAGGAAATCAAATGTTGCTCTGCACATTTAATAAAACTGTAAGGAGCCCAGACAATAAATAAACAAATAAATAAAATCACAAGGCTGAAATAGTCACATCAGGTTAATGGGAGAAATGATATTCCCCCTCTGACACAACTTCTTCACGTTGGGCTTGACAGCTTTTTGTAAAAGCATATTTGAGTCCGTCCCCAACATTGTCTGTCAAGTAAAAATGTATCTTGACCCTTTAGGATACAGAGACAGCAACACTATAATAAAAACTTTAAAATAAGCAATTTCACACCAAAAAAATAGAAATAAACGAAATTAAAATAGAAACTAATGAAACATCCAAAACGAATAAAACCTTGATATAAACAACATTAAAGTGATCTAAAAAAAAATAAAAAATGTTCACCTGCTTATTCAAGTTTGGCACTGTCGTACACGTCACACTTGCTGTGGACCAATCAGAGGGCGACACCAAAACTTCTTCGGCCAATCAGAACGTTACAACAGTGAGCACTCACACCCCCTAACTTCCTCGTAGCCTCTTTTCGCACGTAGTTTTCAATTGAAAATGAAACTAAACACAATTATAACAGAAAACTACTTGCACTGTCTTTTAAAGTAAGGACCGTGGTCAAAGTTAGGCCCGTTTAGAAAGCGGAATAACACAAAACACTGACGGCTGACTTACACCTTCCCGCTGCTAGCTAACATGCTAACGTTTGGTCATTGGCCAATTAAGCAAGAATCCTCTGGACGTTCCGATTTATTAAAGTAGAATTAATGACGATTTGAATTCACCAGCGTTTTAAAATAACTCTGAAAACTATAACGATACATGTACTGTCGTATGCCCGGTAAGAAGTGATAGCCAATTAGCAATTAGCTTCACTATTTATTACGAGCATTCAAGCGAGCTGATTTAACGACCGCAAAACACTTTTTTTAAATGATCGACTATTCTATTTAGAAAGTGTGAAAGGACTCACCATGGGGCGAAAAACTCCACCAGAGCCAGGCTGTGGTCTCCGATCCTGCTCTCGAAGTCATCATCGGTGTAGTCGATCACATCGCTGGCTCGGGAGAAACCGGCGAGAGCAGCCAGAAACATCAGCCTCAACATGGCTCCTCTTCTAGCTTAAACTCAACTTTGAATTGCAAATGAAGTCCGTAGCAGCCTCTTCTGAAGCTCCTGCACAGTGACTCGGACTGGGCCCGCAGCAGACTAGTCGATAGAGAAAGAGAAAGAGATGAAGGCAGCGGGACCTCTCCTTACCACAGTGTGGCAGCCTCCCATTGGTCAACCCGACGCGTCACTCCAGCTCCGTCAGCCAATGAGAAGCGGCAAAATGGGTCCTGGTTCTCTTGTGACCAATCACAGCACGACATGAAATCAAAACTGCCCTCTCGCACGCGGAAGCGAGCATCCTCGCAGGTCACTTCTTGTTATCGTTCCTTTAACACCTCGATAGGCGCTTTATGAAATGCCTTTGTGCAGAAAAAAAAGATAAACAGACGTGGGATAGATCAGGGGAAAGCAACAGAAATCATTAAATCAGTTTTAAGGAATTCCTGTGTGATCATGGTGGCTTCAGGTTTCTTCATTTCTCTACCCTTAGCAACACACTATCAACTTGAATCAAACAATTTCTCAAAATCAATGTCTCCTTTTTACCTTTGTCATGATGCGTTCAATGTGTTATGTGAAGCATGGCAACATTGACTTGTGCTACATAAATAAACTTGCCCTAAAAAATGTCACTTTGGAATTTTTTTCCCAGTGACTTGTTCTGGAAACTTGGAGGCCTTACATTTATTTTAATTTGCAGCTCTAATGTTGGAAATATACCCTGACAGTGATCAAATGTGGTTCTTTCTTTTTCTTCTCCCGATAGGCAAGATTAGTGTGTTGCAATAGTCCTTTTGTTTATTGTTCTCGGGCCATCTCTGCTCTAAAAATACATTTTGCTGTGTTGAACCTGAAGTGTCCTGGGCTGCCGCTTTTCTTGGGAGTGGGAGGAGTGGGAAGAGTGGGGGGGGGGGTCACTTATTATATGTTGTGTCTTGGTTCCCCTATAGACCAGGGACATAACATGGGCCTTTCATGGAAACACATGATGACCCCAATGAATTAAGAACCCTTTACCCCCCATGACTAAATACACCAGTGCTGATTATTCTAAAGGAATTGTAAAATCAAGTCCTAACAGCTAAACCATGGAGCTTCATGCAGCAGGCAGAATATTGTTCATGTATAAGGAACTCTGTTAATATTGTTTTGTCAATATTTATGTTCCTACCAGCGCATTGAGGATCAAAGGACAATGAATAAGTCAATAAATGAGAAAAAACAGGATGTGAAACAGAGATGGATGAAGCTAAAGGAATCATCAGTAGATATTCCAGTAAACACACTTAACACCTCTCAGCAGCTCCAAGGAGCAGCAAAGAGGAAAATATGGTGACGCGGCTCAGGATAAGAAATACCAGACTTAATTAGCATGTATTATACAAGCATGCGTAAGGATGATGTGAACAAAGTCGAATAGAGGAATCAGAAGAGCAGCTGGGGCTGGAAGAGCTGAGATAAAGAAATATTTACCATCAAACACGAGGGTCTAGTTGTGCGGTATTTAAGGTAAAGAGTTTAGGGCAGATAACTGTGGTCCAAACTCCAACTCAAGTAAGGTTCGTTGTAATTGACCTCAACACGGGTTGCCAGGCTGCTATTAAAAACAAGGAAAGAAGATGAAGAAGAAGAAAGTAGGCTTTCTGACAGACTGTGAAGGGCTCAGAAAGGTTCAATCACATTACGTTCTTTAATACTTCATATACAGAACTCATGGATCTTAAAGTCAAGTGTATCTCCAAGAATTTGGCCTTTTATTATCAAGTTTTACAAACAGGTGAAACATAACAGCGTCCAGATGACAACATAGAAAGTTCACTTAAGGACACACGACCAGAAGAAGTTAAAATACATTCAGCCTTAGAGAGGATCTGCTGGTTGCAGGAGAAGGAGTTTTTGATCCCCCCCCAGTCGATCAAAAGAGAAATGAAGATCTATGAGGAGGATTTTAAATGACCCTACAACTCCCTGAATGAATGTGCAAAGGTTGTTTTTTGAATCAGGTTTTCAGCATGTGATACTGATTTCAGATCTTATTTCAGGCAGACGACTGATAAACATTTTTACCAGCGCCTGAATTCAACTCGTCTTTTAAACTGAAAACAACTTTGGCCCGGGTTGTCAGAGGACAGCTCAAATAAACACCACCATGTTGATCTGCAGCTTCCTGCAGTCAGTGCAACATGTATCTACTATCTGCTGTGGAAAAACTACACCCACAGGATTAAGTGTGATGAGGCCATGCTGGATATCACAAACAATTCTTGGAAATTAATTATCATTATCCAAAGATTGTTTTTGAAAAAGGCTCTCTTTTCTCTTTTCCATGATCCGTAGTCATGGGGAGGAGGACTCAGTCAAAACAAAAGATTACTGTGAAGGTCGCGCTTGTGTTTTGAACCGAGGTTGTCATCATGTTCGATACTTTAACTCTTTTCCATTACACATGTCTTAAAAACGATATGAGAGCAGTTATCAGGTCAAACCAACAGGTGTTGCAGTGATGGAAGCGGGCAAGAGAACTGGTTCAGATAGAAGTGATTGTACTTGACTTGTATTTTGCCAATGTTGTAGGGAAATTTAGAGACATAAGGTCATCAAGGTTCTGTCCTTTTTACACACAGATTCACAGTATAGGCCTCAAAGTTCAGCTTTTCTGTCAATATTGCTCCAAGATATTTCTATATATTGGAGATGTTTATTTAATTGATCAGAATCAGCACACATGAACTGATACACAGAAGATCAGAGGTCAGCTTGTGTTCCACTTTGGAGTGCTGAAACTAGACGGACACGAGGAGAGGGTTCAGACTAGTGAACAAAAAGTCCTGCACTTTTCCTCAGCCGGTGCCAAAGCTAACATTGCACTACATACTGCACTGCTACACTTAATGCATCAGAACTTTATTGATATTTTTTACACTCACTTTTAAACATGATAACTGGTTCTTAAGAGGGTTGGTCCTCACTGTCATGTGTCCTGTTTTTAACTGGCATGCATATTGTTCTTTTCATGTATGTGTATGTTTGTCTGTTTGTTTGTTTTTTTGGGGGGGGAGCTTTTATGACAGTGGAAAAACGTCAGAAATCAGGAAGAGAGAGAGGTGGGGAATGACATGTGGGAGCTACAGGTATGACCCACACCCGGGCTGCCCGCCTGGAGAGCTGCAGCCTCTGTACACCCACCTTGTCTGTACAGATGGCACGCTCACCAACCACTAGGCCACTGGTGCCCCATGTGTCTGTTTGTTAAATTTGCCTGATCTCAGGAGAATGGCAGTTTGCTCCCATTTATGCTAATTAATATTAAAAAGTCCCTTTATGAGGGAGGAGAGAGGACCCTCGTCAAATGTGTGCATATATAGTTCTCATCTTTCTTAAAATGATCTTTACCTTTACTAAACGTCCAGAATAATTAAATGTTCAAATCTGTTGAAGTGGATTCACACTTTTTTAAAAAACTTTTATTATAAATGTATGTATTATATATTAAACTCCTAGTCTTTGTTTTAGTAAAGACGTGTAGAAATTAAATTTGATCAAAAAGGTCATTTTTTTGTCTTCTAAGCATTTTACTTTAATATTTCTATAAGCTGCAGTTTTATCATCATACCAGCAGGTGGAGCTCTCTGACAGCAAAGGGCAACAGGCAGCTGCAGTGGTAGTAAACGTAATGTCAAGTTGTGCTGGGAAACAAGATACATGAAGATGAGTTATAATTTGAAGACAGTCATGAGGAAGCCTTTCAGTTTTACATACCAGCTCAACATTTTGAATGTGACCCATTTCTTCTACAGACACAGAACATAAGCCACAGTTAAAAGCATTTAAATCCTGAGAGAATAAATATCTGTATCCAGAAAGTAGATGAGATCGGGTGCCAGATATCCTAGTTAAGATTTGAAAAGTGTGTAGCCTGCCTAAGAGTGATGGTGGCTGTTACACCTGTGGTCATGTTTGAATCTGACCTCTGCCCTTTGCTGCATGTCATCCCCTCACTCTCTCCTTCCCAGCATGTTCTGCCTCTCTTCAGCTGTCCTATCCAATTAAGACAAAAAGGCCCAAAAAATAACTGAAATCAGCAAGATTCTCACACTGCTCTTCCCTCATGCAGATTGGATAAAGAGCGAGCGAGAGATGAAAACTTTTGTTTTAAAAATCATGTTGTTTTAAAATGTCGCGTCACAGGAAAACTTTAATATATTTGACCATATGGATATGCAAAGCCACACATGGTGCTGTCAGTCTGCATGTTTTTTGTATCTTGTAAACCTTTATAGTTACAGAACAGAACAAGAACATCACAAGAAAGTGTTTTATTTTCCTTGGAAGATGATCATTTATGCCTGGATGGACCTCCATGGCTTTCAAATATTATGGAGCTCTAAAATCAGGGCTGAAAGTCGTCTTTTCTTCATTACTGCTTCCTCAATAGATCATTTTTCTCTCAGCGACAGCCCATAAAGTTCCTCATCTCCGTGGCTCAGACTTGTAGACCGACAGCCTACAGGCAAGCGAGCTAATCCTTTAAAGCAGAGCGGCCTTTCCTACCAAACCAGCCAGCGTTTACTGTAAACTCACGGCTCAGAGGGGAAACCGCTCGGAGACCAAATTAGGTTAGAGGACGGACCGACTGTCAGTGTGTGAGGATCTCTGGTTAAAGTGTGTTTGGAAGTTTATGTTGCACTTTGGAAAACATTTGTGCTGCTTCAAGGTCACAAGGCCTCGAATCGTAAACCGTATTAGGAAGTATTTCCTTTTTACAACCCGCCATCAATCTGACATTTATCTTTAGAACTTTCTTTTTTTTTTTTAAGATTTATTTTTGGGCCTTTCTGCCTTTATTGCAGAGACATGACGGATGTTAGAGTCAGAAATCAGGGAGAGCGAGAGAGAGAGTTGGCAATGACATGCGACAAAGGAGTCATAGGTCGGACTCGAACCCGGGCCGTCTGCTTTGAGGACTGTAGCCTCTGGGCCACCGGCGCTCCTTTTTAAAGGACTTTCTTTAGAATTTTTTTTCCGCAAAAACTTGATTAAAAACCGTCTGAAATCAGAGCCTACAATTCACACTAAACACTGCAGGTTAAATGATTCTCATCACCCTTTGATTGAGATTCGATCCCACGTTGTGTCACAACTAGTCAGCCGCCATTTCATCCTCAGCGTATGTGCAGCTCCCACACTGTGCAGATTTGTATTCTATTATCCACAAAGCCCATTCCTTCCCAAAGCGGGAGCCCCTATTGCCTCAGTGAAATGGTTACCAAGGCAACCCTTTGGTTCCTCAGCCATAACTGGAACAAGGAGGAGGAGAGAAGAAGAGAGGTCTGCAGCGCTATGCTTGTGACTCGCTCAGAGAGGGAAGAGGGGGAGGAGGAGGATGTTTTGTGTGCATTCGTCAGACCCTTCGTCCAAATCCTCGCTCAGAGAGAGAAGCAGCAGATTCTTCGTCCCACAACAACACCAACACTTGACGTCTCCCTCAGCTGCTGCTTCTCGTCAGAACACTGAACAGCCTTGTTGTCCCGTCAGACCGAAAACACTGGAAAAATTGTTGACTGTCTCATCGCTGGAGACAATAAAAAATCTGTTTCTTCACAGCAGGATGAGGCAGCTGTTTTAGTTTCCTGCACTGCAGAGAAAACAAGAGCATCTTTGCATTCGCTCCGACATTCAAGACGTACACACACACGTTCAGGATGATTTCTTCTCTCAATGCAGAAACACCAGCACACCATACAGCATATTCTTACGTTTGCACAATCCTACACGTGTTCAGATTTAATAGTTAGGCATCACTGCACTTAATGGATAAGACATTTATATGTTCTCATATTTGATGAATCCTCTGGTCTATAAAGTGTTACACAAAAGCATAGACTGGAATTTTCTCTTGCTCCACAGTGATGCCAGAGGGCTTCGGTTAAGTTTTTTGTCTGACTTTTACCTGAAACCTAAAGATGTTAAAGGAGCAATATGTAAGATATCTACTGAATTAAATGATAAAGTGACCTTCCTGTATGATCAGACATTAAGGAAACATGCTATGTTGAAGTGCTGGCTTCTCTGACAACAATTCAGCAGCCAGTATGTCCTCCTTCTAACTTTAGATTCTGGTCCTGAATGCTCTGGATTTTTTTGGACCAGAGAAGGTAGGCGGTTTTAAGAAACCCCCACACGGCCGTTTTAGACGCCCCTCGGTTTGCCAGATATGAGAGCAGTTATCAGGTCAAACCAACAGGTGTTGCAGCGATGGAAGCGGTCAAGAGAACTGGTTCAGATAGAAGTGATTGTACTCGACCTAAAAAGCCTCTGCATGTTTCTAATAAGCTCCACGAGCAGAAACGTGCTCAAACTAGGATCAATATTGGAGATGCTTTTGAAAAATGGAGAGAGGTTAGAATGCAGAAAGGTTTACAGACCGATGCAGAGCTGGCTAAACACTGAAGCTTCAGTTTCCACCACATGGCAACCTGCATGAGCATCGACTCTAGAGAGGAGGGGGCGGGGGGAGACAGCTCTCGTCAATGTTTTGAGTTTTAACTACAGTACCCATTTTAAACTTTAGGTGTCAGAGTTACATATTGCTCCTGTAAGTTTATTATCGTGCATGGCCAAAGAAAAAAGGTAAAGTCAATTATTTTTACGAAAAATAAACTAACAGATGCAGCTCAAACTAAAGATTTTCTGATTTGAGTTTAGACTAAAAAATATGTTCATCAACCAGAGACGTAGGGGATTCTTGTTACATATCACCAGCCTTTCACTATAGAACTTAATTTCACCTTATCCCTCATTCTATATTCCACCCTTTATTAAACTACACAATGTCATTATGATGTGCGGTCTTATTGCATATTCATGTTTTTCTGGCACCTAGGGTTTAATTCTTTAATTTAATCTCTATTGCTGTTGTAAAAAACATTTCTTTCCAAGTGAATCAATAAATATGATCTTATATTGACTTTGCAGTTCAAGCAGAAATCCTTTTGATTAAATCCAGATTTGATTCCGATCCAGATTCAAAGGCCTCGGCTCTGTAAGTTAACGAGAATCCTGAGCACCTTTCGAAGCGTGAAACATTTTTGGTTTTGCCTCTGACTAAACATGGTCACATGATGCTCTGCAACCACGCTGATCGCAATCATGCATACTGGAGCCTTGTTACCACGGTTACTTAAAGCTTGGGCTTCATGCTTGGGCAAAAAAAAAAAAAAACTCCTGGAAACCAAAGAATGAAAACAGGTCCATGTAGAGAGTAAAAAATGAATCGCTCTGGCAGCAGAATAAGACAGAAACAGAGGAGGAGGTTCTGTTAAATACATGATTTCTTTAATAAAAAGACTTTATGGTGTCACATTCAGTAATGAGCTGGAATGATATTGCTTCAGTAGCTTACAGTACAGAACCCAGCCCGGCCAGTGTGTGATATTATTACATCACATGTTGACACCAGTGTGTCATCAAACATACACAACATCACAAGTCTCCTCAGTCTTACCCTGTTCACCTACATTCAAATCCACTCAGAATGGTGAGAAGAAACACAATCCACGATGGAGATAAAGCACAAATGGATGAACTTCAAAAGCACCAGATAGTAGTCATGAGCCAACAACACATAGGACTGAGAGGGGGGAAGAGACAGGCTGAGTATAGGACATGCGTCAGGAGAGAGGGGCAGGGGAAGGCCAGGCCAGGGGGGGCCGAAAAGAGAGCAATAGATACTGGTTGGACATGCATAGATACTGGAGGCCATTTTTGCTCCGTTACAGCCTGCAGTCTTCTGCATCCTTCATGAATGTTTGCTGCCACAATAGAGCAGGGTTTATATTTCAGATTTAAATCCTTCAAATGCATATCAAACACACTGAAGTCGAATGCAGTTTTGTGTTACTCTGTGGGGTTTAGCCAGATATTTGCGCGTACATTTAGATGATATAAGAGAGGTATATTGAGAGGAGGGGTGAGTAGGTAAGTAGAAGTAGTAATAAATGAGGCAATGACATAGATATTTATAATATCTTAGGGCACTGGGGGGGGTTTGTGCATGAGTGTGCGTGCCCAGAGGTTTGTGGGGGTGAGTTCAGGGGTAGGGGTCTACTTGAACTGCTTAAGGGGTTGGGGCACCTTGATGTCCTGGCCTTTCTCCAGCCTCTTCTCGCACTCGACCAGGTAGTTGACGCCATCCACCACCGTTTGCACCAGCTGGACCTGAAAAATAACCAACATCATATTCATTTTTGATTTGTTCACTAAAAGGTCTGTTTTCCTTGTCAAACACAACATGTTTATCGTAGCCATAGGAACACCGGATGTTACATCAAAGAGCGCCGCATAAGGAAGTGTGAGCTGCTTCTGAAAGCTGCCGTACTGTTGCTGTTATGTCCTGCTGCGATAAAAACATCATGTAAATTATACTTGGACACATTTGCTCGTTGGTAAACGTATTCTCTTCCTCAGGTCGGTTTCGCAAGTTTGTCTTGACTACGGTCAACTTGGAGGTCGTTTTCATCCGCGGTGGGGGTCGATTAGCAGAGAGAATCACTCCCATGATTCCCAGCCAGCCTCAATGTCATCTTACGTTATTGTTTTTATTTAGAGCCCCCTGGCGGCAGATTTTACATACTGTGTGTTTTTTCACTGAGTCAATCGTCACTAAAGATTGGCATGAACATTTGTGAACTTGTCTTTTCACAGGAATTGAGACTTTTATGATAATACTGTTTTTGAATGGCTAAAGAGAATTTCCTAATGTTTGACCTCCTGCTCTTTGCTCTATCTGTTTCTACTTCACCTGTTCTTCCATCTATTAACTTGTTGACTCCGCCTGCCGAGTGCTCCTCTCCTGAGCGCTCATTGGTCTCACATCTGGATGATGGAGGACCTAACAGCAGCGAGCAGCCAACGCTCTCAAAAAAGATTAGAAAAGGAGCGTGTACTAGAGCCAGGCGGCCACAGTGCTCCTATTTACCTCCCTGTGCCTAACCCCCTCTTTGTTAAATGTCATGGATTTATTTCTAGTAACAATAAGCACATATCAAACTGTGCTCTATGGATGCCAAAGACTCACATCTCCAGGTTCTGTTACAGTAAGAGATCCTCAGAGTGAGAGTTCATTAGCGGAACTGCACTCCAACCGTCAGAGAGTAAGAACAGTGGAGAACAGCTCCATTGTACTGCATGATGACAGCATGACCAAGGACATAACAAAGACACACAACATGAACAGTCTGGACAAGAACACCGCTCTCTTCTTACCCTCGTCCTGCAAACGAGAAAAACAACGACGACAAGTCTTTGTTTTGTGAAACGTACACACAAAATCACAAATCATAACTTTGGCAACGGTCAGCCTTAAGTGATGTCACACTGAGTGACAGACATGTAGGAGCAGAATTAATACGTCATGAACTTATTAAAAGACGTTGCTCCAATTCTTCAGAAGGTGCTTTTAGACTTAAAAACAGGAGTTTTAAACCCGACAGACTTAAAGATCTGGTTTCATAATGCACACGAGGTGAAACTTGACAGATGATCTGCTCTCTAAGCTCAAACACGAACACACTGCAAGATTTGAAAACAACACCACAGCACTCTTTACAGGTTATTTTTAAGATCATTGTGTGTGTCTGACAGAACAGCGCACGTCCTCTCACAGACTGACTATAACCTGCTGTGGTGATGCTCTGCAGTGAGGATGATTATAGCAAAAGGCTTTTGATGTTTGGATGATAAAATATTTAATCTCCAGTGAGACCTGGATATGAGATTTCACCTGTTTGTTTTCTGTCAATAGTAGCTTCTATCTTTAGCCTCAGGGGGCTGTGTTTATGTTGCCTGGAGACACCGTCTGTGTCTTTGTCAGCCAGTTGGTGTGTTAAAGATTGATTCTGTAAACTCCTCACGTTACCAAATAATCTAAGTGCACAAAGCAGATTCCCCTAATAAGCATGCAATGTTTCGACAATGTCCTGTCTGTCCCTGATGTGTCTCTTAAAACATTCACCTGGACCTGATTAGATCTGTAGACACTTTTCAGGAGGTGAATGTGTCAGTAGATGCCGTCAGTCTAAACCTCTGCGCTTACATCATAAATTCACATAAATGTCCGTACCTCAGACAGTCCCAGGCGGTCCAGGTTGGAGATGTCGAAAGTACCGCCCACAGCAGCCGTGTCCACACCACCTGTCCCTCGCTTCTGCAGACGCAGGTTGGCCAGGATCTTACTGAAGCGAGGATCCTGATAATGGGGGAGAAGGAGTCAGTGCTTGGTGTACAGAAACATATGTATCCCTACAGGTATCTGCAATTATCTTGATTTCTCAAACGCGAAAATGCCTGGCTTGAGGAAAAACGACTTTTCTGAGGCATCATCCTTTGTAATCGAATACTTTGATGCTTGTTAAGGATTTGTGGATTGATTCAATTAGCATAATAACACTAACAATCTAACATCTTACTTGTGTAAAAGCATGAAAGTAATGTCTTGCTATTTAAGTGTTGTTTCACCTTGCTCATCAGGGGCAGTTTGACGTGGACCCCGGCCCTGAGCCCTGTGCCCAGATTGGACGGGCAGGTGAGGATGTAACCGAGGCGCTCGTTCCACATAAACTCCCAGCCTCTCTCCTGGATTAGACGCTCCACCTGAGAGAGAGAGAGAGAGAGAGCGAGAGAGAGAGAGACAACCAGTCCCATCAAAGTGAGCATGTGTTTCATTCATTCAGCCTGTGACCTTTGGATCGTTTGATGGATGTGACTTGCTCTTCATACACAACACACTGTTAGCAGCCGCTGAGTCTTCATGTTTTAGAGATGAGAGGTAAAGAACGGACAGTTGTTCACTTGTAAGTCTTTTGAATGACTACTGGTGAGAGTGGATTAAATCAGTGCCTATGTGTAGTCACACCACCAGTGAGTAACAGTCCAACACTAGATGTTGAATTAGTCTGCCTTCACTGTTTTCCAATGAGGATGTAAACCTCTTGAATAAATAGTTTATGCTTGCATGACCATGTTTGGAAAGTTTGTGTACATGCTGTGAGAGTGGAATAAGAGTGGGACCAGTGTTTTTGCTGTTGCAGTCAGACCCTAAATGTTTACGCCTTCACCCTGTTTAAATACCCTGATGATGATCCTGCCAGCCATATGATGGAAGCAGAACATGTCCATAACATCTACTGACTTAAACGTGCTCTACAGAAATGCATAAAGGTCCCCTCTAGCGTCCTTAAATCGTGCACAGCTAACACCAGACTGATACAAATCAGACTCTGCACTTCTAACTGGTGGCAATCTAGTAAAGACCTCTTAAATGTCGCAGTGATTTAAGCCGAAATTTGACCAACATACAACAATCTGTCTCCACATAGCCGTTGGTAATTTACCTCTCAGAAGTGAGCAAAATTATTAAGAGCCATGTAAAAGTTCCCTCTCCTCTTTCTCAAACCCAGCCGCCGGAGACTCTCTCAACTAAACATTTTAAAGGCTCCACACTTGTATACAAACACAGCCGTACCTCCTTCAGGCCTTTGCAGAACCTCTCAAAGACCCGCTTCATGTTCCCTCCCTTCTCCATGGAGATGACTCTGGTGTGATCCTCCTCATTGATCCAAATCAGGAATGTTTTGTCATTGTTGTGCCTGTACAGACAAAATGTACACTTTGTTATAAATCCAGTTATGAAATATTGATCCCAGAGGGTCAGTGTTTTTTTTCCCCAGGATGCACCCAGGGAAATGTATTCTGCTGTAGTGACCCATAAAGTTATCCCTGGCCCTGTGCCTGTTTACTTAACATTATCAACAACATCAGCTGAGAAATAAAAAAAAGTTGTTCATATGATTAGAACAATTTTGTATTCAGTCCACTAAATGTTTTTAGGATTTGGAGGAGGTTGGTTAAAAGAAATAGGTTACAGAAAATAGAGAATGAGTTGTATGTAATAAGTTATACAAAAATATATATACAAGTCCTTTTTTTCCAGACCGATTAGGTACCAAAGTGATATTTTGGAAGCCTGTTGGGATGAGAAGTAAAGAAAAGAGGAAGCCAAAAACCATCAGCCACTTAGGGTATTACTTGGTCTGCAGGCTGCACCATGCTAACAAAGACCTTGATGTACACTGCTGATCTAAGAACACTAAAATAAGTTGGATGGAAACCTCAAAACTCTCTCAAAACGTGTTTTTCCTGAAACTGCTGGAGAGCATTAAGAACAGAGTCCTTTCTCTGACTTTTTTTTTTCTTTTACACAAATCAATACATGACACATTTCAGACAGCAGGTGTAACAGCATACTAATGTTTTGCCACACCAGCGATGAGGCTCTTTGGATGGTGATTTCGTCTGAAGCTTTTCCAACTCAACAACAATAGAAGATCGGACATTCATGGTCTTCAGAGGATGGAATCTAGTGATGAACTCTAAGATGTTTTATATGAATTTTGAGCTCTGAGTAGGTGCAGGAAAATAATTTGTTGCAATCTCATATAAACTTTTCTATAATCTGGTGGATTATTATTTGGATCAATAAACAAATAAATCTACAAAATACAAGATACTGAAAATATTCCAGAGTTCCCTCCCTATAAATTACAGGCTGACATATATCAATCATTAAGATTTTAGGCTCACTCTGACCTTCCCTCTAGTGATAATATTTCCATCTGTGAACAACATAATTACTGTGACCTTTGCGGAACACATTCATGTTCTCTTGTGGCAGCCTCTATTATATTGTGATGACCTCCTCCAGGCAAGTCCCAGGCCAAACTGTCTACTTTTACTCATCAAATTAGAAAGCACACAGCCACAGTCAGCCACTGCAGAGGCTTTTTGTCCACAGAGACATCCTTCATATTGTTAGAGATTCAATAAAGTAATGGAGAGGTTATGAAGACGGCTGGCTGGGGAGCGTAAGAGGGAGAAAAAGTGAGACAGAGACAGAGGACAGAAACCAAAAAAGGGGGGAGTGGTAAGAAAAAATGAGAGAAAGTTAAGGAGAACATATGGGCAGTGAGGAAATGAAATGAAAGAAAAGAAGGAAAGAATGAGCCAAGGATGGAAGTGAAACTGGAGGAAGAGATGATGGAGGGATGAAGTGAAAGTGAATTATTAAGGAGGGCAGAGGAGAGGAGCGGAGAGGCTGGCAGGAGGGGAGAGGAGGGAGGGTGGTGATTGATTTTGGCTTGCTAACATGTTGCTTTGGACTATTCCTGGGTACACTTTGAAACTCAATGCTGAGGCAGCTCTGTCTGCTTTGCTAATACTCCTCCAGCAGAGCTCAGCAAGCAAAGGGATGATGGGATTATTGATGGAATCATGTCCAGATTTAAATGTATGGGAAAGTTCATGTAAAATTGATTTACAGATTTATAGACTAACAACTTTTTATCAACAACGGGGTCCATTAGATCAGGGGTTCCCAAACCTTTCAGCTGGTGACCCCCCAAAATAAGGGTGTCAGAGACTGGGGCCCCCCACTGTCCCTGGAGGTAGTTAAGGTATATAACATAAGATAGTAACACATTATTTCCATTTCATTTCACTTAAAGACATGGATTTATGTCTTTATTCATTTTATTGGGCAGCTTCTCGCGACCCCTCCCTCTTGGTGGCTCCCGACCCCCCACTTTTGGGAACCACTGGGTTAGATTACGTTTGAGTCCATTTGTAATCAACCAATATGGCCACTGCTGATGTGCTATATTCTGAATCTGTGCCTCTGTGTTAAAGGAACTGAACAGTAGTTCATTATAGGCACAGAGATAAAGTTTTTCCTCCTGCTTCTAAAACATTTCTTTGCTGAGATAGATTTTAATTTGACACTATGGTATGAACCAGTTACTTATGAACTGAAAATTACACACTAATTTAAACCTGGTAATGGGTCTTGCCATGAAGGGAGAACATTGTACCTATTTGGACTAAATGATTCTCAGGAGTTCCCCAAGGGTCCTTTCTGGGACCTTTGTTTTTTAATAACAGATTTTTCCAGGTTGGCCTATTTTTTAAAACTATGTACACCTTAGGTTATGACACCTCAGACTTATTTTGGGTGCTGGTTTAAGGACCCTACTATACATCACAATTCATCACAGAAAGGTCATATGCCACATGTACAGGTGCTATGCAAAAAAACAACTCTTTCTTGTTTTAACTTACCAGATACCACGAGCATCAGGCCAGTCACGAGCCATGCCTGCACACGTCAAGAGGGGTGACACAGGCTTGTCAAACAGGAAGTGGTCCTAAAGTTAATACAGAGAACAGAAGTTTTATATTCATAGAGCCAACAATGGGTACAGCGGAAGCATTGAAAACTTAGATTTGACAGTATTGTCAGACGGAGACAGAAACAAGGGTCGGTGTCTTAAGAATTCAATGATCATGTCAATCTTTCTTTCACTGTGGGTGGGACGAAAATGCCATTGCAGACACAAACCAACTGACTCTGATTACTTCATAGAAAAATCCATGCTACCTTTTTTCCACTTAGCAGTTAAATTAAGGCTGATTTTAGGTAAAAGCCTAATATCAAAAACAACAAATTGGCTACAAAGGGCTTTAAAGTGTTTTACCTCCTCTTGACTTAAATACTTGAGGAAGAAATATGAGAAATACGTCCCAAAACAAACCCTTTGTTATCCTTTTCTCCCCCACCAAACAATTTATTTTATAGGAGGGAAGAAAATAAAAGCATGGAACATTATCAGAGGAAGTCAAATAGGTTACATCAACATTGCAAAACACATATATACAGCAGTACTACTACTCCACTTACATCGATGAGCTGTTGCTGCTCTTTGTCTGTCATCTGGGTGAGACTGTAGTACTTCCCGGTCAGGTCTCCCTTCAAGCCGGCCAAAGCATCTACCACCACCCTCTCCACCTCCCTGCGCTCCGCTCGGGTGCAGGCGGGGGGAAGACTTAAACCCCGGATACTACGTCCTGTTCTCACCCTGGACGACAACACGTAACGCTCGTCAAACTGTCCTGACTGGATCTGGAACAAAGACGGACAGGAAAATATTACTATTTATAGTTTTAGCTGTTATCATTCAGTGTTTACAACATGAAAATTGTTAAACTGAGGTTAATATATTGTAAGAATTTTTGCATATTGCTAAGTCAAATAGTTCCAGGGAGTCAGCAGCCTGCGGAGTTTCACTTTCCCTCTGTGTTGTCGTTGATAGTATTACCTTGCTGGCGTCCAGGTCGGTGGGGTGCGTCATGATCCGAGGGTCATAGCCGTTGTGCCTCTCTCTGATGATGGGGTCTAGCAGGTCTGCAAAAACCTGAAGCACACATAGAATTTATAAGGATGAAAAACACATTTCAACACATTTTATCCATTTATCCTTACACTGTACGACACCAAAAGAACTGGAGAGACAGTTAAAAAGGTGTCTATAGATAGACACTGAGGCATCCCAAAAGAGATGTGCTAACCTAAAACTCTCCCTCTCCTGTTCAGTAGTTCCCCTTCCTCTGCAACAGGACAGGGAGGATGGGTGACTACATTTTTGTAGTTTTGGTTAAGCAAATTTCCCAACATTTTTGATGAATAAAAGGTTGTCATCTGTGGTGACTTTCTTACTGATAGTAATAGGAAGTATGACCTGGACTGTAATGCAAATGCACATGGCCCAAGTTAATAGCAGGCAGCTGAAAAATGAAACCTGTTTTCTTTGTTTGTGATTTTTTTAAGGTATATTTTGGGGCTTTTTATGCCTTTATTTAAGAGACAGGAGAGTGGATAATGACATGCAGGAAATAAGCCACAGGTCGGATTTGTACCCTTGGTGCCTCCTTGAAGGACTGTAGCTCTGAACAAAGGGCCCACAAACTAACAACTAGGCCACCTGCACCCCAAACTGAAACCTGTTTTATGTGTCAAAGCCTGCCCTTCCTCTAATGGCCACTTGAGGCTGGCTCCAAAAGTGAGTGAATCCCATGAGAGGCCCATGTTATCATGAAAAATGGGTTTTGGATTGTCAAGCTGATTTCTCTGTTCAACAAAACTTTACACATCGAAAACCTTTGAATTATTGTATTCCTAATCCTTTTGAATTTATCAGCCTTCAAATTAGGCATCACCAAAAGTTTGGCCATTTTGAGAGACAAGTGGGTGTCGTTAGCTTGCTGTGCACTCGGGTAAAGCCCTTGCGTGCTGAGAATAAAAGCGCCGCTTGTGCGGAAATAATTTTCAGAAAAGGTAAAGGGGTAATAATGGATTTGAAGTGTCTAAAAATGTAAATTCTGGTTGCCGTTTTTGGTTTTGGATTTTGAAAATTTCTACACTGATTTACACAATTCTTGTAAATCTATGACATCAGACGCTCTGTGACCGACACAGTCTCGTTTCTTTTTACTGTATGTTTTATATTTGAAATTGTTTTTTTTCCTTCACATTGAGCATCAAACTACTTTGTCTGGAAGATGAGCTCAATAATAATGACAGCCCCGCTATCACGGCTCCAATCGCACATGGAACAAGGACCCGACAGAATCTAGTATATGGTTAGGCGTTTGAAAAGAGCACCAGTGAGGTCTACAGCTTCCTTCTGAAAAGTTGAAAGATTTTTAACTTCAAGCGCTTGGAGTGGTCGCACAAAAAGGCAGAGAGCTCAGACAAAAGACGCTGGGTGCTGTGCTTTTCTCCAGGTGGCTGCCTGTTGAAGCAAACACTCTCTCCACATTGAGAACGATTGAAAAAAGAAACTGGCAAAAATATGCTCGGTGGTCACAGGCCCTAAAGGATTATTCTATATATGTTAGCACAGCGAGCCTGCAATGTTGGAAGTGCTCACCATACATGCTTAGCTCATAAACAAGACAATTGTTAATGACTTAGCCTTGGCTATATACTGAATGACTGGATAACGTATCATATGCTAACCCCCTGCTTATCTTAAGCTCAGGCTTCTCATCCATACATGGTCACTTCTGGCTACAAAAAAACAAGACAGTGCCAGCGGCCGTCCTGCAACTGATGAGTGATGTTGAAGTCGTTACATCAACTTCTTCTATACACTCAAAGGTCAAAAGTGATTTGCAGTTCCTTTTTTTGAATTTGTAATTATCTGCAGGTGGACTTGGATCTTCATGGGCAAACTTTCAGAATCGTGTACCACCTCCTTGTACAACACAAGGAGATATCAGGTTAAGTCTTGAATTAAGTCTTATATAATTCAAACATAACAGATGTTACTCAAAAGCTCTGCTCATATGGAACAGGTCAAGTCTGTGTTTCTTATAGTATAAAACATTTTAGTCCCTCCTCTTTGCACACGTTTGGAGCTGGTGAGTCTGTGTTTGTGCTCGAGAAGGTACAATGATGTCTGACCTCATAGGACTCCTCGTCTCCTGCCACCATGCCAACGGTCTTGATGAAAGGGTGCCCGGGGTTGTCCACGCCGGTCTGGATGGCCTCGTCCAGTGTGTAACCGTTTGGAGTAGCCTTATCACACAGCTTGGCATAGATGGCAGGTGTCAGGTGACTGGCCATGCAGTTGTTGTGTTTGCGCAGGTCAGGGTACTCCGCACTGCACAAATACAGATGGACACAGGTTGATCATGGAGTTGTGCCCTCATAGTAGGTGTGAAATAAGTTACTCACACAAGGTCATGTTCCACATGGCATGAGCAAAGGTAACAAGGGTTCAAATATCCTACTATTAAAGCAGACAGTCAGCCAGTACACTGGTCAATTCCCTGTATTCAAACATCAGCCATTTTCCTTAAATGTCATGCTCAGGGTGGAAAGCTTCATTGTCATAATGTTGTACTGCTGTTTTTAGATTTGCAAATGATATAAACTCAGGGAATCAGACAAATGGTTACCACTTCACTTCTTCTGGATTGATTGGCAACTGAAAAAGGCCATTTTGAAACTGTCCTTTGAAAAGTGCAGGCAAAGAACACGCTTCGTTTTTGCACACACTGCAGGTGTCCATTTTCAGTCAAACTTCTACATTCAAAATCCTTTTAAAACGAGAAAACACAAACGGTGGCTACAGGCTGGAAGCAGCACTGTTACGATTTACTTGAGTGAGTCAAACACCAGCGACCGACTTAAACAGGCGGCTCAGGAACCTTAACCTACCATCTTTTGGTGATCAGTGCACGTCGCCGATCGATGTGGGGGACACATTAAAGTGTTCTGATTTGAAGGTTAGAAAATATGGTCACCCTAGATTAGTTTTTCCCCCAATATTTTTTATTTCTCCCAAGTTTCAAGGGTACTTGAAACTTGTGTCAGAATGTGTCAGAATATCTCAAATACTGAGGGACTGAGCAGAGCTAAGGTTTTTACTGGAAGACAAAAAGCAGTCCAGCTGACTGAAAAACACTGCAAGGACTGCACAGAGTTCACTGCCAAAAGGTTAGGCTGCCTAAATCATTCTTTAAATCTTCATGAGATGTTAAAAGTGCCATTATTTCAATGCCGGTGGAAACGAAGGCTTTTAGATTGAATGCTGCTGAATAAACAAAAAACAGAGTTATGACCAATATACCTCGAAATTCAAATGGATTATTTAGGCTTCCAGGCAGGCAGGCAGGCACAGAAACACAAGGAACCTGCTTTCAAAAACCTGGCTTACATCCAAACAAACACTTTCTTTTAAGGCAAATTGGGTTTCAATAATGACAAGACTGAAACTGCAGAAGCAGCGCACACTAAGTAGCTTACTGATTTCTGTTTCCTGCTCTCTGCCAAAAGACAACGACTAAGACATGAATTATGATAACTGATGAACAAATGGGCATACAAATATTAATATGGACATAGAAAACTTTGCTGTTCGCCAGGCCACTGCACAAAGGCACAAGTCACTCTCTCTGCCAAAACACTGTGCAGAGATATTGGTAAGTTACGCTAGCACACAACATGCTTTTTTTGTTTTGTTTTCGACTATAATTGGATGGCACTAGTAGAAAGATGGCAGGAAGCTGGCATGTAATACCTTTCTGCGCCAGAACGACACAGGTGGCTGCAGGTGTCATCACACTGAATATGATCCAATATATCCTCATGATGCAATACGCACTGAAGTCTGTTTCTATGGCAGCTTTTCATGAAGCCAACGAGCAGCCTTGGATAAGGTTCAGAGACACATTTTTCCCAAAGGGAGGATGTATGGATGACTCACTCCCTGGTCTCTTGTGAACTATCATGCAGGGCAATGCAGTGAAGATGATGCACCACACTATGTAAAGTTTATCATTAATGAACAATTATTTTTGATCTAGTGTTATGTGTGCATGAGTGTAAAAATGTCAAGACATCTGACCAATCAAAGCAAGTGATTTGGCATTTCTCCTGATAATAAGTGTCTTTGGGCTCACAAGCCGGGGTGACCTCAGAAAAACTGTCAACATGATAAATTGGCCGAGCCCGCAGACTAATCTGCTAAAACATGTAAAAGCCTAAAGTTAGAAATATTGAGTGAGTGATATATTTTCTTTAGGGTAAAGAGTGAGGTGGTGTAGTGGCTCTTTTGGTGTGACAGTTATATAACACTCATGGGCTGGGTTTTATATCTGAACAGCAGATAATGTGTCACTGATCTATATAAAAAGCATACCTGCGTGTAGAGGGACACGTATCACCACCACCCCACCCTCTTCCTCTTTTCTTTTTTTTTATTGTATTGCTTTATTGATACACTTTATATTTATATCACCTAACACAGCACAGTCCTCGATTCCTCAAGTGCAGTCGAGGACAAGCCTCTGGTTCTTTCTACAAAATGAAAATTGCAGCTCTAATTAAACCTCACATTATGTTTTAGAAATGGGTGTTTTAATATTTAGTAAAGCCGGTGATGCCCACATTTTGGCAGCTTGGATGAACAAATGCATGCGTTTCATTAATGAGCTAATCTTCATCATAGCAGTGCTGTGTAAAAGTGGTGCGTTCAAAGGCTTAACACATCCATGACTTTGGTTGGTAAGTAGGCTATCATATTTTAACACCCACTTCTGTGAACATTTATTTAATATGACAGCATTTGATTTAGTTAATTCTGTATTTTACATTATTTTAATTGTTATTTTAATACATTTAAATAACAGAAGTTGGTCATTCCTTAGTGTCAATGGTACATGTACGCTGCCGGGGCGGGTACCTTAAATGCCCCTTTAAAAGCTCCACTAAGCAGGGTTACTTTCACGTTTCACACCGCGACATTTTCTATCAATTAAACATAAAAATATCATTTTTAATACTGAAAAACATACTCGTGATGACAAAAAAGGGCGTATATGGGACACACGGGTAGGTGGGGGGTCTTTACCTGGCGGGGTAACTCCTGCGTACCGGGACTCCGGCGCTGACATCCCGGTGGAGCAGAAACCCAGCAGTGACTGATCCTCCAACCAGAGACAGAAACCCGATCTTCCGTTTGGAGGTCAGGAGTCTGGAGAAGCTGCTGGCCATTTTATTTTATTTTTTTTAAATCTTCCGTTAAAAGATGATGAATCCAAATAATTTCCTCGGTTGAAGAAAAGGAGGGACAGGTGGACGGGTGAGCGTCGGTGATGAAGTGCCACTGGTGGAATGATAACGGGGGGTAACGGTTAAACCGGAGCGTCGTCAAGGTCGACAGAGAGCGACAAGAGACCGGAAATATACCTTCAAAATAAGAGCACAAATAGTCATCAATTCCACCAGTATTAGATGGTGGGGTGACTTTTGCGTTATATTTATAAACTAAATAATTGAGGTTGATTGAGTAATTTTGTTATAATTTCCCCACTTCATTTCATTTTGGAGGGACATTTTTTTCTGCACATTTCTTAACAGCTATAATTACTGGTTAGATATAATAGATCATAATATGGAGGAAACATCTGATTTAACATACATTAATTTGTATTACTAAATTGTGGTAGGTTTAAAATGTTCTGCCTGCGCAACTGAAGAAGGCTACCAGAATGATGTTTAGAGCAGTGGTTCTGAACGGGTCAAGCCTCAGGACCCACCACCAGCTCCTTAGTGAAAAGTGGAGTCCCAAATTTTCACAAGACGGTAGAACAACAACAACGTCTTGTTTAAAAAGCAATTCGTAGACTTTCTGACAAAAAAATGTATTCAAGGCACGCTTTGGCAACCAAATGAAACAGCTCTGTGACCATCTTTTGGGTCCTGACCCACCAGTTGAGAACCAGTGGTTTAGAGTACATCAGTAAAAGGTACACTGGGATGGCTGTGACTTTAAGTCATTCATCTCAACTGGAAGATCGGGGGCTCCAGCTTCTCCAGCAACATGTCCGATGTGTCGGCTACATGAATGGGTCAGTTACTACTGATTGACACTTTACAGCGCAGCCTCTGCCATCAGAGTGTTTTATAGCTGCAATATATTTATTTCGTAAAACATTGAAAAGCCACACATAATTGAAAAGAGCACAAAGACAAAATCTGAAATGTTAACTGAGCAGTTCCCTTTTTAAATGTTATGCATAATTTGGAGTTGATGTCCAGTCTGTTTCGAGAGAGAGAATTATAGCGGCTTAAAGACAAAGGTTTGAATAATCAAAGTAAGCTGTTTCCCATTTTTCCACTTTACTTTTACACAAAACGGTGATCACTGAGGCTTTTATTTGGAAATTTCCCACAGACCGGAAGTCACGTAGCTTATTTCCCCTAACTTCACAGTTGTGGAGAAGTGCGTGGTGTGAATACGAATACTTAGAGGACATCAGTGAAGGAGGGTGAAGCACTGACAGGTTTCACATCAAGCTGCTAGGTCCCTCCGCAGTCTCCAAAAACACAAACATTGCAGTCACTCTTTTTAATAAAAACAGGCCAAGCTCAGAGATTTTTTCCGCTGCATTTAAAGTTATCACAAGGTGAGTACAGTCATTCACACCATAAAAAAAATGCTGCCACTTCCTTATAACGACGCCTCATGGCTGATGTGACTTCACTAGAGTAGGCTGAAGTGGTAAGTGGGGGCACTCAACTGCAGGTCACTCAAGGTAACACAAAGACGAAAGGGATTAATTATATAATCTGCCAAATTAACTCCAGTGTAGATATATTTGTAGGCAATATATATTTGGCAAAACAGTGGGTCTACATTTCTCTGGCAGGACATATACTGTGTATATATATATATTTTTTACGTGATTCTTAATAGAAGAAAACCTTGAACCTTAAGTCCAGTACCACACACCTGATATCAGATTTCCAATTTATTCAGACTTTTTGCAGCAGTGGGAGATAAACTCTGGTCTCTTCTTAAATGTCACATATTCTCCCCATCAACCAGTTTAAATAAGTCTCAGAGCTCTCCAAAACATGTCTGTAAAGTTTCTTGTTCTGAATCCATTCTGATCCTGTATTTGATCATGTCTACAAACCCCTCTATTTCAGCCCTGCTCAGAACAGGCTGTTTCTGTGTCTGTAGCTTTAAATATGTAAATGAGCTGTGTCTGACCACGCCCCTCTCTTGAAGGGCTTGGGTGGCGTTGGATGAGAAAAGAACAAACAGCTGGGGGGGTGTCACCCACCTTGGGGAGGAGTTACTGCCCTTTGTGATGTCACAGAGGGAAAATCTCCAAACGGCCTGTTTGAGCACACATTTTCTGAAAAGTGGAGCAGGACAAAAGACGGAGAGGATGGACTTTCTTCATAAATAGAGGATTTGTAGACAGACTAGGGACACCAGTATTTGAAAAACATAATTAAAGGTCACAATATGTGACCTTTAAGTTGAATACTTACCAGGAGAAGTCAGTGACAAATTAAACTTCAAATGCCAAAAGTAAAGGATCCTTAAAACAGCATTTAGATGCTTTTATCGGCAGTTTCTCAGTCACCAGTTCAAGTCCTCGGGTGGACCAAATCTGGAATCATTGGTCTGGTAGCTGGAGAGGTACGGGTTCCCTTCTTGAGCACTGCCGTGGGTCCCTTGAGCAAGGCATCAAACCCCCCACATATCACATATGCCTCCAAATTGTCATGAGTAAAATATACAAGCAAAAATTGGTAAGAGCAAAAAAAAAGTTTAGTTTAGTTTGTGTGTCAACAACGGATCAATACATCTAGATCTCAAGGAAAGAAGCAGAAATGACTTGTTATCAAGGGAAAATGGAGCAAATACAACATGTGGCTGCATGTCCTCTTAGAGCTTCTGTAGTGAGTCCCTTCATTGAACATCATTTTATGAGAGCCTCCTGATTTTACTCTAATTTTCTTTTAACTTTTAAGACGCGTGAGTTCTCTTTCCCTGCTTTGTGAAGCCCTTTGAACTTGGATTTCAAAAACTGCTCTGAAAACAAAGAGTACTGCAATTATTAAAAGTACATCAAACCTGACCACTTGACATGTTCTGTTTTAGAAACAGCACAACAATCAGGAAAACACGCACATCCAAACCAAATAGGTGCAAAGTTGAGCAGAAGTCATGTATTTCCCCAGGGAGACTCTTCCTGGGTGAGATACATTTTCTGGAATATTGGAGCCCTGCAGTGAGCGAGCCGTCTTTCTCTTCTCTGTCAAAAACTACACAGAGGTCACACTGTTGTAGTTTCAGAGTCTGAGCTCCTTATTGAGAGTAATTCAGTAATCTGTGGATTATTAAGGAGGGAATCGAGGGCATACACTTCAGGGATCAAAGTTCACTTTGTATTTCTGCAGGACATGGAATTAGTTTGCGACACACAGGATGTATTTAAACAAACAATGTCTTACTTCTCTGCTTATCCTCAACAACCTGCCATAATGAAACCAAGTCATTCATACAGCCTGAACTGCTCAAATAATTACATCACATGCTACGGACCTGGCTTTAATTTATGTGGACAACATTACCGTTTATTCAGAAGGTAAATAAACTACAATTTACTTCCAAACTATTATCAAGATCATGCTTTAGAAGTAATGTGCATCTAAGATGAGGATCAGGAATGTTTTATCAGGGTGTGTTATCGAGAAGCTGGTCTACTTACCGTGAATACAGTCAAATCATTCCATTAAAGAAATGGGAATTTGAATCAAAAGGACATAGAGGGAAAGGTCAACCTTGTGTTAGCAGCTGCAGGTTGTAGGGGAAGGTCTGACTGAGGCTGCTGGGAGTACAGTACATTACAGTAGTACAAACATCAAAGCCAAGTCACAGTAAAGACCTCGGTACTGGGATTTCAAAGCGGCTGTTCGGTCACATCAAAAACGTGAACATCTTATGTAGATTCCTATGTAGAATGACCGGGGCTAAGACCAACAGTTACAAACTTTCATATGTTCCTGGTGAAATGAATCCTCTTTAAAGCATGTTTTTGTCCACTGCTGTAAATCAAATGTCTCCTTCCAGGGACAATAAAGGGCTGTACTGAACTGTATCTGATTTTATAGAAACACCAGGAGCCTGATGAAAGCTCGTCTCAGTGAAGTAATAATACATGACCAAAACGAGGTGCAGCTCTGTTGAAATAATAAAATCAAACTTCCTGATTGGATCACAGTAAGTAGGTTTGATCGAGGGGTTATCAGCTGCTACGAAAATGTAATATCCTGTGTATAACAATCATTAATGTAGCACCTACATACATGAAGAGTTGTAAACCTTTATAGCAGTGACCTTTGAACAGGTAGGTTATTCCAGGACAGAAGTATCAGGTTTCCTTTCTTTTGCAGGCATTTCAATAACTTCAGACTCAAACTGAAGTCTGACAATGAAGTGAAGAGGTTTTCCTTTTCACTTCCATTTAAAAAAAAAAAAAAAACAACAGCTCAATGGGAATGCTTCTGTGATGGGGAGAGAGACCACACCATTGCCCCGTGTGTGACTTTTGTGTTCTCTTTTGCTGCAGAAATTAAATGCAGAGATCGTGATTCTTGTGTCGGTGCCTTCCTTCACACCAACAAGCCACCATCTTAATTCTGCTCGAACAAATATTGATTGATTGATTGATTGACAAAGCAGAATAAAAAAATAACATTTTCATTGACTTAATTCAGAAAACTGATATTTATTTACATAAAACTTTGGCAACATAACATATTTACAATACGACTCAGTCGTTAGACCTTCCCTTTTACTTAAAAGCAACTTTATGACACGAACAAACTAATAAATAAACATTAAAAGTATTTATGTCAACACATTGAGGCTTCAGACTTGATTGTTAAAAGGCTGATTTAAAGTTTGAAAAACAAGGAAGACATAATTCTGCGCCTCGGAGAGACCTTTGCACAAATGAAATGATAAAATCCTTCCTACTGAATAGTTTTTCAACTCAGTGCTACACCTTTAATCTTAAAATGTCCAGACTCAAACTAAAAGTTAGAACAGTGAATGTTGGGGTCAAAGAGTTGGTGGAGGAGCCTGAAGGAGGCACTGTTCTTCTTACAACGCGCTAAAAGTGCTGCTTGGAACGCCACATTCTTTCTGCAGCTCTTTTTTGATGGCACATCTGAAGAAATGTGGCTAAGAAAGACCAACAACTTCACAGTCACACCATGAATGGACAAAGATGGTCTGCTGGTCAGTGGAGCAGTCTCTTCCTGCTGTAGGGCCTCCCTGTGTTCGAGCGTCTGATTGGCTGACCTAAGGGAGAG